ACGATAATCCGAACTAACAAAATACTGTAAATAATGTGTTTCCCACATCCCCTCTTCCTTCGAAAAACAACCTTGTCCTCAAGGTTGACCAACTTGGACCACACCAATGTCTTTCTCGTGCAATCCAGGAGTCGAATCATCCGTCGCTTCCTTTTCTTCCCATTGGGGCTAGGCACTCGAACTCCTCCCACACAAGGAGCTCCTTCGGACTTGAAGTCCTTCACGATGGCGGCCAAATTAATTGCTCCCTTACTGTCATCCCACCCAAGCTTATAACCGGGCACAACGTTATTCCCACAACATCTTGAAGTCAATCCCATGATTGTCACTCCAAACCTCATTAACATTCCCTTTCTTAGACAGCATCCAGGTAACCCCAAACCTTTAATCCACCCACTAACTGCACATACAATCCTCAATGCCCATGGAAATGGCCAAACGCCCACCATTAAACTTTGAAGATTACATCCCTTCCGTTCTTTCCATGCGGCCACTTGTATGAGAGCATGACTACCGAGGTCGCAGCCGGTTCCACCGAGGAAAAATCCATTGTTGTAGTCTCTCGCGGACTGATCGAACCGCAACCGCTCGCAATGACACATACACCTTCCAGTGTATTCGCTCGAGAGCACACGCTCTCCCTCAAACCCCAGCCAGCCGTTCCTCCAACTTAGCATACGAGCTCCTGCAGTAGAACTCGACTCCCCAACAAGTTCTTTTCCATTGTCTTTTTTTGGTTATATCCAACTGCTGGCCGCACCCCTTCTCTGCTTCACGATTCCTTCCAAGTTTCCCACATGCGACCAAATCCCATGGAGTAATGTAGGTAAAGCAAGCAGTTACCTGCTGTCCTCCTATTTCTCCAAGCAATTGGCCGCCCACTAGCTTCCCCTGTGTGGGACAGGGACTCATCCTCTCTTCAGTGTTCCACAGTACTTCATCAATCCCTGCAGCCTTACCAATTTTGCCTCCCATTGGACCGCCCCTCGTGATTGAGGGCGATGATGAATCGCCGGCCTCATCCCTCGTCGCGTCCCTCACCATCGTCATCGCCATCTCCATCGACTCCTCCTTCGGTTGCAAAGAGCTTCCCCGACGGCAAGTCCAGCCAACTTTCGACGCCACCTCATCATCGGTCAACGTCGTCACGACAACCACCATCATCTTCTGCCTCGTTTCCTCCTCCGACCATATGCAGACCATCAGGTCGAGTTTCCCTTCGCAAGGCACCTGCGTCATCCCCCTCGTCATTGCCTTCTGCCCCTGCTCTTTTGGTTCAAAATCAGGGCCATCTCGCGGTCTCGGCTTTCTCCTGAATTTCCACCCATCAATTGGCCGGTTCAATTGAACGAGTACCGATCCGGAAATAGCATGGGTTAGGGATCGCACAACATCAGGGGTTGGTTGTGCTGCGGTGAGCGCCCGAAGCTGCTGTAGGTCGACAAAGATCTTCTCAAACGGGCCTTCTTCTTCAATCCCAGTTGGCGAGAGTATCGTGGAAACCTCCGTAGCGGCAGGCTGCTCTATGGTTATTGACCCCTCCTCAACATTCTTAGTCTCGATAAGGAACCCATCAATGGCAGGGGTGATTTGTGATGCTCCATCGTGCTTGTGCGGTGCTTCTGCAGCGGCCGGGGACAACGCACTGGCCTGCGGTGTTGATGATGGAACGACGGTAGTGGAGACAGCTTCTATTGCAACGGCCTGAAGGTTCGACTGCTCTGCCGCCCCCATTGTTGCGCCGTCGTCCGCAGCCTCCTCCACCGGTACCCTGCCGACGTCTGCATCTTCCTCTGCCTTCTCATTGTCGGGACCAGTGGCAGGGACAACGCTGCCCGTGGGAACAGACGCGCTCATCGCCAGGTGGAGCTCCTTCTCAGTCTTCACAGCGGTGGCTCCTCCCTCTACAGCCGCACACAACGTGTTTGTCGCGGTGATGACGGCTATTGGCGCGCCATCTCCCCTTCCGCCCGACTCCCCGCGGCGCCCACCAGCGACCGCCTCGGCCACCACTCGCCGCGCGCCTGACAGCTCGACCGCCGGCTCTTCGGGCAGCCAACGGCGGCCGATGCGACGGGCTCTGTCCCGCAATTCTGCCCACGACAGATTCGAGAGCTTTGAAGAGCTCATCGTCGAGCCAGTTGTAGAAATCGTCCCCGGTTGAGAGTTGTGGTGAACTCAATTCTCGAACCGGGCTCTGATACCAGATGTAGGAAACAAGGTTTCCTACGGGATGGGAATTGGGGAATTTAGCTAGATCAATTAGGGATTGATCTAACTAGGGATTAGAATTGGGGATTAGAACAAGAAGAGGGAAGAATTTGGGCTGCTGCTGCCGCAGCTTTGGAGGGAGAAAAGAGAGAGAGGGAACTCGCAGGAGAGAGGGGAGAGAGAGTTAGGATTTAGGTTTTTGGTTCTGTAATTGCATAATTCCCAAAATAAGACCACTATTACAGATTATATAACCTGTCTAATTCCTATCTGCTACCCGAATAATAAAACGTAACAATGAACTCCCTGTTTATTCCCGAATACCCCAAATAATACCCTAAATCATAAAAACCAACGATAATCCGAACTAACAAAATACTGTAAATAATGTGTTTCCCACAATCTTGCTGATATGAAGTAACTTGCTACTTCTTCCCCAGATGAAATTGAATCTCTCAATACTGGAAGATATCAGTGACGACATAGATTTCTGCTTCAAACTGGCTAAGGAGGAATCTGTTATCATTCTTCCAGGTGAGAAGCCCTCAGAAAGTTTGTTTACTAGCCCTCTCTTCTCCTGCAAGGAACTGAAACAAAAGAATCTGACCTGAGAAAAACATTGCAGGAACTGCTGTGGGATTAAAGAACTGGCTTCGAATAACATTTGCAGTTGATCCGGAGTCGCTTGAAGAGGGTTTAGCGAGGTTGAAATCCTTCTGCAAAAGGCACACCAAACAACAGCTAGGGAGTTGAGAAGATTAAACGTGTTCTTTCCCTCTAGCTATTTCAGCAAACCAAAAATTTTGCAGGTACATTGCAAATACAAATGAATGTTGACAAGTTCAGAAAACTCTGTTAGAATGATAGGCAGCTTGCAGCTGGCTCAAATATATTCAGTCTGTGTACAGACCTCCAAGTTACAGAATTGTTAATATAGGAGAAGTTCTTACATGTTCTTTGTTGGTTATATTATATACCCAAAGTTGAGTGTGTACTATAGACTTGTCCATCTTAGTGAAATGAAGTTGCAAGATTCCACTTAGGACATATTTCACAAGTTTAGACTGAAAATTTAATCTTATTTATGTTGCATTGATTCCAAAATTTACCATGTACTTTGTGCTAGTGTTTTAAATTTCGAATGACAAACTTGAAATAAAGTAAAGATCTTGTGATATCCCTGAAAAATTTACTCAAATGCAATAGCCAATCGAGACTTTCAAGTGGAGAATCCACTGAAAACAACCGATACAAAACAAATCAACCATCACGGCCGGCCGGCCTAAAGAACTTTACTGTGTCAGCCTCCTTGTCTCTTATGCCCACTGCCCACCAGAACCTCTGCAAACCTCCAAAAATGCAGAGCCAACAGCCAAAGTGCCAAACTGCTTGAACAACCCTTTGGCAGCCAGCAGCAGATTAAAGTGGATTCCACATCCACATTCCCAAAAAAGACAAAACTCCATCACTCTACTCTATCTCTAACCCCACTAAAAACCGCACCAGAGTCCTATCATCCTCCTATTAAATCCCAGGGTTGTAGCTGTTCCCTTCAGTTCATCATCCCTTCAATAATTTCGCCAACATCTGAACACAGGCAACTACCCTTTTCCGTAAAAGCCACTGTTTCCCCCCCCCCCCCCCCCCCCCCCCTATTTAGAGCTCTGAGTTTCTTCTGCCTGACCTTTTCCCTGTTGGGTTTTCACTTTTATTTGCAGAAATGGAAACTGTTGCTGCTGCTGTAGAAGTACAGAAAGGAGACGACTTTAAGGTTCATGTGTTCTCATCCTCGGAGGTTTGTGAAACAGCTTGGAAGATTCTAACCTTACAAATAAACAAAAAGCAATTGTTTTTATGATCTTGAATGACTTCTTATTGTTGTTTTTGGTTCCATGTGATCAGTTGATCGAGACGTTGAATGAGAAATGGAGGGCAGTGAAGAGGAAACCATACCCAGCAATGTACTCGAGCGTCTATGGTGGGATCATTCTCGATCCGGCGTTGATGGTGATTCCGATTGATGACCACATGGTACATCGCGGTCATGGTGTTTTCGACACGGCCATAATCCTCGACGGGTAATCTGGCACATATAGTTCAGTGACCTTTGAAGCATTTAGCCCCCGCGTCATGAATCTAATTCTGCAGCTCTCGTGTTTCAGATACCTCTATGAGCTAGATGTACATATAGAGAGGATCCTAACATCAGCCTCAAAGGCAAGGATATCATCTCCATTCACCAAGGACAAACTGCGCACCATCCTGATCCAGTTGGCAACAGCATCAAACTGCAAGAAAGGCACACTGAGATACTGGCTGAGTGCAGGCCCAGGCAACTTCCTGCTGTCCCCATCAGGTTGCCCAACTTCAGCATTCTATGCAGTCGTGATCGACGAGGAGTTCTCCCAGCAGAAGGAAGGAGTTAAGGTGATCACATCTAACATCCCCATGAAGCCGCCTCTTTTTGCAACTGCAAAGAATGTGAACTATCTCCCCAATGTGCTGTCCATCATGGAAGCCGAGGACAGAGGAGCCTTCGCCTCAATCTGGGTCGACGAGGAAGGGTACGTCGCTGAGGGTCCCAATGTGAACGTAGCATTCATTACTCAGGAGAAAGAGCTGATCCTGCCTCCATTTGACAACATACTCCGTGGATGCACTGCTCTGAGGCTGCTTCAGCTGGCGCCCAAGCTGGTGGAACAGGGGAAGCTGAAAGGGGTGAAGACCGGTAAACTCACTATTGGAGAGGCGAAAGCTGCTCCAGAGATGATGTTTGTAGGGAGCACGCTCCCCTTGTTGCCTATTGTGATGTGGGATGATCAGCTCATTGGAGATGGTAATGGGAGATTGTATTCATTTTCTAGAGGTAGATACTTTTGCTTTGAGATAGCTAATGGATATTTTTGTTTGAAATGCAGGGAAGGTGGGAGAATTGACAATGGCACTTTCTGATCTGATGTGGGAGGACATGGTTGCTGGGCCTACTACTCAGAGGATTCCTGTTCCATATAAGCAGTAGTACTGAATAAAGAGAGAAAACGGGTTTATGGAAGTTGCCTGAAGGAATCATGTATAGAACATTGTTCTCTTTGGGTCAACTCACCAATGGAGTTAAAGATCATTTTGCTGTTCAAAGCTCCTCTTGTCATCTGGAATAAAAATCTCAAAACTGTTGTGTTCTTTCTAGTTACAAAACTTGAATGAGAAAGTCCTTCCAAGAACACTACACTGGTCGCGCTGCTTATTTACACTATTGACCATCGTCCGTATTTTCATCCATCTGACTGCTCTGATCGCCATCAGAAGTTGAGTCGAACGGATCTGAAAACCTTTCTCCTTCGCCAGCTTCAATTTCTTCCCCTTCCATGAAAGAGTTCATCGTGAGCTGGGCAGAGTACAGGATTAAACCGACAGAGTTAAGGCCGAAAACAAACGTGGCAAGGTAGCACAACCCATTGATGATGGTCCTGCAAAAGTACAGGCAAAACAATCAGTGATGTGCCACAATTTGGATAAGTTAATATTGCATGCTTTATACTTTGCTGTAGTTACCTGATAGTAATTGTTATTTGGCGAACCTGAGAGAAGTAGGTGAAAGTTGAAACCCAGATTAAGTCAAGAACTTCACAAATCATTAAAACAGTTTATAGCAACGAATTCCAAAGAGATGAGGAAAAGGAAACTGTGGACCAACCGAGAAGTTATCTGATATGGTCTGCCGGTTGAGAGATGCCTCAATGGTGGTGGTGAACTTGTAGAGAATAAGGGCTATGACACCTGCAGATATTCCACCTAGTAGTGCCTGCACAGGTGAAGTAGGCTTCTTACCTTCTTCAACTGGAGCCGCGGCTCCCATGGCCTTCAAGCTTTCCAATGCCTCATCTTTCAACGTCTTCTTAGTAGCCCCTGATGATCTAAATCTCTAAAAACATGTTCCACAAGTCACAAATCGGCATATAAACATCAGGCTACCCTATTATTATAACAAAATGATACAGTTTGCACAGAAATTAAATTGCAACACGACGCACAGATGGAAAACTTATGTTGGAATCCAAAATGGGTGACACTTAGCATTACCCATCAAAATTTCCATCCCAAGATGAAAGCTTTTCAACCAAATCAAGAATCACAGAGAGCTAAAATTTGAACCAACCATACTCAAGCGCTATCCAATTCAAGGGTAAGCGAAATCAAATGCAGGGCAAATGCAATAGGGCAAATTGAAGGGGTTGGGAGTGATACCAATTCCTTGGCGCGCTTAAAACGGCGGCGGATGGAGCGAACGAGGAATATCAGGATTGCCCCAGTGAGCAGCACGCTGGTCGCAATCTGCAGCAGGGAAGGGTCGTCGGTGGTGGCGAAGATGGAAGGAGCAGTAGGGAAAGGGAGCTCAATAGGGCCACCGCCGTCTTCCGGCAAGGGGACGGGTACTTCAATCGTGGTGATATCCGCCAGCCATGGCTCCAAGAAAGGCCGCGGGAGGGCTGATAGAGAGGAGAAAAGGGCCGCCGGGTTGGGGTTTCCGAGACAGCAGCAAGGAAAAGAAGAATAAGAAGCTCTCTGATGGCGGTGTCGATAGCGAGGTGAATGGAATAATTGAGGAGAGAGGAGAGTTGAGGAGTAATGGTGGTTCTGCAACAACAACAACATCTGAAAATCTCACAAGAAGAAGGCGGCAACGGAGGAGAAGAAGGGAATTCGGAAGGAATGGAGTGGTCGTTGAAGTGAAGGGAGTGGACTAGCGCGCTGTGGCGGGAGGATTACGGGGAGGGAATATCTAACGAGAGAATTGGGCTAGCCCATTGAGTTGTCCTTTTCTCTTAATGGGCTGAATGACCTAATGGGCCAAACAACGAGCCCATCCAGATCTGGTAGTCATGGATGATGGGGTCAACAAATTCATCCCTCAGCTGGAAACTGGAGAATAAATAAGACGTAGAGAAGCAAAAACATAAAGAACATTCTTCGAAAATTATTTCAAAAAATTACGGAACGTATGAATGAGTATGGCGGTCAATCTGGACAATATTGTTTTTTTTCTTTCTTTCTGCCGCAAACAACTCTGTATAACCAAAACTTGCCGTCTGTCACCGAAAGAAGTCAAGACGAGACAAGAGAGCTTCAAAGTGGGCAACAGACAAATGTTGTTCTCTTCTGTCTCTGCTTAAGTCGATTAATAAGTGACCCAACCAAAAAAAACCACATGGGAAAAGTTAGATAGATGCATGCATGCTGGCACTATGGGAGAAATTATTAAATATGAAACCCCTAATTAGTAATGGCTACCAACCAAATCATCTATCTTCTCTGTGTAAATCCGTCCAACTTCAATCGCTTTGCTTTCCTACCTGGCCCCTCTTTCACCTCCAATACATTACAGCCATCTCTAGCTGTTTTCATTTTAATACACAAACAAACTAACTAGGATCTTCTTCTTTCTTAGTCATGTTTCGTGATTGGAACAACCTTCAATCTCATTGTTTAAAACTGAGTGCCGCGAAACTACGTACCGTTAGGTGACATGTACGTAGCATCCTCTCGTGTTATCAATATTGTTACCGGTATAGCTGATTGTTATGGTTGGGCAGCTCAAATTATATTTAATATCGTTATCTTGATGTTCATCGATTTCTTAATATGTTCTCGAATCCAAATTATACCTATTTGGTATTGTCTATGGCAAAAAAAAAAAAAAAAGACGCACGTGTAGAAATGTGAAATGAGAAAATTGGATACTTTTAAACCAAAAAGTAATGATTGGTATATATAAGTTACGATCATTTAGATCACGTGTTCTTCTAGAACAACTGAAGAAGTGCGAGTACATCGTAACACAATACAACGTTTTTGCAAGGTATCATTCACTAACCATGTTTAGCTGGTTTTTGTTTGAAAATAAGAAACTAGGATCTCATCCCTTGCCCATGTTTCATGATTGGGCAGAACCATCATCATTATGGAGAACTGAATGCCACGAAACTATAGCAAATTGTTGTACTAGAGCTATTCAAATTGTAGTTAATAATGAGATATTGTATTATCTTGGTGCTCATCGCCTTTCTAATATGCCACCTGAATCCAAATGATACTTATCTTGTATCATTTATCACAAAAAAATAAGGAAGATTGACATGAATGTAAAATACAAAGTAAAAATTTTAGGATTTAAAAACCAAAAGGATAATGACGAATAGAAGTTACAATCATTTAGATCATGTGTACTTTTAAACAATAATAAGTGAACCATAATTTATTAAAATATTTTGACGTAGTGTAAAATAAATACAATACTATTTATCTCGTAAAACCTAAATATCAACCAAACAATTATCTTCACGATCGACATAAAGGACGCGTACTTCCCATTAAGCTCCAATAACAAGAGCTCTCCTCCTCACTACATCTTTTGAGATAAAAAAAGAAATGATTCCCTTGGATACTTTGTTCTCATCCCCAATTAAGTAGTAATCAAGTGAAATACCTTAACCTGTCACCGCCACCCACCCAAATTAATAAATGACAAGAGCTGAATCAGTGTCACATTACACCTGTAACATTGTCATTAATCAAATGGGAATTACTAATTAATTAATTAATTGGCACTCTAGTCAAATAATACCCAATAATTTGTTACAAGTGAAGCACATGCAAAGGTCCTCTTTTCCTGTCCCACCAAACTTGATTGATTGCCTGCTCAAATCCAACCCATTCTTCTCCATCAATCCCATCATTATTAAGACAGCAAAACCAGGGAGAGACAGAAGAGAGATTGGAGGAGGAGCAGAGAAGAAGAAGAGAATCATTCCAAGTTGTAGCCTTTAATCAAAGCCCATTTTGCTGCACATCAAAACCAGCAAAACCCTCGAACCAAAACGAACAAAAGCTCCGCGTGCTAGCTACAGAGGGCAATATGGGGTCACTCGCCGGCGACCAATTAGAGCGAAAAGAAAAGGGCAGTGACAGAAACGGCGGCGTCCCTGATCTGCTGGAAGAAGCGTGGTTCTTCAGGAAGCTGATCGATGGAAGCAGCGGAGGGAATAACAAGCCGGCGTCAGGCAAATTCATGGGGAGGTGTTTTTCCGATCCCACTTCTTCACAGAGCGTCGTCCCTCCGGCGCCGCCGAAAGGCGAGGGTGGTGGCTTGGTGAGGGCGCCGTCGTTGCCTCCCGGTATCGGGAGAAGAGGCGACGGTGACTACGCCGCTGAGGGCAGGAAGTCTGGTGGGAAGAGGAATAACGGTAAATCGTTGAAAACAGGGGATATGACGGTATCAAGTAAGAAGGGTAGTAAAATTAAGCCATCTGGCGGCGGCGGGAGGAATCCGGGGAGCTTGGCGAGAGCGCCGTCGCTGCCGCCGTGGATAGGGAGGGAGGAAGAAGAAGAATCGGATGGGGAAGAAAGTGGTATGAGTATGAGCAGATTGATTCAGCAGGCCATGTCCTCTTCTCTCGACGATATCTCTACTCTTACCAAGCACTCTGTTTCTTCTCCAAAGGTAAATCACTTAACTTTCTCCTCCTCCTCTAATCATATTAGTATTTGATTTGATTCGGGTTTGTTGTCTCTAAACAAGTTGGAGTTATTAGAATGAATTGGTTTGCGACATAATATTAGAAACTATCGTTTTATTTGAACATTAGTTGATTCAACCGTAGTGCTTCTTACTTTGACATGTAAAAGTAGTAACATAACCTTTTGATGTGATTGAGCTGCTTGGGTTCGAATTAATGTTACGACCATACTTTCACCTCTCTTTGTTTAGATTAGTGATAGAGTTACATGTTCTCTATATGATCATTGGAGTTCGGACTCAACCAAATTAACATTGATTTCGAGATAAGTTTACGTTAAATGATTTAAATTCCATCTCCTTGCAATCACGTTTTAAGCCCTCTTTAACATCAAAGTTACTCTGTCCATGGTTTGAATAAATGCAGAGCATGATTAGGAGTTCCAGGAGCATGAGAAACGAGGTGAGAGGTGATGGGGAAAGAAGAAGACCAAACCCTGAGGCAAGAGATGACCAGAGGGTAATTAGTAGGCAAAGTGGAGTAATTAGTACGACTAATCACAACAATAATCCTCCTCCTTCTCCCTGTAATCCCAAGGGAATCAGGAAATTGACCAAGACAATGAGCAACCTTGAGATCCACCAAGATCAAGCAAGTTACTACGAGTCAAAGAAGGCGGCGATGAGGCCACAGAGGCCCAGTTATGACTATTTGCTCAGGTGTGGAGGCCCACCGATCCCGACGTGGGCTCCGGGGCCCACTTCCAATGCCAAGGGGACGACGGCTACTGCTACTTCGTCAGCTGAAGATATCAAGGCCCATCTCAAGGTCTGGGCCAGGACTGTGGCTGCTAACATACACTGATGAAAGTGGATTCCAATTCAGTTCTACGGGTTTCAAAGTCTGAGTTCTGACCAAGACCAAAATCAAAGAAAATTAATTATTTTTGTATGGTTTTGGTTTAACCGTAACCATCACAATCATTATAATCAACAATCTTATTATTGTTCAAGAGTTCATCACAGAGAACAATAAATTCTTTTTGTAAACATTTTGCTCATATTTAATCTGATTTAATAATTTGCTTTTCGCTAGTTCAAGCAAGTGATTTGAGAACCCTGAAGTGTTAATCTAATGACAACGGAAGAAGGTAACATTAACAATCATCTAAAAAGTATTCTGAGTTCAAGCTTTTGCTGTGATAGTCCCTATTGTTCTTTTACAATGCCAGTCAGTTCAATGTAAGATTACCTTCCAGTTGAACTTGAACATGCTCAAGAACTGCTGCAGTACAAGACTGAAGCTTTCTGCAGAACTTTGGCAACCACAAGTTAAGCCACTGATGTTGGTCCAAATCTTCTTTTCCATCCTTGTTTGTCCAGATCAGTGTATAAATTAATTACATCAGATGACATGAAAAAGTGTTTCAACTTCTAAAGGTCGCACTAGTACCAAATCGTCTTCTGGTTCATGGGAATGCAAATCATAAAGTCATCTACAATGTCCTAGTCTTCATCGTCAAGTCCAGTGAAATCTTCGACGTTTTGAGCCTGTTCGGTTTGTTGATTCATTGAGCGTAGTTCGTCAATTTCAGTCAGCAGAAACGGATCACATACTAGCCTATGGGCTTGCAGGAACTTGGGACAACCTGTTACAGACAAGAAGAAATAAAAAAAGGTTAGGCATAGAGACAGACGGAGACCCTTTCTACCCTTTAATGGCGAGAAGACTTTTGAGGAGAAGGCTATAGTAATAAGTTATTTGTTTGACCCACCTGCTATGCAGCATTGTTTTTTATTTCCATTCCGGGGTAAGTAAGCGATGACGGCCTCCTTCTCATAGATGTGCTTGCAGTCCATACTACACATCAAAAAAATTGTTATAGCGAACACTTTAGACTGAAAAGGGTGGCCAACGAAAGAAAGCACTGTGCAGCACCTTCTAACTGGTTCTGCTAGGTCAGTAATCATTTTGCCACTTAAAGGACATTTCACATTCAGCAGGTTGGACTGGGTGCTCGTCATCACGATATCCTCCTCCTCCTCACCCGGCATTGGCTGACCTTTATGATGAACATTCTGGAGGCCAGTACAAGGTAATAATCAACCACAAAAAGAGTGGGCAGGAGTTGGAATGCAAGATAAAGGGAAAAAATAACGATGTTAACTAAAAGTAGTAACAGAAGACAAAAACCATACCCAAACAGCTTCCTGAAATTGACGGATTAGTCGATCATTCTGTGAAGGCATAGCCTTGAGCTTCATAAATTGCTCATCAAGCAACTTTTTGAAATCAGTTAACTGCAGGAAACGGAAACACATAGTTACCTTTATAACAAACACGGTCTGAAATGAAGGGAAGAAAGAAAAGCTAAAATCCGTGGTTAGGTAAAACCTCTGAGGTAGGCTGATATTCATTTCCCACAGTATGAATTGCTGATGCATGACGGATACAGTTATCACAAGATTCTGACAACTGAACTGCTAGAGTTTCAAGCTCCTTGACCTGGAGAGAGATACAAAGCAATTACCAAATGGAGTCAGTTCCATAGCAAACATAATTCAATCATGTCTTAAGTGCTGTTTTATCAGGGAAACACGATAAAGTCCTCCGTGGCAGGTGAATTTGTTTCATTTCTATTCTTGTTGCATCAGAACAAATACACTTGCACAAGATCAGAAACAAAAGGGTAGGCAAAATACTCAATAGTAAAACTTCAGAAGGCAAGGAAGAAACAGGCAGATAAGCAGACCTGAAGTCTATATTACAATAAAAAGTGGCTGTTAATATAGACATCCGGACTACAGGAACACTACACACCTAGGAGTCAGATGTTGAGAGTGGACTTCACTTCCGCCACTCGCTCCAGAATGATGTGGACAAGTATGGAAACAGTGTTCAAACTTATTCAACGGTATACATAAACATAATAATTAACCACTAGCACAAGCATACTGAGACGGGCAAGCTTCATGCCTTACTTGACTAGGCAAAACCGAGGGGAGATTATGGTTCAAACCAATTGTATACATTCAGCCTTTTCTTTTGCTATAGGTGCGCACATTTACATTCTTGGCAAAGAGAACCTTATGATCTAGAATTCACTCTAGAAGAGAATATCCACAATCATAATCCACTAAAAGAGTGACAAATGAAGATACTAGCCACCGACATAATATCCCGAAAGAGAAGTGAACACAAGCATATTTCACTTCGGACAAAGAACACACCTTTGTCGATTCTTTCTCTCTTTCCAGATCAACTGCAATATTTTTCACCATTGTGAAGGCTTTTTTGATTTCCTGAAAAAGATCATATCAATAGAAAGCAGATTTTCCAGATCAATGTTCTCCTCCACGGAAAAGGGAGACAAATGGAAGCAGATTAACAAAAGCACCAAAAAAAGATAGCACTTGCAATGATGAAAACCCTAGTTACAGGCTTACAGCAGGTTCTGCAGCAACCGAATCACCGGCGTGGTTATGAGAGAAGAACTTTCTCTCTGACGGTGCTGATCATGTTATTAAGAAATCAGGACTTCCAAAACAAAAATAAGCCCACTTCTACTTTTATCTCCTGAATGAGCTATTAGGGTTTAGCACCAAATTATCGAGTCGAATTCACTTTAGACACCTAGGACCCCGTATAGCAGATTACAGTGAACAGAAAGCGCCACATGCCTGCCGTTTTAAATCTTCCGATGCTAGAAACAGTAACTTTCAACGCCGAAATCCATACAGGATTAATGAGTGAGACTTACGCTGACGAGAGACTGCGTATCCTCGGCGAGAGTAGAAGCAGCCCTCTTGAGCCTTCCGGAGGCGTGGTCCCTCACAGAGGGAGTCGAGCTCGACGCCATTGAGACTGGATTGGGCGTAATTTGAGTTCTTTTCACCGGTGTCCGGTAGCGGAGGTGATTCGACGGCAGACCTCGATCGGCGTGCGACTGGGAGTCGAAGTACTCTCTTTGCACTTTGGAGGGAGAATAGAGGAGGGAAATTCAATCGAGAACTGCCACTTGTCTTTCCCACCTTTTCTCTGGTCCCACTTTTTTCTGGTCACGAGACAGTTATTTGCGGGCCTGGAGCTGGGCCGGGCTCAATGTTTGTGTTGGACCTGGCTCAAATCCAAGCGCTAAACCTTTACATTTGGCCCAAGCAGATGTGATAGGGATATTCCCATTACTTGAAGATTAAAGCAAAAGATGTGGTTAATTAATAATTATCTCGTTCTTTACTCTATGATCAGTTGTTTATCGTTTTGTGTAATTGTGTATGATAAGTAGTTAGTCATTGCTTCATGCTCAAATGTAACAGAATTGTCCATATGCTAACGAAACATAGTTTGTGTATTGAATTATTGATGGATCCACTCTCAATAAACCTGTATCTATATTTATTTGTTAAATTTAATTTGTGAATTGTTACACTTACATCTTTTATTTTTTCCCTTTTGTATCATCAACTCATTCCAATATCTATGGAGAAAAGAAAATTTGTCCAGCCGTTATTTTAACATTTTAACTTTTAACGAAACTGTACTTTCATTCAAGATAAACAAACCTTTTGTCACGTACCGATTTCTGAAGAAAATATACAAATATAATAATAAGTAATAAGCAACGGACATCAAATTAATTATTAAATAATTAATTAATTAATCCCAGCTGCTGGTTGATCCACTGCCATCGCCACCTCCCATCATGAAAGAAGCATACAGCTCATCCTCATCAACCTCCAAAACCTCACCACCACCATTATGAATGTTATCATTCATAATGCTGGCCGAGCTTCCCCATTGATGATCAGACGAAGAGCTACACGAATTGTTCCGTGCAATATTGACGTCGATCGGACGGCTCGCCGGATTCTCCAGATGAGAAGACGGCGGCGGAGGAGGAGGAGGAGGAGGCCCTTCCGCTGTCATGAGAGCCAGCTGGACCATCTCGTGGGCCCTGGCCAGCTCGTGGCCGAGCCGAGCCACCTCCCTCTCGAGCCGGCGCCTCTCGGCCGCGGCGTGGTCCAGCTTGAGCTGCAAGGTGTTGTAGTCCAGCTCCAGGCTCTGGGCCTTCCACCTGGCGCGCCGGTTCTGGTACCACACCGCCACTTGCCTCGGCGGCACGTGGAGCCGCCTCGCGAGCTCGAGCTTCAGGTCCGGGAGTAGCTTCTTGTTGGCGCCGAAGCTGCTCTCCAGCACTCCCACTTGCTCTTGCGTTAGCCTCTTCTTGTTCTGGTTTGCTTGTAGCTGTGGGTGGTAGCGATCCTCCTGTTGCTGTTGCTGGGTTTCGGAGTAGTGGAAAGGATACATGGTGGTAGTTATGTTGTTTGTTTGTTGCGGAAAGTGGGGAGAGAAGAGAAGAGAAGACTTTTGGGAGTGAGATATGGGCGTGTACTATATACCTTGGTTTCCTTGGACGTAATTTGGATGGGCTCATATATATGGGAAGATTAGAGTACTGTAGATGTGAGATGTAGTAAAGAAATGTTCTTAAAATCTATAGGGGTTTCCAACTAAATTTGACTTCAGTAATTGGGTAGAATTAGTCGTACGTTGATATTGTTATATATTATAAGAGAGGCAATCAACATGACAAAGAAAATAAATGTTAATTTTGTCTATGGTTCAAACTAACATATATGTAAGGTGTACGTTCATTAAGTTTGCTATCTAGATAATGACTTGACCGGAGTTTGGGGCATGATGCTATACTCTAGTCTTTTAATGGGCAATTTTGTGTCCCTAATTCTCGAACCCAACAAATATGAGTTAATACCTTTGACCATGCATGAGGGTCTCTCGTATTCGAACCTTCATGACCGCAAATATTAACAACCGATCCGAGTACAATTAGGGATAAAGTTATTAGGTCTGTACAAAACTTTGAACACATTAGCTGTGTTTCGTTTGGAAATGTGAGTGAATATGATATGAAAATGATATTAGGACTAGTTATCGAACAGTTCGATTTATTGGGATAAATTGGTTCTTCGAAATAGAATATGTCATAACCGGAGAGCTCAATTAGTACGATATGGTCTGTTTTGTATTTCTAATGTGGTACGTGGATTGTCCTATAACAATCATCCCCTCAAGACAAGGACCACGAACTTCGTGTCCTCACCTCAGCGATTATCTTGATCTGCCAGACGCCTTGTATCGATTGGCTTCTCGGTACAAGGACTTTACCAGATGCAGAACTCTCTTTGATCTGCCAAACAGACGTGGATCTCTCCTGGATCCACCAAACAGCCCAGACGCATAACTCTCTTTGATTTGAAAAAGAGACACCTTGATCTGCCAGACGCCTTGTATCGATTGGCTTCTCGGTACGGATCGCAAATACCGAGGTCATCAAACGAGGGTCCACCAAACTGACGTCCACCACCCCGAACCAGGCTCTGATACCACTTATCATAACCGGAGAGCTCAATTAGTACGATATTGTACGCTTTGGGCCAAACCCACCCAAAAAGGCCTCGTACTAATTGGGTTAGGTGGACATTAATATACAAGAATTCCTTCTCTTGTATTTTCAATGTGGTACTTGGATTGTCGCATAACAAAATACCATCAACATTTTTTTATTTGTTTTCCCCCTCAACTGCTCTCGTTATAGGGTCCAGTAGTTTATTGAGACTGGGTTAATTTCTATTATTATACGATTGCTGACCAAAAAAAGAACAGTGTACGGTAGACAAGCCAAAAATGATAGGGACCCTATCTCATTTGATGCTTTAAACGGAAGGTGGAAAAAACGTCATTTCAGTATTAATTAGTTAATTAGTTGTGCTGGTACTAAGCTCACTGTTAGATCTTTAAGAGTCCATTGACGACCTCCATTTTTAGTATTTTATGACCCTAAATATGTTTGAATTTAAGATAAGATACTACTGTTGAACTTCTGAATAAGGTAAGGGGAAGACCCTACCTAGGCGACAGGATTGAATATCAAGGGGTTTGAAAGGAAGGAAGACAGAGACAGGCGAGAGGGATGGCGAAAGAAGTTGGGAGAAAGGGAGGAATGCGAGATGAGAATGGTGGCGGCCAGCGGCTAATAAACTAGTTGAGAAAATCGTCTCGTCGGAGATGGCCTGTGGGTCTTCACGTGAAGTTGGTCCTACCGACGGACGGACGGACGGACGATTGCCAATTAATTCGCTCCCAAACAAACACAGAATTGACCTGGCTATCTTATAGTTGATTAAGGGACACTTACCTGGAATTTTTTTATAAAGAAATGAAGTAGTTAAAATGTCCAGAAAGACAGATCTTCTATATCTAAGTGAAATAAATTAGCTTAGCTTTGTATTAGTTGGTCACTTTGATTGGCCATGTAGATTGCGGATGAGATTACATGACTAATGACTTCATTCGACGTATTAGATTACCGGTTAATATAATTTTTCAAGCAAAGTCTGTGTACAACAACCTCTAAATCACACCGGTCACATCTACCAGTCTCGACTCCGACGACCGCTAAGCTATCCCTAGCCGTTGAAGTTTGAATTGGTGGGTGCTCTTCCGCTGGCCGCCTATTTTTCATCTCGATATGCCTCTTTTCTTCGGACCGCAATTAATCAGTCCATCCTCTGTTGCCGGCGGCGGTCAACTGGTCATGATTTAGAAGAAAGACAATAATGAGCTCCATCTTCTCGAAGATTCGCCCTCCAACGCAAAACTTGTCTTCATGGGGAGAGTGAAGTCCAAAGAGAAAGAGACGAGAGCATGTAGATAGACCGTCCATGGTCGCACGTAAATGATAATCACACACACAAGTAGAGCAGTAGAGAAGTAGTATATACATTAACCAACTCTTTTATTACCTGCGGCTGCATGCATCATTGCTAAGCTAAAGGTGACTAGAAAAGAAGAAAGTTACTCACTTTTTACCTCCTCATTTGACAATTTCGTAACCTGCCTGCTAATTTTGTTCAAAAGGCTTTGCCTCAGTCGAGTTCAAGTACCACTTTACCAGGGACCCCTCTGCTTTCTTTTGCTTCATGAGCATCCCTCACTTGCGCGATCGGGAATGTCTTCTCCACGGAATGTCTTCTCCACTGGCATTTTCAGCTTCCCGATCTCGGAGAGTCTGCGTATTTCAGCTAACCCGTCCGAATCAGCTCTCATGTACGTCCACCAATACTCTGTACCAGCAGATGAATCCGATAATTTTTAGTTCCAAGTATAATACTCTATGGCCGGTACACGAGAAACAAACACGTTCACTTTCGACCCAAAAGACCTAATAATGTTGTCAAGCCAGGAATTATCAAACAGGTATAAGATGTTTCAAATGAAAGTTTGAGGTTGGGAGGAAAGACCTGGTAGAAAAAGAAATTTACATACCTATTCCATGAGAATAACGATACTGAATCTGTTTCTTCCATAATATTGAAGTGGCGAGGGGAAGACCTACAACTAACCCGTATCTATCTGTCAAAGCTGCTGCTTCGCCCTACAATAGTAGACATGATACAGATCAGTTTCAAGACTATGTGGAAGGTATAAGCGTCTACATTAACTTGCTTCCCTAAAGGTGCAAAGTATGCTTTCATCAATTACCTGAAGAGTCATGTAGTGGCCACCTCTCTTCAGAAAATTGATTCCTGTCCTTTCTGTTTCCGGCAATCCGATAGTGTCAAAAACAGCGTCAAACTTTCCTTTTATAGCTACCTCAATATCCTGTACGTTATAACAGTTGATTACTAAGGGTGAACAAGCAAGCAAATGTGTGTTATGTAGATGTTTATGCCTTTAAATAGCTGGGATGCACAGTCACCTCAGCAGTGTAGTCAACAGCCTGTTCTGCACCAGATTCCAGCATTCGAGCTACACTGTTACTTCCACAGGTGGTTGTAACATAGCACCCAGCAGCAACACCGAGCTGGATGGCAGCAAAACCGACAGCTCCACCACCACCAATTACTAACAGCCGTTGCCTGTAGCCACACCACAAGCATAATAGAAGGTCATTAGATAGTATATCATATTACCATAACTTCATTTTACACAAAGCATAGGAGGACTTCCGGCAATACATATTTTAAGCACTTTTTTGCTAGAGCAGATTAACTGCCTCCCTCAGTGAAACTAGGAATCCAAATGGAAAATACTGCATGGTACCTAAATGTTCGTCTCCCAAACAGCATAGTTGCCTACCCATGTATCTGGTCCTTCAGTCATTTCAGTAATTTTCCAACCTTATAATTGTTTTATCTTCTTTTAGTACTTCTATTAACCCAAAGAAAAGTTAAAGTGCTTGCAATACCAAGTAGCTATGTGCAATAGAATCTGTATGAAATAAGTTTAAGGTTAACTATTCAATTGGGTGTGAAAAGTTTATAAGAATCAAGTAACATTTTCTGGTCAGCTTGCCATGATAAGGTCTTCTAAATATTTCAAGCAGACCGTAAAATAAGTCAAACACAATATCCTAAACTTACACCATTACTCAAATAAAGCAATTCCTAACAGTTCAAGCAAGTACCTGCCTGCAATCTTTCCTTTGGACCAAAGCTTGGCTAACATCAACCTTGATGTGCCTTGGGTTATTCGGCAAATATTATGCAGAAATTAGAGGGTTCTCAGCTGGAAATTCCAGAAAACAATAAAAAAAGGGACAGTTTAAGGGGTTGCCATCCAATCCAGGAGCAGGACTTTGCTAGGAAAAACACTCAAAAGGGGTTTGAGAATCCACTGAAAGAAAACAAAAAGTTGAAAGACACACGTAAACTCATAAAATTCTGCTATATTGTGCAGAACAGCTTACTTTTACAGGAGTTAAGAGCTCGGTATGCACTATGCAAGAAAACTAATCCTGTTCTAGTAATAATTCCTCAAAGAACTAACAAAGACTTCCTGTTTTGAAAAGAAAGAACTAATAACGTGCTTAACATAACTAATCAACATTTCAAACTCAACGGATGTCAGGTAGTTTTCCGACCCAAACACTTGCAATATCGTCTCACCAAATTCTATTGGTTTTGGGTAATTGAACAGCACGGATAAAAATAACGAAGTAACAGGAATAGCAGACTACTTGTGAGTAATACAGCAACATGATCAAACCAAATGCAGCAGTAAAACATACCCCTCAGCTGCCAAGCAGTCAGTGCAGCAAAAGGAATGGCACTTGCTTCCTGCAACAGCAGAAGAATCATTACAAATATCATTACAAATAGGAACTGGAACTGAAGATGATCAGAATAAAAGTTCATCATAACTGCAATGATTTCAAGTTCAATCACTATCAATCCCAGCTGTTGCTCATATGACTAATACTTGACAATCTTAGTTTAAAATCCCCTTATGCATATCCAAGTATATTTAACAGGTCCAAATGTGCAAGCAAGTCAGCAAATAGAGGTTTCTTTACAGTTTCGCCTCAAGGAGAGGGGTGAAAAATGAAAAAATTGAGTCACTTTTCCACATGGGAAACTATAAACACTGCATTCTGTACCACATGAGTAATTGAAGCTGGTTTTGCAGCAAGTTCTTCCTCTGAAAGCACCGCATAATCAGTGTAAGTGCCCCTGACAGCAGTTGGATGCAGAGCACCAAAGACTTCTTGTCCAACACTCAACGAATGAACAGAGGTCCCAACAGCTGCAACTTCCCCACTGACATCTCGACCTAAGACGAGAGGTAGGAGTGGTTCAAATACCGAACGACCATAACCTGCTCGCATCTGGAAGAATTATGATCCCCGAAAATGGATTGATTAATGAACAACTCCTTGCAACAAATAATTCCGTAAGTAAGGACATCATCTACTTGAAAAATTCAGCATTGATTTAATACAGCGTGTTGTGTGTATGATCTAATGACAAGAAATGGATTTCCAACTTCTGTTTCTTAACTTCCATCATCATTCATACCATTAGTTACCTTTTAGTCCCTTCCCTAGCCTTCCAGTCCTATTCTCATACTGAAATGAGAACTTAAAATTTAGGTTCGTTCTCATGCATATGACCTAATCACAATTTCCACCCAGCAAAAACAAAATCTATTCATTCTATCGAGAAACTACGTCCGATCGGAACTTACTCTGGTATCCAGTGGATTAATCGAAGCTGCCCGAACACGAACGAGGACCTCGTTGGGCTTCAACGTCGATGTGGCGGCACATCGACGTTGTCCCGGAGCTCCAGCACTACCGGGCCTCCAAACCGAGGAAGTAACACTGCCCTGCAACTAGTTAAAATGTGTCTATCAAAACCCGAATGCCAGAGTCGGCTGGCCACCGCCTTTCTTGAACTGAAGTGAGGTCTCAAGAATCGCATTCTCCGCGGCGTTGGTTGGCTCGGGCTTGGCTGCTTCTATTCGTCGGACAGCGGTTGGGGTTTTACCAAGTGCATGAGAAATCGATCGGAGACGGACGATGCTGTGAATGATTTTGGGGAGTTACTGGAAAGTGGAAATGAAAGCGCGAGGGCAGGCAGTGGGCCGCAGAAAGAAGAAGGAAGAGGAGCAGATGACGTATGCTTGTTTGCATCCGCCAGAAAGCGCCTGCCTGATGACGGAAAATCGGACAACCCAACCCAAGCCACCGGTTCGACTTGCGACCAACCATGAAACTGAAATGCAAATGGGCCCAATTGTACCACTACAATCACTTGTCTCAATGGCTCGTAGTCCAGCTTGGCTAAGTAATGGAAGGCCCAATTGGTTCGTTATCATTGGTGTGTGGCTCGTAGTCCTGCACGGCACACATTTGGATAGGGCTTTACTAGACAGACCGGGTAAATGCCACATTGCTGAAATTATTAAATCGTGTTATGTTTATTCATTATTAAAAATTAATATAAATTTTGGTCATTCTAATTACTAAAACAGGTCACATTTACGGGTCGTTTGCTTCATGGATTTGAAAAATGAGGGTTTTGGTAAAACCTGGGTTTTGGAAAACCATGGATATATGATGGAATTGGTGGCATTATGAATTTGAACAAGTCTATTGTTTGCTTGATGGATTTGATTATGGACTTTCTTTGATTAGATTTGTGGATATTAAATACAAATTACCTAGTTACCCTTATTTAATTATATTTCTATATTATAATCCAAATCTTTCATTTAAAACTAATCCAAAACATAAAAAGAAATTTTAAAATCTTTACCACTATGTGGATTAATAATTCAACTACAAATATAGAAATGTATTACAATATGGCACTAATTAACAATTCATCTTGGCACTAATTAAAAATTCATCTAATAATCCTTCATAAAAAAAACAATTCATCTAATAATGTACGCAATATTATGTATCAATTGTAGCCAATTGCTCGCTTTATTGCTACAACTCATCATCTTCTTGCTAACTCACCGATGTGGAATCCGACAATCAATCAAATAATAATGTACAAGATGAGCATAAAGTGTTTCTAGGTGAATCTAAAAAATCACATATACATTCATATTTAAATAAAATACGATATTACAAAATGAAATGATAAATTCTCATATTTATAAAATACGAAATTATAAAAGTTTACATTGCATGACCATTGAATTAAAGTAGGACAAATTTGTAATCAAAGAAATAATTAAGGGTAGAAAGGTAATTTACCATCATGGATTTTAATCCATCACCCAAATCCCACCTCAAGAGGTGGAACTTCCAAGTCCGTGGGGTCCACGGATTTGGAACCCCAAAAGTGGTGGGCCCCACAAATTCCATCTCCCTAATTCCCTAAGGCAAACGATGGATTTCGATTCAAGTCCATGATGGATATATTTCCATGACCAAATCCATCACCAAAACCCTCAAGCAAACGACCCCTAAGTTACTCTTCTGTTAGCCTTCGTCCAACTCCTTTCACTCGAATTACTTTTTGTTTTATGAATGTCACTCGAATTACTAAAACATGTCACATTTAGTCACTCTCCCGTTAGCTTTCGTCCAATTAACGAGAGAGTGACTAAATGTTACATTTTCAGTAATTCGAGTGACATTCATAAAAAAAAAGTAATTCATAGAAACGTAATTCGAGTGACCAAGTAGCACAGATTTTCTCTTGGGAGGGTGGTCATAGAAAGCGAATCTAGCATCTTAAGTAACCTCTCCTAATTCTTATTATGAGTCATCATAAATCTTCAATCTGAGTCCAAGTCAAGGGCAACACACATCTCCGAAACACTAAGTTCTACTTGGTGAAGCAAGGAGGAAGACGAAGAAAAAGAAGTGGCGGAGACAAGCTGGCCACAAACAAATTCAGCTTCCTTTGATAGTTGATACTTAGGATGAACATCTCTATCTCCGGTAGATCAGAACATAGGACAAAAGTACTTGCCAGTTGGCACAGAGAATGGGCTATGGTGTTACATTGGTATTAACCCTCTGTTTAAAAATCATAATAATGTGTGTTCGACTCCTAATCCTAAACATTTCTTCGCTTCCACCAATCCTCGAGTTGAATCACGATGGTGAATACAACGACACAATACATGACTCGCATCAAAACCGTCACGCCACCGGTTAAAGGGTTAATTGCACAAGTTGCCATTTAAGTTCATCATTTGTTGCATGATAACCACCCAAGTATGTTTTGTTGCAACTAAACCACTTACGTCAACTTTTGGTAGCACTGTTACTATTTCCGTCTCGATGGCTAACGATAGGTACCGAAATGTAAATAACCATTCCAACTCAGACTGCCACATCAGCGGCGGACTGCTGACTCATGTTTGGCCCTACCCCCATTTAAATCCAATAAATGACACATCCTCCCTCCCAAAAAAATCATCCGACCCCTTCCTCCTCCTCCTTCCTTTCCACCCCTAAACCTTCCCTAATATCTGACAAGCGAACCAAAATCTTCTTTTTCCATCCTTTATTTTTTCCTGCTTCATTTGGCGATGAGCGTCGGCGTGGGCGTTGGTTTAGGGTTGGGGTTGGCGTCACTGTCGGTAACGAAGTCCTCACCATGACCGACGAATCCTACATCCCGCATCTCATCCCAGCCCTCAATTTCATCCATGTCACCGTCGTCTCCCTCGGCCTCCAAAACCAGGACACTGTCACAACCCCCCACTCCCTCGCCATCCTCCAATCGTCCTACCCACCCTCCGCCGATGTGTTCCGCCGAGATCTGACTGGCTGCAGATTAGCTTCTGGGCAATATTCTGGTTCAGCGATATTAGAATAGAAATTTTGTTGAGGAGTGAATATGCCAATTTAATCCGTTTTAGAGCCATAAAATTTGAATTCTAGAGCGACGAATAGCGATTCAGTTATTAGTTTCTGAATTTGAATAGCCCGCTGTTGATGTTTCACTAAGCAGCCAATCTTGAGCTTACCAGCAAGTAATCTCAGTACTATATGCAGAAAGGATGCAATCTTCAAAATTTCGCTTCGATCGTCAATACTCAATAATAAGTAAGCTTTATTAACAGACTATTAAGCACATGAACTAATGAACAAGGAACCAAAACAGAAATGGTAAAAAGCTGCTTCATTTCTAACCATCAAGCTCTGAGAGTGAAGCAAAAAGATGAACAAGAAAACCGAACAATTATTTATACATAGTACAAATGAAGTAGAAGAAGGAAATTATTGAAAACAAAGATTTTGGTTGCTGGTTTGATAAGAGGAAGGTTTGGGGTGGAAAGGAAGGAGAAGGAGGAATGGGTCGGATGACTTTTTTGGGAGAGAGTGGGTCATTTGTTGGAATTAAGTGGGGTTGGGTCAAACATGAGTCAGTAGTCTGCCGTTGACATGGCAGTCCGAGTTGGCATGGTTATTTACATTTCTACACCTATCATTAGTCATGGAGACGGAAATGATAACGGTGCTACCGGAATTTAATATAAGTGGTTTAGTTGCAACAAAACGTACTTGGGTGGTCATCATGCAACAAATGGTGAACTTAAGTGGCAACCTGTGCAATTAACCCCCGGTTAAACAAAGAACAAAGTTGTCTAAAAATTTATCTAGCTATTTTGTGTAAAGTTGAGGAGAAAGGCGTGGGTTGAGAACCACCTCTAGCGGGATGGCTTTGGGAAGTGTGATCCCGGACACTTCACTCATGTCCACGGGCTTATCTCCCGGAGTAGTCCAATCAAACCCTTGGAGCAGTCTGGCCAAAACCAATTCGGTCATCTGCATTCCAAAATTAATCCCGGGGCAACCGCGCCTGCCCGACCCAAACGGGAGGTACTCGAACTGCTGCCCGAACACCTCCCGGTTGGCGTCGGCATTCAGGAACCTCTCCGGCTTGTACTCGTCTGGATCGGACCACAGCCTCGGATCCCTGTGCAGCTTCCAGAAGTTGGCCATGAACCAGGTCCCCTTGGGAACACGGCGGGACCCTCCGATCACAAAGTCCTCCGACGCTTTTCGGGGCACCGAAAGTGGACCCACCGGATACATCCGCATGGTCTCCTTAATCACGGCTCTCAGATACGTCAGATTTTGAATGTCGGACTCGTCCGCCCATCGATCTTTCCCAACTTTATTGTCGATTTCCTCTTGAGCCAGCCTTAATACCGACTTGTGGTTCAGCAAGTTCGATAGGATCCACGTCACTGTAATCCATGTTGTGTCGGTCCCTGCCACGACTACAGACTACCCAAAAAAAAAAACAAAAACAGGGGAAAACAGGGGAAAAGGTGTAACTTATAGGTCGTTTGGATGTGGAAATGTAATGCAGTAATTGGACTCAATTACCACATAATGCAGTAATTGGGTTAAAAACCCACGTTTGGCAGAGCAAAAAGGGTATGAGAATTGGACCATGGAAATTGGCTCCGATTACCACATTCATTGTAATTGAGAATACTACATCTCCCCCTAGTAATTTGACATTATCACGTTTTCTTCCTTCTATTTCCAAATGTGTCCTTATGTCCTTCCTCTCCTTTCTTCCTTACTCCTCCGATTTCGCCTAACTATTTCTTACAATAGTAGCTCCTTTTTCTTCATTCATCAATGACACCTCTTCTTCTTCATCTCCCTTCACCTTCGTATATCTCCTCTAATCCGTCGTCAATTTCTTAATTTTGGATTCGCTTAATTATCTCATTCACCGTCAATTTTCTTGCTTCTCCTCATTGAATTCGCATAAACACTTTTAATATCCGTATTTAATGAATTAAATTGTTAACTTTATTATAATTTATATATGTACTTATTATTCAAATAATTAAGTTTATATATTTATGGCTTTTAATGTACTATTAAATGTAATATTAGCTTAGAGATGAAGTAAAATAATTGTACGTATTTTATACGTAACTTTTCCATATCATATTTTTCTAACTATGCTTAAGTTAGCAACAATTAGTAGTTAGTATAATACAATAACAACCTTTAGGAGGGGTATATGTATATAAACAAAAGAGGGCATTTTTGTATTTTTACCAAATTCCACACCATCAATTCCCACAAAACTAAACCCTATCCAAACGTGGAATTTTGTTCAATTTCCATAAGTCAATTCCTTGGTTTTGTAAAACATGGAAATTCATACAAATTCCCACGTTTTCAAATTTCCACACCCAAACGACCCCTTAGAATCCAAAACTTCGACGGGATTCAACTTCATTGATTGCTCATACGAAAGGATGGGGTGAAAACTGAAAAGTACCAGAATGGTGGCCTTGATGACATTCTCTCGCTGGTGGCCGTGGAAGAGTTGGTCTTTAAATTCCGAGAGCATCATGTGGATAAGGTCGGGATTTGCATCGACTTTGTTCTTCTTCTTCTTCCTCTCGTCCTTGTGCTCGTCGATCCAGGTTTCCATGATGGCATCCATCTCTTTGCTCACCCGTTTCATGTCCTTCACAGCTCCCTGGAACAACCCGAGCCACCCGAGGATCGGAATCGAGTCGGAAGGGACGAGCGTACCGGTGAGCACTACAATGTCACTCAGAACCTGACCAATTGGCCTCCCCTGCCCCGAAGATTCCTTGTCGTAGTATCCATACCGCTTCCCGGCGATCATCCGAGTAATTATGTTGATCACCGTGCTCTGGACTACCTCCCCGATCACAACAACATTGGTGGCCTTATCATCGTTTCCGCCTCCGCCGGTGCTCTGCTGGTAGAGGTCGGCGATGAGGAAATGGATCTCGGAGATCTGGACGTGGGCGAGGGCCTTGATCCGATGGACGGAGAGGAGCTGGGTGGTGAGCAGCTTCCTGATTTCGCGGAGGTAGGTGCCGTAAGGCGCGAATCCGATGCCGGCGTAGTTGTAGCCGAGGATCTTGGCGTGGCTGGAGTCCGGCCGGAAGGCGAGGATCCGGTCGTGGGTGGTGAAGCAGTCCTTGACGTCGTCGTAGTCGCTGACCACGACGGTCGGGTTGTTGGCGCCGAGGCGGACGGTGAAGACGGCGCCGTACTTGTCGGCGAAGGAGGCCAGCTTCCGCGCCAGGATCTGGTTGCCCCTCAGGAGGTGGAGGTGGCCGACCAGAGGCAGGGCACCGGGGATTTCGGGGACAATGTTAGTATCCTGCTGCTGGTTTCGCTTGTTGGCCAGCCGGCGGAGGTGGAAGAATACGACCACGGCAAAGGCGACGAGGATTTCGGGGAGATGCTCTGAAATAATCATGCCGACGGCGACCGTGTGTTCTCCTTTCGTTCGTTGCTGGTTGGAACAGAGATGGGAACAGCCTTGAACCTGGACATCTCAGGTTCGAACTCCTTTAATAATACTTAATCACAAAAAATTAACATATATCACTCTTATTAAAAAAAATATTTATAATGACAGAAGTGAAACAATATAGTGAATCCAATGATCAAACTTGTAATTTATCATTCAGTTTAATAAATCTACCTTCTTGGTATTTGTGCCTTTAGCAACGTACCAAGCCCGCCACGGCGAAATTAATGGGCAGCGTTAAAAATGGATCTACTGCACACCGTTAAAAATGGATATATTATAATTAAAAGGATTATTACAGATAAAAAAGGATTATTACAGATGTTGAACACGGTCAACGAAAATTAACCTAGCCCGCTCTCCAAATTCCTAGAAAAATAATTGGGTTAATTACATGGTTGGTCACTGAGATTACAAAAAACGTTCATCTTTGGTCATTGAAAATATTTAAATCCAATCTTGGTCACTTAAATTAGTTAAATAGTTCAAGTTTGGTCACTCTCCATCCAACTCTGTTAAATTTGTCTGATGTGGCAGTCAACTATCAAAGTTGACCGTTAAATCAGTGACGTGGCAATTAAAAAATAAAAAATAAAATAAAATTGAATATTCTACCTTTTCTAACTCATTTTCACAATAAAGTGAAATAAAAAAATAATTATAATTACAAATTGAAAGGGAGCCGACTGTCTGCAGGTGATTATGGCCAGGGAGCGGCGGGGACGGCCGGCGGAGCTAGGGATGGGAATTGGGAGCTAGTTTGGTTGCTGGGATCACTTCATGATATAATCGTGAACCAATTCGAGCAATCGAACCCTAGGTCGTGGATCTGCTCTCTGTTGCCGCTCCCTGCGGTGTAGTAGTTGGTCTGGACGACGGTCTCGTCCTTTCCGACGAACTCGAAGTCGATCTCGTCCTGGGATTTGTTTCCTTCCAGGGAAGATATCTGCATTATGGTGGACATAAAAAGAAGGATCAGTCCAGATGGATTGGACATGACGGGAATCATTATTGGAGTGATGATCCGAATCACCAACAGCAGCAGCTCGCACTTCATTGATCACCCTGCATCAAGCTGCTGCTGTAAGGATGAAGGCAAGCTTCCCACGAAGTGCAGATTGGGTCCAAGTCGGAACGACGCCGTTCTTCTCCTATCCATAAACAGGGATTGAAGGGAAACGTTGTCGTTCCGTTGTATGAAGAAACGTGGAGCTCCAAGCCGCTGCCGTTTTGATTAATCATTGTTAGAAGTTAGTTAACCAGCTGTACAGGTTTTAGGGATGACAATCAAACCCATGGTCGCGGGTATCCGACCGTCCCCGACCCAGTCAACGTGGGGTCCCCGTATTGATTGGGTATGGGGCGGGTATGGGTAAAACCCGCAAAACGTGTGATGGGTATGGGGCGGGTATGGTTTTAGCCTCCCCCGCCCTATACTCATACCCATACCCGCCCCACTAAGAACATTTCTTCACATATAACAAATATATGAATAAAATTGTGATATATGAATGATAGTGAGGGTACCTCAAGAAAATAAATATTAGAAATGCAATTGAGTGACCACCCAAATCAAAATATAATTCCTTTTCGTCAACTCTCCCTTAACTCTTTCACTTTTCCCCTCGTGTTTACTAGATTATGTTAGTTTGTTATTAGTTAGTCGATGTATCAGAGTTAGAGAAGAATGATTTGTATTACATTATATTGTACTCTATCTTATGGATTAATGGATTGTTTAGGATAAGATGCTTTGAATCATATAAAGAATGATAGTCTTTTTGTCAACTTCACGATAGTAGGTGCGTTTAATGTTATAATTGAGAATGTACATTTAAAATTTTAGGTATTATAATGTCGGATGTACGGGGCGGGTATTACCCATGGGTAACCGAAACCCACAGGTATGGGGATGGGTTTGCAAAACCTTCCCCCACATGGGTATGGGGCGGGTATGGGTATAGATATTTGATAGCGGGTATGGGGATGGTTTAGGCAAATCCGCCCCAAACCCGCCCCATTGCCATCCCTAACAGGTTTTATTGGTTAGTTTGAGTTGTTAGTTTTTACTGTAGATTAGTCGTTGCTTATCAACTTTACCTTCTCTGTACAACTTTGTATATAAATGAAAATGCAAAACCAAGGAGCTCTCAGTTGAGAATCCTTCCACAAAACCCTATCTATTCAATTTCTTCTCATGGTATCAGAGCCTGGTTTCTCTATACCTTAGATCTCAACCAAATTTTGATCAATCTTAGCGATTCCCCTTTGCAATGTCTACTCCTCCTCCTGGCGTCGATGGCCATGTCTCTGATGGCTCTAAATCGTCTGAATCTGGAAACCCAGGTCAGACTTCTTCCACTCCACCGCCGATTCCAGCACAACCTCTTCAACCCCTACCACAGGTGCCGCCTTAGGTACCCAAACATGAGGATCCATACCTCAATCCTTACTACCTTCCTCCTCACGATGGAGGCTTGACCACCATCATCTCCATGAAGCTGACTGACCAGAACTACAATCTTTGGAGTCAGATGATGGAGCTTGCTCTCAGCACTAAAAAAAACTTCTTTTCGTCAATGGTATGATCCCTGTTCCTCAACCCACTGATCCAATTTGGCAATCTTGGCATCGTTGTGACAGTACAGTGCGATGCTGGATATACAACTCTCTTTCTGATGATATTGCGAATAGTGTGGTGCCCTTTCGTGTTGCTAAAGAAGTATGGGACAATCTACGAGACAGATTTAGTCAAGAAGACTATATTAGGGAGTATGAGCTCAAAGAGCATGTTTCTAAGCTTGTCCAAGAAGATCTGACTGTTTCACAGTATTACACAACCCTCACTACAAAGTGGCAAGAATACAAGATGTATAGACCACTTACCTGCTGCCCTTGCCCTAATAGTCCATACCACACTATGACCAGATATCAGGAAGAGGATTTTATCATCAAATTCATGCAGGGGTTGAATGATACTTACCAATCTGCACGTACCCAGGTGCTTATGAGTGCCCATTTACCCAGTATTGAGTCTGTTTTCAAGCAGATGGTTCAACTTGAGCGACAGCTCAAGGGTTCTGCTACTAAGCCTGGAGTGAATTCTTTGGCATTGCTAGCCCAAGGGTCTTCCTCCTCTGGACTCCCCAATGCCACTGCACGAAATCCTCGTGATTACACCACTGAAGGCAAGAAGTGGTGCCGTTATTGCAAAATGGAAAACCATACCATCCAGGAGTGTTATAGGTTGAAGAACAAGAAATCTAGGGAGGGTACAGATGGTACTCCCTTTGCTGGTGTTGTTGATGTTTCTGGTTCTGATGGGAGTAGCAATGCTAGCTTTGTGGCAACAGGATCAGAACCATCATTGAGTTCCCTGCTTACCCCTGATCAGTTTGAGCTCAAGACTCTTCTGAATGGGTCTCCTTCTCCCTCACCTCCACCTCCCAGCTCACCCCATCTACCTAACGTCAATGCACTGATCAGGGCACCACCACAAACACCTCATTTTGCAGCCAGCACCTCAGGTACTACTTCCTTGTCTCCAACCTTGAATGAAACAGTCTGGGTGTTAGATACAGGTGCTACAGACCACATAATCTGTAACCTGTCTACCTTCATCAAGTATAAACCTATGGAAGGTGTTAATGTGTCTCTACCTAATGGACACCATGTGAAAGCCACTCATATAGGCATAGTCAGGTTACCTTGTGGATTGTTTCTTACCCAAGTCCTCTTCATTCCTTCCTTTACTTACAATCTTGTTTCTGTAAGTAAATTAACCAAAAATCACCCTGTCTCACTAGTTTTCCAATCCCATTTTTGTACCATTCAGGACCTTATTACTCGGAGGAAGATTGGTTTAGCCCAAGTTGATAAAGGCCTCTACCTCTTTTCTGATTCCAAGCTTCAAGAATTTCATTCCCCTGTTCCTTCTTCCAGCTTTGCAGCAGGAGTTTCCAGTTCCAAGCCTTCTACTTCAGATATTTGGCATGCCAGACTAGGCCATCCCTCTTTGTCTAGGATGCAAATTGTTAAACATGTTTGTAATGATGTTGTTCTTCCTTCTTCCAAACATTGTGAGACTTGTCACTTGTCTAAACAAAAACGACTTTCATTTTCCAACAGCACTTCTGTCAGCTCAAATGTTTTTTCTTTACTTCATGTTGATATCTGGGGACCCTTGAATACCATTTCCAGGGAAGGTTACTCCTATTTCTTTACCATTGTTGACGATCACACTAGAGCTGTTTGGGCCTTTTTAATGAAATCCAAATCTGAAGCCAACCCTCTTTTACAATCCTTCTGTATAATGGTTAAAAACCAATTTTCCCAATCCATCAAAACCATTTGCACTGATCAGGGTCAGGAATTCCACATGGCTGACTTTTATCGCAGTCATGGCATTACTCATGAGATGAGCTGCGTTTATACAGCTCAACAAAATGGCCGTGTTGAGCGCAAACATCAGCATTTGCTCAACGTGGCTCGTTCACTCAAATTCCAGTAAGGACTTCCCCTTTCCTTTTGGGGCGACTTTGTCTTGCACGCAGCCTATCTCATTAATCGAACTCCAACACCTCTCCTTAACCACAAATCACCCTATGAAATGCTTTACCACGTCCCTCCTGATTACATGAGCCTGCGTGTCTTTGGTTGCCTGACTTATGCCACTACTGTTGGAGGTCATAAGACCAAATTTGCACCTCGTGCCAGGAAATGCATCTTCCTTGGCATTCCCACTGGCATTAAATGCTTCAAACTTCTTGACATTGACTCTGATCAAGTCTTTGTCAGTAGAGATGTCCTCTTTCATGAAGCCATTCTACCATTCAAACAGTCCCAATCTACCAATCCTACACATCTTCCTCCTGATCCTTCTCCTTCACCTGTTGTGGATGATGATGTTTTTCCATTCCCATCTACTGATATTCCTACCACTTCCTCTCCTCCTGCTGCTAGTCACTATCCTTCTGACTCTGATAGTGACAATGACCAACCTCCTCCCTCACCTAGTCCCTATCATCCCTCACATAGTCCTTATCATCCCTCACCCAGTCCCTATCATCATCACTCTTCTCCTTCTTCCATCCCTTCCACCTCTGCCAAACCTGTAGTTCCCCCTAGAAAATCCACAAGGGTACTTGTCTTTCCTAAGAAATATGATGACTTTTATGTTGGTTCAGTCCAAGTCAGTATGTCCCATCTCACTCCTCCTCAGCAACATTTTGCTCTTACTCTACTCACAAATGAGGAGCCAGTGAGCTATGCTGAAGCTGCCAGAGATCCCAGATGGAATGCAGCAATGAATGAAGAGTTTAGTGCACTTCAAGCTAATGACACATGGGACATTACTGAATTGCCTGGGGAGTTAAGCCAATTGGCTCCAAATGGGTGTACAAAACAAATTACAAGTCAGATAGAGCCTTAGAAAGGTTTAAGGCAAGGGTAATTGCTAAAGGCTATACCCAAATCTATGGGATTGACTATTGTGATACCTGCTCACCAGTGGCTAAGATCACTTCAGTTAAGATGTTATTGGTTGTTGCTTCTGTTCAGAAATGGCATTTACACCAAATGGACGTTAATAATGCATTTCTGAATGGAGAGCTTGATGAAGTGGTCTATATGGAATTGCCACCTGGATTAAGGGATCTACTTGAGTACAAAGGAAAGGTTTGCAGACTCAAGAAGTCTCTTATGGGCTGAAACAAGCCAGTCGAATGTGGTATGCAAAGTTAACTGAGTCTTTACTCAGTAATGGTTTTAAACAGTCTCTTGCAGACTATTCCATCTTCCTTTCCACTGTTCAGGGGCATTTGGTTGTTTTAATTGTATATGTTGATGATATAGTGGTTGGAAATGCTAGCCTTGAAGCAGTAAAAGAAGTTAAAAGGATGCTGATGTCCTTGTTTAAGATGAAAGATCTGGGAGAATTACAGTACTTCCTTGGCCTGGAAGCTAGCAGAACAGATAAGGGAATTCATGTATGCCAACGAAAATACTGCATTGAACTCTTAAAGGAAGCTGGTTTTGATGAGTGCAAGCCAGCAAAGACCCCATCAAGTGTCAAACAAGTGCTCTCTGCCTTAGATGGGGAACCTTATCTTGATATTCCCTTGTTTAAGCATCTCCTTGGGCAACTTCAGTACCTGAACAGCACCAGACCTGATATAACCTTTGCTGTGCAACAGTTGTGTCAATTTCAAGATGCTCCAACAACTGTGCACAACAAGGGATTACATAGGGTATTCAAGTACCTTAAGAACTCACCAGGCCAAGGCTTATTCTATCCCAGTGATTCTTCTATGCAGTTAACTGGTTTTAGTGATTCTGAAGGTCTATCACAGGATTCTGTACATTTCTTGGTAAAGGGTTGATCAGTTGGAAAAGTAAGAAGCAGAGCACTGTATCTAAATCATCTTCTGAGGCAGAATACAGAGCTCTAGCCCACCTTAGTTGTGAAGTTCAGTGGCTAGTCAGATTACTTGCTGACTTTGGCATTAATCACCCTTCTCCTGTTATGGTGTTCTGTGATAACCAGTCCGCCATTCATATTGCAAGAAACCCTGTGTTTCATGAACAGACAAAACACATTGAAGTGGATTGTCACGTTATCATGGAGAGATTGACCAATGGGTTGATCAGTTTACATCATTTGTCTACTGTCCATCAGCTTGCAGATCTACTGTCCAAGCTGGGAGTTTCTGGACGACCCTTGCCAGCTTGCGGGGGTATTGGAGTGATGATCCGAATCACCAACAGCAGCAGCTCGCACTTCATTGATCACCCTGCATAAAGTTGTTGCTGTAAAGATGAAGGCAAGCTTCCCACGAAGTGTAGATTGGGTCCAAGTCGGAACGACGTCGTTCTTCTCCTATCCAGAAACAGGGATTGAAGTGAAATGTTGTCGTTCCGTTGTATGAAGAAATGTGGAGCTCCAAGCCGTTGCCGTTTTGCTTAATCGTTGTTAGAAGTTAGTTAGCCAGCTGTACAGGTTTTATGGGTTAGTTTGAGTTGCTAGTTTTTACTGTAGATTAGCCGTTGCTAATCAACTTTACCTTCTCTGTACAGCTTTGTATATAAATGAAAATGCAAAACCAAGGAGCTCTTAGTTGAGAATCCTTCCACAAAACCCTATCTATTCAATTTCTTCTCAATCATTCTTTGAAAACAAAGCAAGGAATAAATTAAATGACATAAACAGTAGAGGAAGCGGTTGGTGCTCCGCCAACGCGAGCCGCCGCCCGCCGCGATGGTCATAAGTCAGGGTGATGGAATTGGTTTCCAGGCAGTGGGTGCACGCCTCCGGCGTGTAGTCGATGATGATCTGGTTTCGGGGAGATGCTCTGAAATAATCATGCCGACGGCGAGTGTGTGTGTTCTCCTTTTGTTCGTTGCTGGTTGGAACAGAGTTGGAGATGCTCAGTTCCTTTATAGAAGAGTGAAGCTTTTGTCAATAAATTGTCGGTAAAAAATATTTATATGGTAATAGCCAAACGTTTTATTAGAGGTATAATCATTAATAAAACACTGATGGAACGTTAGTGCGGGATGGCTACGCTTTTACTGTGACGTATCACAAGTTGTATTATTTATTGTTCACTGTTTCGTGGCGAAAAAGTGTAAAATGAAGTTTGATGAACGACTACAATGACCTAGTCGCAGATTGTGCTCGTCACCTAAACGTCGGGACGAGATTCTTGGAAGGGGGAGGAAGCATATGACATTTACTTGTTTGCATTCACCAAATAGCGCATGATAACGGAAAATTGATAATCCAACCCAACCCAACCCAACCCACCGGTTTGACTTGCGACTAACCCTGAAACTCCAATGGGCTCAATTTTAATACTACAGATATGGAAAGCCCAAATGATTTCCATTGAGTTTATTTTTTTTCCCCAATAGATCACTCTTCAAAAGAGGAAAGGATCCAGATACAAAGATACCGAGTACATCAATTGTCCCTACTACGAAACCATGAATAGAAGTCGAACCTCCTTAACAAGGGAGGCGACAAAGATAGAGCATGACAAGCCACCAATGAGTAGCTCTGTTTTGAACACTACCAGTAAATTGAACTAGAGAAGAATCCATCGCGTCCAAGAGTGCAATAATTTCCTTCAGGATTGAACCAATATTGTTGTCTGCAGAATCCCTTGCTGAAGCCTTGTCTATAATGAGTTTTGCGTCACCCCCAATGCAAATCAAACTCTGCTGGACTCGGGAGTAACAATCAACAAGACAATCCCGCAAAGCCAAGATTTCCAAGACGTACGGATCATAGATAGATTCATATCTACGAGCACCAATGAACATACCTGAAACATAAAAAAAGACAGAACTTGTGGTTCCATACCCAGCCGCGAAGTTGCAGCATCAAAGGATGCAGAGCATCCATGAATACCAGCCATAGTGGACTGAGTTTGAAGAGCCAGCCGCTGAGGAATAGTTGGAGTAATTAACAGTGCTTGCTCATTCTCCTTCACTTGGAATAGCCATTGATTAGCTAGTACATCTAGCCGAAGTTGCTTTTTCCTTGAAACACCACCATACACCGATTCTTCCACAACCTGCAAAGCAAACGTATTACATACAGAATAATGTAATATGCATCCCCACAATTAGTTTGACTAAGAGAGTTGCGAATGAATCCTCCAAAAGTTCTCTTCACCGACTGCCGCCAAAGGTCCTGCAAACTAAGAAGTCTCCAAAACTTTCGAGCCAATAAACAATTAAAAAATAAATATTCAATCGTTTCTTCCTTCCGACCACAAACCGAACACATTGGAATTAAATCCATACCCCTAATAACCAAAGCTTCCCTAGTAGGAAGAATATGATGGAGACATTGCCATAAGAAGAACAAAACTTTTGGAGGGACTTTCCTATTCCAAACTCATTGTCATAGCTTAGAATCAACGAAGCAAGCAAGTTGCTTAGACGAAGGAGGAATATGTAATTGGCTTACGAGGAAATAGACAGATTTTACTGAAAAGATACATAAAGCTTCATGATGCCAAAGAACTTGATCAGCTATGCGTTGTAGAGGTAATGGGATTCCACGGATAATCTGAACCGTAGGAGCATCAAAGTACAATCGTAACATAGCTATATTCCAAGAGCGTGTACCTAGATCAATGAAAGCCGAGACGAAAGGAGAAGCAGCTGGAGCACCCGGCCGAGTCGTAGGGGAAGAGGGTGGAGAGGTTGGGTGCCAATGATCCGAGAGAGCTCTAATGGAGATCCCATCACCCACTTGCCAACGAAGGCCCTGGTTGAGCAAATCACAGCCAAACAGCACACTACCGGAGCAAATGCATGGCCCGGCTCGTAGGAAGTTATTGGGCCCACCATGGTCCCTTATTTCGTTTTGCCCAATGTGCTCGCGGAATAGGTAATCACTAGGCTAAGGGCTCTGTTCTCACTAAACAGAGCCGGTGGGCCGTCGTGGTTCAATTCCATTGAGCATGCATTGCAGTGGGCCGGCTTTCACAATGTTCAGATGTCGTTTTCCCATCACTAACCACCAGCCAGCAAATAAAGTAACTATCATTTGCGCATCAAACAACTTAAATGGATCCAAGCGTATCAGTCCACAAAAGCGCAGAGCAGCTAGCAGCATCATCAGGAACGAAGAACACTCTGACCGAGGGCTCCTTATCGACAATACCGCAGGGCACCATACTTTCTCATTTATGGATGGATTTTCGGGGTATAATCAGGTCAAAATGTTTGAGGAAGATCAAGAAAAGACCACTTTCGTAACTCTATGGGGGACCTTTTGCTACGTGGTTATGCCATTTGGGTTGAAAAATGCGGGGGAAACCTATCAAAGGGCCATGGTCACGTTATTCCATGACATGATGCACAAAGAGATCGAAGTATATGTGGATGATATGATTGCTAAATCAAGGCCGGGGGAGGACCATGTGGAGGTCCTACGAAAGTTGTTTCGGAGACTGAGGAAATACCAATTGAAATTAAACCCGACAAAATGTACATTTGGTGTTACATCGGGGAAGTTGTTGGGTTTCATCGTCAGTCAAAGGGGAATAGAAGTTGATCCAGAAAAAGTCAAGGCAATAACTCACATGCCACCACCTCAATCACAGAGAGAGGTCAGAGGGTTTTTGGGGCGCCTAAACTACATTAGCAGGTTTATCTCACAATTAACACCGACATGTGAACCAATCCTAAAGTTACTAAGGAAGAACCAATCTGGTGAATGGGATTCCAAATGCCAGGAAGCTTTTGAAAAGGTAAAAAAATGTCTGTTAAACGCTCCAGTCCTGGTACCTCCAATCGCCGGGAAACCATTGATATTATACCTGTCGGTGTTTGAGAACTCTATGGGAGGGATGTTAGCCCAACTTGACCCTACAGAAAGAAAAGAGCATGCCATCTACTACATTAGCAAGAAATTCAACGATTGCGAGAGCAAATACACAGCGTTAGAAAAAACGTGTGGAGCTTTGGCATGGGCGGCCAAAAGGCTACGACAGTACATGTTGTACCATACTACGATGCTGATATCAAAAATGGATCCCATCAAATACATTTTCGAGAAGCCCGCTCTTTCTGGGCGCATTGCGAGGTGGCAAGTCTTATTGGCTGAATATGACATTGTTTACACAACGAGAAAAGCAATAAAAGGGAGCATAGTGGCGGAACACCTGGCGGAACATGCCATAACAGATCCCGAACCAATGATGATGGAGTTCCCCGATGAAGGAATAATGATGACGAAGGAGGAAGATGAGTCCACAATTCGTACCGCTTGGATCATGAAGTTCGACGGAGCTTCTAATGCTTTGGGTCAAGGGGTAGGAGTCATCCTCATATCCCCAGAAGGGAAAGTTTTCCCAATTACGGCTAAGCTGGGTTTCGAGTGCACAAATAATATGGCTGAATACGAAGCATGTGCTTTTGGTATCCAGACTGCAATCGAAATGGGTATTAAAGAGCTTGAAGTATATGGTGACTCTGCCTTGGTGATTTACCAAATAAGAGGAGAATGGGAAACCAAAGACTCGAAGCTGATACCTTACCGACGCTATATAAAAGAATTGATATCCAATTTTAATCACGTAAAATTTGAACACGTGGTCAGAATGGAGAATCAAATTGCCGATGCCTTAGCAACCTTGGCATCCATGTACAAGATAGAAGAACATGACAGTAGACCCAGCATAAAAATTCAAAGGCATGACCTTCCGGCTTACGTGGCTTGCATCGAGGAAGAATTAGATGGTAGGCCGTGGTATCATGATATAATGACCTACATACAAAAGAGGGACTATCCAACAGGGGCTTCTGAAAATGATAAGAGAACGATTAGAAGACTCGCAATGGGCTTCACCTTAAATGGCCCATTCTTATACAAAAAGAGCCATGATGCAGTGCTACTCAGGTGCGTAGGGGCAAAGGAGGCTCAAAGAATAATAGAAGAAGTGCACAATGGGATATGCGGTACACATGCTAATGGGCACTAAACCTCCAGTCTGTCGCTAATGCCGGATGTGTTCGGTCAAATTTTACGGGAAATGATTGGTTCTCCTCCGACTTAATTTACTTAAAAAAACTCGTTTCTGGTTACAGTAACTTAATTTACCCTGCCCTTGTTTCTAACTAGTTTTCCTGATCGGTTGGTTCATCACAGATTCTACAACCTTGACCAGCTTTGTGCTATTATGGTAGAGGTCCTCCTTCCTATAGAACAGAAAGAACCCTTTCCACAACATATCCCTCACTCCTTCAGGAACCTCACTGTAATCATCTTCGCCCGTAACCGATCTCACCATGTCTCGCGTCAACGATTTGATCACGTTTTCGACCTCTTCCACCGCTTCTTCTGTGCCCATTCCTCTTTCCGTCACCCGTAGCGACACTGCATTCACTTTTCCTTGCTCAGCTTCTCTCTGTACGTAAACACACGGAACTTATTATGGACAATATATATAGCCCCTTCAAAATTGTGGTCATGTGTAGCCGTGTAGGGATGGCAAATTACCCACCCATGGGTAATTATACCAAACCCAAGTAGACCCATTGATAATGGGTTGGGTATGGGTGAAGTGCATATGGATTTGGGGGTTTATAGATAGATTTGGGTAAGGTATGAATATTGCTTCCATAATCTAAATGGGTATGGGTTGGATATGGATATCCATTAACTTGAGGGTGTTTTAACTACACATGCAAAAATTGGACCTATTTGTAAAACTTGAAAAGTTTAGGTACCAAAATGTAAGACCAAAAAAATTTAGGTACCAAAAAGTAATTTTCCATTGATATTTTGAGGACTTGTATGCAAAAAAATAAATTAATCAAGGTACTAAATATGCATATCTATTAAGTTTGGGTACCAAACTGTAATTTGTATTTGGGCATGAGTACAAACCCAAATCCATTTGATATAAACCTAACTCAACCCAAAGTAAATGGGTATGGGTACAAACCCATCAAACTCTACCCATATCCATTTATTTAGATTTCATACCCAACCCAATTGGGTTGGATAATAAGAAACCCATAGGTATGAGCAAAGTTGCCATCCCTGAGTCATGTGGTCTGCATTCGCACGTACCTCGAAGCCTACTACGTCGTTCAGTAAACGACCGATGGTGGTGTGGAGCATGAACAGCCCTTGAAATTGTGGGCCTCGAACGACGTCGTCTTCTAGCTTATGCCCGGCTAGGTACATGGCTGGGAGCAAGAAGGCTCCTACACCGATCGAGCGTAATGGGTGAATTCTCCATGTACTCATCAAGTGTTGGGGCCAAATTCATCCTAGCCCATTCTGCTTCTTTCAACATTCCTCTCAGCATCTCCACCCACTACATTTATCGATGTACGATTTTGATCACTACGTAATGTTGTTAAGTTCATGTGATGATCACGTACGATTTTGATCGATGTACGTACGTAACTAGCTAGACTTACAAGCTCAACGACGTGGTCCATAACATTACGCTCTTGTAGCGGGAAGGCTTTCTCCACGGTCTCACATATGGTGCTGTGAATTGCTCGGTACAGTGTTTCGAGCTTTGAGCACAACTTCACCTTTGGCCCCTCCACATCCCACCTGGAAAATTGCACAACTACTAGCTTTACATTATTGATCGTCGCATCGCGTCGATCGGATCTAGCTTAATTGATTAAGATGAATCCGATGACGTACCTCTCCAAGAGATGGACAAGGTTCAAACACTCCTCCGGAGTTCCATTAATGTCGAATAAGTCATCCACTAGAGAAATAATGAGGGCGTGTTTGGACAACAAGATGCGGGCATCCGAGTGGTCAGGGTCGGAGAAAGTTGCTGAACCTTGAAAGTGACAGTAGCCTGTTTTCACCTTGGCCAACTTCATCTCGTACAGTTCCTTGTCTTTAAGCCACCTGCACAGGCAGACGCATACAGTAAGTACAAGATTGTTATACACATACTGAGGGACTAGCGCTAGCTCTGAACGTGACGATTGACTGGTATACGACGTACGACATAAGTTGTTCTAGCTCTTGGCGGTGCAATGATTGACGAGAGTTGAAGTCTTCTACTGCTAGTTTCAGCAGAGCTTCGTCCCCGAAGGCCGCACAGCTACAATTCAACATACGGTAACTAGTCTGAGATGATTGAACGACGATGGATGGATGAATGAATGTATATAATTAAGTGTCGTAAATTAATTAATAAGAATCAAACCTGATGGAGGATTTGAGAAGTTTGTTCTTGGTCTTTTCTGGACGGTACTGTTCGGTATTTCTCTTGTGAGCCAAGAGTTCGACGTCAACGTGGAATGGATAATTGAGGACATCATTCACCTAATCAAAATATTTAATTAAATCTTGATCATGTCGTCGTGTTTGCTACAAAATATTTGTCGCCTTATCAAAGACTTCCAGCGGCGAATGTTTATTTTTCGCGACGGACAAGATTTTGGTCACAAATGTATGGGCAACGAAAGTTGTCCCCTTTGGCAACGGATTCAGTTCGTCGCGAAACACTTGGCGACCAATTTAATGCTTTCTGCGACGGATTGTGTTCGTCGCTAAACATTTTGCGACCGATTAATGCCTTTCTGCGATGATATTTCGTCGCCAAATATGTAGTTTTTTTGTAGTGATATATGCATATCAATAATTATCGGAATAAAATTAGCTACCATAATGGTTAAATATAATTATATATGTACGTACCTGATTGACAATATTGGGTGGAGCAGGACTATGATCATGACTGTATTCCAAAGCTACCTGTGTTAGGAACTTGGCTGTCCACATCTGCTGGCTATCAAGGATGGTTGAACCGTGACAGCCATTGATTCTGGCCGCTTTGTGCAACTCCAACACTGCTTTCTTATCCTTCAAATACCCTTCCATCGTATCGGTCCAGAATCGACCCTCTGCGAATCGATCAAACACGTCTATACAGCACATCCCATGAATCACACATACATATGGATCAGTACAAATTAAAATATTACGTACGAGGCAACTAGCAATAGTATAAGTGACTTAACGGTTATTAATTACCAGGCGTGACTGGACGTCCATTGAGGCGTAATATCCGGAATGCCATGGCACAAGTTGTGGCATCGAGGAATATCTCTTCTTCTCCCTGCTGCCAGCTGTTATAAACGCGCTGCTACGGATCGGGAAATCGCCGGGATCGACAAAGCAAGAATACGAAAGCGAGAATCGAAAGAACACAGACACACGATTTACGTGGTTCACTAACACGATGTGTGTTAGCTACGTCCACGGGCGAGAGAGAGCCAGTTTCACTATATCGAGGAGATTACAGATTACAGAGGAGTATGAGAAGTATTTATAGTACTTCTCCATGTGGGTCTAAACCTAATCCAATCTAGCAAAGGAAACGGTTACAGACCAGGCCCAGAACCCGAACCCAAATAACATTGAGACCCCCGATTACCAGTCGTAGCGGCTGATAGTCCGATTCAAGTCATATCAACACCAGCATTTGTAGATCTCATCCAAGCTCGTCTGAATTTCTTCCACAAAGTGGCGACCGACCCCAGACTCTCCACAGCATCAATCAGACAGAGCCGGGCATGAATTTGGTAGGGGGAAAGTGCTGGAACTGGAAGCAATATAGATATATGCAGAGCAACTATATCAATGGCTGCAGTAGAGAGGAGTCTAATTGATTCGGCGGTGACAAGAACTTGGTTGTTTCGCAAACCAAATATGTTGGTTACGAAAAAACACATAATCGGTCACTAATACTATTTTCGTAAACTGGTCGTCAGTAAAGATTTTAAATGTCGTCGCAAAAAAACCAACCTCCAACTGCGTGATCAGCCGTATTATTGTCAACCAGTGACTGGAGGTAGCGAAGTGCCCCTGCGTCCTGAAGGCGAACAAAAGCCGCGGCGGTCGCGGAAGGCGAGTTGAGAAGCGAACCGTTCTTCCTCTGGAATTTCATTGCCGTTTCCCAAGCACGAGTCGACGAGTTCCCGATTCCTTCTGAGATGTAGGCCAGGTAGGCGTTTCGACCATGGGTGTCGCGATTCGGACCGGTCATGAGCGCAATTTAACTGTCGCGGATCATTGTCTCGACGTGCGCTGCATCGATCGGGAGACTCAGATTGAAATCTCGAACACACGTTTGGATCATGGAAGGGAACACTACGTCGAACCCAATTGGAGTTTGCTGCCGCGAATCCGCGAGGGAGCTCGAATTCGCCTCCACGAAAGCCAGAGCTGTGCGCGCGGTGTGAACACGGCGTGGCAGCTGTTAGACTCTCCGATCTAATTAATTACATAACAATGCTCGTAGTATAAGTAACATTCGACGGGATGGATTATTATACCGTTGTGAATGTGGTCGTCACCAGGCCAATGCCCCAGCGCTTGAGCGCGAGAATGCAGGCCAAAGTGGAGGAGAGTGCGTCTTTCATTAGCGTCGGGTCTCTGGTGTGAACAGGCTGCAAACTCCAGGAACCATCACTGTGCTGATTCTTTAGTATCCAACTAAGGCAGCCCGGGAAGCTTGGAGCGCTAGAAGCCGCTGCCGCGGGAGATGGAACCATGGCCACCCATGCGGTGTCGTATGGGGAGGCTGACAGCTCGAGTTTTTGGAAAAGCTTCTTGATTCTCTCCTTGGGATCGCCGGTAGCGCTAATCTGCATATGCATTCAATTTAAAATCAATTGCGATTGATTGATTGATAACAGTACAAGTCACTAGCTACATGAGTGATCATTAATATTACCAGCTGCGTTAAGGCTCCGGGCTCCACTGTTGTTGTTCCATTCAGCTCGGTGGTGGTCAATATTGTTCCGTGGTTCGTTGAGATGCTGGAACTCAAGAGAGAAGAATGCATACTGATTGTACTGGGAGGAGCGAGCGAGCTAGCCAGCTAGGGCTGGATGCACAACTTGCTGTGTCGGATTTCTGTTCACAGGTAATTTGCTTTTGATGAAAGAAAGAAGCAGCATATGGGTGTGTGCAGTGTAGTGTGTTGTATTTTAAACACATTAAGGGTGCGTTTGGATAAGTGGATTTTAAATGTAAGGTATTTGAAATATTAGCATTTGAAATGGATGTATTCGAAATATTAGCATTTGAAATACATGTAATTCAAATTCATTGTTTGGATACTCATTTGTAATTTGTTTGTATTTTGTATTTAATGATTTTCAATTTCAATTTCTAATTTTCTGGTCACTTACTACAAATTTTGGTAAATTACAGTCTGGTACCCAAAATTATTTTTTCTTACAATTTAGTACCTAAACTTTTATATTTTTACAAAAGGTCCTGAAATTTTGATGGTAATATTACATTTTGGTACCTTTATATGTTTTGCCTCACACTATAGTACCTAAACTTTTCATATCTTACAAATAGGTCCATTCTTTTGTTAGGAGGTATTTCAAATCACTAGTTGTTGAAATGTATTTGAAGTTGACAAAAAATACACTAGACATGTATTTGGAAATCACCCCATGAATTTGACACAAATCCAAATACCAAATGTAATTAATATTCAAACACATGATTTGGTATTTGGAAATCCAAATCACAAATACCAAATCCAAATCATTGTATCCAAACGCACCCTAATAGCCAAAATTATGAGGTATTGCTCGTTTGAGGTTTTCTAAATTGAGTGAAAACATCAAAACATTTTCTTTGTGATTGGTCCAAATAAATTATATTAATTTTGGCTAATACCCATGAATTTGGTCCGAGAGCTTTATTTTCCTTTTAGTCGTGAATTCACAAAAATGAGTGTATTTGAAATAGTATTAAGACATAGAATTTTGGATTTTAATTGGTAGCATTAGCCTGAGACATATGGTGCCTTATTAGGTGTACTTACAAAAATGTGTCCATACAATGCACCAAATTCTAAATGTAGCCTTAAGAAATTGAATTTTGAATTTTAATTGGTAGCATTAGTCTGATATGATGATATAACAATATAGGATCACAACTAACCAACATTGCCTAAGACGTAAACCTACAATTTGAACCATACCCTAAACCTCAAATTCTAAATCCTAACCCTAAATTTCTAAACACTAAATTCTTCAAATCAAGTGTTCGAATTCATGCACTTCTTGCCCATCATATCGTAAATGATGATTGACATCGGGGTCGTTTGGATGAGGAATTGTAACGGATCAATTTGAAATGAGACAATTGTACCAAATTGCCTTGTTTGCCAGCAAAATATTTGGATGGATCAATCTGCCTGAGGTATTTTGGATTGATCCGTTTTGAGTCAATTTCAATTACCTGGGTGGGGGTAGGTAATTCGAATTGACTCGTTTTAATTGCCTCATTTATAAAACGAGACAATTGATCAAATTGACTCATTTCAAGATTGATCCATCCAAACGACCCCGATTCGTTTTAACATGAATCGCTTGCTCAAAATGGTGATTATGAAGCGAGAACATTGAATGCACGACAAAAACATAAATATATATATATACAAGTGGGAATAAAAAAATTAACATTAATCTGACTTACTTTTTTTCTCATCATGCATAGACATGCAGACATACATCACGTGTATTATTTATCACCAATAACGAACCTCCATTTAATGTCAATATCGAATTAGGTAAGCGACTTCGCTTTCTTGGCAACGTGCAAGTCGTTGTAAACAGGAACTCCGAGGATTAGGTAAGCGGCTAAGCGCCGGTGGCGGACTGAAAAGTTCCGCTCCCCACGAGGCCGATGAAATGCGGTATGCGGATGATCCACACGAAATAATGCAGAGACGAAGACAAGTTAGACAACAAAACAAAAGCAATAACTACCAACAATGAAAATGGGGTTAAAGACACATTTGGTCACTGAGATTACAAAATCGGGACATGTTTAGTCACTAGAATAAATTAATATCAAATTTGGTCACTACAATTACTAAAATAGGTCATATTGAGTCACTCTCCGTTAGTCTCCGTCCAACTCCGTTAGTGGAGTCCGTTAAGTGCTGACGTGGCTAACGGATGCGCCTAGTCAGCATCGTTTTGACCCAAAAATCATCATACCCGACCCGCCACGTCAGTTTCACCCGCCATGTCATACACCAACCCAACCATTAACCCAACCCGACCCAAAACCAAACTCAACCCACCTAACAAAAAAAAAAAAACGCGACCTGTCCCCGCTCAGCCGCGCTCCAAACCAAAACGCCGCCGCCAAACTCAGCCGCAGCGGCAGCACTCTCCCGAAAACACCAGAAAACACCACCGATCCAACCTCTCTCTCTCTCTGTTCTCTCCTTGAATCTCTCTTCCTCAATTCCCTCCCTCCCCAAAATCTCTTCCCCTCTATTTCTCACCACAAGATTCTTTTCCCCCTTTTACCTTCCCACCATTTCTATTTAATCCCATCACTTCTAACAATCACCACCCATTCTTCCTTCCTCTCTCGTTTCTGAATTCTTTTTGATTCAATGGTGGACCGGGCTAAGATCTGCGAGCTCTGCGCAGGAGCGCCGGACGTTTACTGCAACTCCGACGACGCCTTCCTCTGCTTCAACTGCGACGCCAGAGTTCACCAAGCCAACTTCCTCGTCTCCCGCCACCTCCGCCTCCTGCTCTGCCGGACCTGCCGCTGCCTCACCCAGAACTCCGTTTTCGGACCCAGATCCCTTCCTCACTCCGCCGCCTGCGCCTCCTGCTCCTCGTCAGAGGTGGAGAGCGTTTCTTCGGAGCAAGAGATGGACTCGATCTCCTGCTGCTCGTCCTCCAACCCTTCCGAATCGGGGAGTTCCACTGCGAAATTCCCCATCCGCTGCGGCGAGACGGTGGACCAGCGGCAGGGACCGAGGAGCAACAACGCGCCGCCGAGATCTGGAGCCTGCGAGGGGAAGATCGGGGCCGTTTTCGCGAATTGGTGTAGGAAGGTGGGTGTGGAGGCGGATCTGGTGGAGCCGAGGGCGGTCCAGGCGATGGGATTGTTGAGCGCGGGGCGGATCGGGAGAGTGCTGCCGCTGCGGCTGAGTTTGGCGGCGGCGTTTTGGTTTGGAGCGCGGCTGAGCGGGGACAGGTCGCGTTATTTTTTTTTTTTGTTAGGTGGGTTGAGTTTGGTTTTGGGTCGGGTTGGGTTAATGGTTGGGTTGGTGTATGACATGGCGGGTGAAACTGACGTGGCGGGTCGGGTATGATGATTTTTGGGTCAAAACGATGCTGATTAGGCGCATCCGTTAGCCACGTCAGCACTTAACGGACTCCACTAACGGAGTTGGACGGAGACTAACGGAGAGTGACTCAATATGACCTATTTTAGTAATTGTAGTGACCAAATTTGATATTAATTTATTCTAGTGACTAAACATGTCCCGATTTTGTAATCTCAGTGACCAAATGTGTCTTTAACCCATGAAAATGGAGTAATGATGCATGTGATATTTTCTACCTTAGCTCCTGTGTTTGCTGTCGATTCATATTGTGATTGTGACAATTCACCTCAGGTTGTGTCTTTCTCATCACCTCAAACTTTGTGCCACCATTATTGGTGCATTCACGATAACCAAATCCCTACCATGTGAGACAGTGAGAGTACTGTTTTGGATAAGGCTGAATCGCCAACAAAGTAGCAAATTAAAGTCTCACCAAGAATACACTCGATTTTGTTCCTTGTTATAAGAACGAAAATTTTGAGCTCTCAATTAATCTAGTTTAATTTTTCTTTTTTTGCCTGATGCGTCAAATTCCAGTGAGGGAAGCAGATCAATGGAAGTTGCGGTGAAGTCAGTGGAGAATGTGAAACCATCATGTCCATCACAGCTGAAGCCATTCAAGCTCTGCCTTCTCGACCAGATGATGGGCAGAGGTTACATTGGGCTCGTCCTCTTCTACCCGCCGACGCCGGCCGACGGCGAAAAGGAGACGGTGGAAGCTGGCGGCGGTGATCAGAAAGTGGAGAAGCTCAAAGCCTCGCTGTCCAAAACCCTAAACTCCTTCTACCCGCTGGCCGGGAGGGTGAAGGACAACGCGCGGGTCGAGGATTTCGAAGCTGGCGTCCCATTCGTTGAGTCTCGAGTGAAGGGATACGACACCGTTTCAGAGTTTCTCAAATCTCCAAACTTAGAACTCCTCAACAAGTTCCTCCCCGTGGAGCCTTTCTGCCTTCCCAACCCACACCACGTGCCACTCCCCCCGCCGTTGCTCGTCCAAGTCAACACGTTTGACTGCGGCGGGGTTGCCGTCGGCCTGTGCTTGAACCACAAGCTCGCTGACGGTGTCGCTACCAGCTCCTTTCTCAGGAGCTGGTCAGCACACTGCAACCACAACAAAGACACGAATCATGATAATGATTCGATAATAACATCTCAAGGTTCTTCAGTTTTCCCTCCTCGAGAATCGATGCCTCCTCACGTGGAGCGACTGCACGACAAGATGTTTCTCGAGGAGGGGAAAAATACTGCCACGAGGAGATTCGTGTTCGATGCGAACGCGGTAGCCTCAATCAAAGCAGATGCCAGAACCAGTTGCCAGGTTCTCGAGAATCCATCTCGAACCGAAGCGATGCTAGCCTTCATATGGAAATCCATCATGACAGCAGCGATTTCGACCAGCCCTAGCCCTCCTCCCCCGCCGCAGTTTCTGTTGCAACCGGTCAATGCGAGGCCTTGAATGAATCTTTCGGAGGAATGCTTCGGGAACCTCTTCTGCATGGCGATGGCATACTCGAGCGATCCTCCGAATCAGCAGGTGGGCGAGCTAGCTCAACTCATAAGGGCAGGAGTGAACAGGGTCGACCACAAGTTTCTTAAAGCACTATCCAGCGACGATGGGTTCGAAGCCATGGTCGAGATGCTAAATCAGTTGAGTGAGGTCAGCCAGCCTCAGATGCTGTGCGGGTCTAGTTGGCTAAGGTTTTGCTTTGACGAAGTCGATTTTGGGTGGGGGAAGCCGGCATGGACCGGTGTCCTTGGGGAGGCTAGCGCCGACTACCCTTCATACAGCAACTTAATCATTCTGAAGGAGCACTTGGCGCACCGCCAAGATGCCGCCGGCGTAGAGGCTTGGATCAGGTTGGATGTGGATGTGATGGCTACTCTTGAACATGATCCTCACTTCTTGCAATTTGCTTCCCCCAATCCTCCTATCTTTTGCTCCTCATCATGAGCTACAGTTATTCGATCAATCGAGCTTTGTTTTTCTTGTTTTTGTCTATTGATAGTTTTTAATTTCGTTTCATAATTCTGTGCTGTGATATCATATAATAATTTCTAGAAATTCTACTGAGATCCTCATATTTAATCTCGTATGAAACAAATGGCGTTCGAATCTCAACCTCTAGAAGCGGACAAATTTGTTTTGCCGGTGTATTGTAATAGCTAAATCAAGAAATTGAATCTTTGTGAAGGCATTTTTTTAATATCTGGATTGAAGGGTGCTCATGCATGATGCATCATATAGTGAGATGCTAATATGTATTGAAGAGTGCTCGTATAACTTGCTTCATGTTTTCGGTTTTGTCGTCGTCAATTCCATCGTCTGTTGGAGCAAGTTATTATGCATTGTCATTAATTACCCAATTAAAGAAACTTTGATCTACATATGTATTATTGAACTCCATTGTGCTACTAGCTAGATGGAGCCAACGTCGGTTTCAATTTTGATTGATGATGAGAGATGGAGAAGCGGAAAGAAAGATAGAAAAATGTTGGAATGTGAGGTCATGTAACCATTCATTTACCCCTCTTAATATTTTCCTTTTTTTGCATGGGTTTATCATAAAACTTGCTAAGACTTACCTTAAAAACATTATTTTTCTCCTTAACTCATGTTTTCCTAATTGTCAATTATGAAAGATCCGTTTCTTTCCGAATGATGCTCTTCCATACAATACAAATTAAGAATAGTTGATTAAACAAAGATTATGGGTTTCTAATTAACAAAAACCATAATATTATTATGAAAATGATATAAACACTAACTCTATGATTAGGGAAGATATGTACATGACGATGATGATAATTACACAAAATCCTCAAAAGAAAAATTAGTGCAAAAAATCAACGAACCTAGCTTCAATTTTTCCTCGTAGTCAACAAGGAATGAAGTCAATGAACATCTCCATAATCATGAACGGGAGTTTGACGAGGCTGACGGCAAAATTTGCAATTCCAGTGCAACACATGCAACAGCAGGGGCAGATGCAATTCAATATGCTCCTGCAATAAGGATTCGTATATAAACAAGTGCAAATGATCAATAGGTTGACGATGAATACGATCGATCTCGCATTAAATAATCGACATATTTGCGCAAATACACAAGATATGAAGAAGAAAACGGGAAAGGAGAACGGCTGCGTACCCGACAATCCAAAGAAGAGCTCCAAGAAGGGATAGTATCAAAGAGACGAACGCAAAAGGCAAGCTCAAGAGGAATGCAAAGGGTCTGCAATGCCCCATACCACCACCAACAACAACAATATCTTGGCATTTGCTTGCATACTACCATTAATTATTACAAAGTTTTCTTTCTTTTTAGGGTTTCTCTATCTATTTCTCTTATGCATCGTATCATGTTTTGTTATGGCCTGACGACCTAGCTAGAGCTATGAACAGCCCCTAGAGCTTTTCGCCACGAGAGAATTGTTTTGCCATAATTGGATTGGAGATCAATTCAATTCCATTCTTTAGTTAATTTAAATGACATATTTGATACTTTGTTCGACTAAAACATCGATCGATTTCATTTAGACTAGAAGATTTTAGATATTTTAAATTTGAACCGATAAACCGGAACTCAGCCGTATGACCAAGAAATGCTAGAAAACTCCATGTACATAAGATCAAGAAAAGCTAGAAAACCTAATTGGACTTCCATTAGTGATGAGAAGATACAGATTTTTAAGCGAGCTGTCAGAAGAACTTAAATACAGCAACGCCCTGTCGGGGCTAAGAGGAGTCCCACCCATGCATGGAAACAATGTGGGCTGTCTATACATGGGCCAAAAGAGTGAAAAGGGCTCAGTCTATGTACATGGGCCATACAGATGGACTATATCGACCAACAATATCAACCGATAGTACCATATTCAGGCCCACCACAAAAAAGAAGGCCTCCCTCATCCAGTCATCCTCTTCTCGCCGGGTCAGCACCAGCTTTAAAGTTTAAACCGTCAACCTTCCTCAAGTCAATGCTTCTTCGTCGGCTTGGGCTTCTCGTTGCCGCCTCCAAATCCCTTGCAGCGGTGGTCGTTTTCTCCGCCCAAACGTGAACTTCCAATACGTACAAGAACCGGTGCAAAGAGCAAAGGCCTAAGAGGACAAGACTTCACACAAATCGTATATAATAAACTTATCCCAGACAGTACAAGAACCAACACAAAAGATTACAAACTTAGAAGTCTCACGGGGAAACCCATCCAAACTTAGAAGATGTCGCGAACACGTCGGACACTAGATTTTACGCTCGCGCAGTCTAGATTTCTTGACCACGTGGGGCTCTAGATTTGACGTCAACGCGGTCTACATATCACGACCACATCGGGCTCTAAATTTGACGTCAACGCGGTCTAGATGTCGCAACCACGTCGGGCTCTAGATTTTATGCCAACGCTGTCTAGATATCGCGACCACGTCAGACTCTAAATTTGACGCCAACGCGGTCTAAATATCGCGACCACGTCGGGTTCTAGATTTGATGCCAAAGCGGTCTAGATCTCGCGACCACGTCGAGCTCTAGGCTTGACGCCAACGTGGTCTAAATCTCGCGACCACGTCGGGTTCTTCAACTTGTGACGAGATTAGCTCCTTCCCGGAGACTTAGTGGTTTGTTAAAAGTAGATATTTGATAATGTGTATATTTTATTGTTTGTTAAAAAAAATTAGATGAGTCATTTATATAATCATTTTGTTTCTACATGTAATATGTTCTGATTTCTTGTATGTTATCCTAAAAGCGTCAACCACGAATAATAAAATTCATTTTGCAACCAACATAGAATATATTATTTTAGTGTTTGTCATATGTAATGATACTATTTTTTATTTTTGAAAGATAACTTTATGTCAAATTTCTCTACAAACGGTACCGATTACAAAAAAATATCATTTTATAACAAAACATAAGTTATTTGAAATCAACATTCAAACTAGTAACAATTATTTTACTAAAAAAGTTTGAAAATTATTAATAAAATAATTGAAAAGAATGGTTTGAAAATTATTGGGTTTATGATGTCAAATAAAGAAGAGTTAGTACTGGATTCACAGAAAAAGAGGTGGATTAAGTTCTTTTTTGTTGACAAATGAGTCGATTTAATATCAAATGACTCATGCAAATAACCTAAAAATAAATATCCAAAGGGTACAATAACCTAGCGCATGAGTCCAAGAAACAACTAAAAAAAGTAAAGGAACAACCCAAAAGAGTTAAAAAAAAAACATCCAAATAGTAAAAGAACCACCCAAAATGGTATAACAAACAACCGCAAGATTATAAGAAAACCAACCCAAAAATTACAAGAACCAAAATCAAACTTAGAGACGTTGTCGAGATTCGAGAAATACAATCCAAATCTCCACGAACCATAAAAGGTAGGCTGACTCCCCTTTGTTGGCTATTGGATTAGCCGGGCTCTGCGATTCATTGCTGCCATCTTTGGTTTTACCTGGAATGTGACCAACAAAATGTCAATACTTACTTGATAATTACACCAATATAATTTTCAAATAAAGAGCTTTACTGAACGAGGTGCACACCATGTCACCATCTTCTCATGGTTTCATCTTGGTGTCGGAACAACAAACAAGGATTTGGCTTTCTGTAAAGAAATTCCAAACGCCTCCTCCATATCCAACATCTCTGGTACGATCTCGTCCGGTAATTTCCAATCAAACCAATGTACGAGTGAACCCAACATAATATGCAACATCCTTGTTGCTAAAGGTAATCCAGGGCATATCCTTCTTCCGGCGCCAAATGGGATCAACTCAAAGTAGTTTCCTTTTGCATCTACCTCTGACCCCAAAAACCTTTCTGGCACGAAGGAATCAGGATCATCCCATATTGATGGATCTCGGCCTATAGCCCATGCATTGACAAGAATTTGTGCACCTTTGGGAACTGTGAAGCCACATATTTCCACGTCTGCTCCTGCCTTGCGAGGGATTAGAAGTGGAACTGCCGGGTGTAACCTCAGAGTTTCTTTGACAATTGATTGTAGATAGGGAAGTCGATGGATGTCTGATTCTCGAATATGATTTCCTTTTCCAACCACTTGGTCAAGTTCTTCTTTGACTTTAGCAAGCGCGTAAGGATTACGAAGTAGTTCTGCCATTGCCCACTCTAGTGTGCTTGAAGTTGTATCAGTTCCACCAGCAAATAGATTCTGATGTGCCAAACACATGAATGTAAGTGAGATAGAAAGATAAGAAAATCATTTCCAGGCCATAACCATTAGTTTTAATGTTGTCAAAATAAAATAAAAAAACAAATTCAAGATTCCTAATGTAGCCAGATTTTCCTTTTGCATATCTATTTCTGTCTTTTTGCCTCTGTCTCGTTTGTTTCGATTTCAATGAGAGGTTTTTCTACGTGGATTTGATGCTAATTATGTGTTCTTCGATATTTTATTTGAATACAAAATTTTTAAGTAATGCAATACATTATTGATCGAAACGCTAATGATTTTTGCAATACAATAAATTATTATACACATTAATATTTGCAATATTTATTAAAAGGAATTTTAAAAAATATTTGAAAAGATCAAGGATCAACTTTAACAATTATCTCAATGAAGAATGGATAAAGACATTTTGTAAGAGGTAGCATATGATACAAACAAATGTATGGACGACGATGAAGAGAAATATAAAGATAGATCAATATAAATATATGGTATGGAAGTGTGAGTTTGTTCTTTGGTATATTATTAAACTAAATCGGTCAACGGTCGGAGCCAAAGCTAATTGACAAAAATGGACACGTGGCCATGGATATTAACAAATTGCCGGCCAGAATACCCACCTAATCTCTATTCCTATGGTTATTAAAAAAATTACAGTTTTAAAATTTTAATTAGATTCCTATGGGAATAGTAGGCTTGTTCATAAACACATAATCAACCCACTAGGCCAGTCGCCAGTAGGACAAACATATTAACAAAATCGTTCAATATTTTCCCTCTGTTAATTAAGTTGACGTAATTAATTACTCACCAAGAACAAATGCTTGATGCGAAGTGGATCCATGGTCGTCTCCTCCCGACTGCGGTTGTTGTCGTCCTCCCCAATGTCCAGAAGCGTATCAAGCATGTCGTTGGCCGATACATAGCTCTCCGACTTCCGCTTCCGCAGCCGCTCGTCGATCAGCATTCCAAACATATCGAAAACCCTGACCTTATAAGCAGCCGACCGCCTCTGTATCCCCTGCAAATCCAACCTGCCCAGAAAAGGAAAATAATCTCCCAAATTGGGCTTCCCGGCTTCCTCGAGGATCCCCCTCGAAGCCTCCTTAAACTCCCTGGCGGCCTCCGACCTCTCGTCGTCCGCCAGATCCAACGAAAACATCGTCCTCGACACGGCGTTCAAGCTAGCCCTGAACGCCGCCCTCCCAACATCCACCGCCTCCCCTGGCCTCTCAGAGGCATTTCGTCGAACACCTTCCACGAGCTCCCGAACCATCTCCCTCCGCAGCTCCTCGTTGGAATCCAGCTTCTGGGTATTGAACAGATGCGAGTTGCAGATCTTCCGGAGGTTCCTCCACTTGGGTCCGACGGGGAGCCACGCCATGCCCAGCAGGTGGTGGTCCAGGGCTTGCGCCGCGAGGACGACCTTGCGGTTGGAGAGCACCTGGTCGTGCTTCTGCAGGATTTCTTTGGCCATGGCTGGGGATGAAGCCACGATAGTGGTGATTTGCCCGAGCTTTAAGGTCATCAGCGGACCGTGGATCTTGGCTAAATCGGCTAGTGATCGGTGGGGTTGGTTACCCAGATTGTGGAGGTTGCCTATGATCGGAAGCCTGGCAGGGCCCGGCGGGAGTTTGGCCGTAGTAGCCTTTCTTTTTGCCAGGACATATTGGAGGATAATGGTGAGGAGAAGGCAGAGCAAGCAAACCAGAAGGACTTCCATTTCGCCGGCCGCTTTGCTTTGTTCGATCGGCTCCAGCCTGCAGCTTCATAAGCATAATATATGAATTTTACATATAGAGACAGAGATCCAGAGATGGATTTGTTAATTGGAGTCTCCCTTGAGGCAAACAAAGAGCCACATTCGTACTTTCCAATTTCATTAACCAGCATGAGATCAGCTACAGATGCTTTTAATTAATTGTTGAGAGATGACAGCTCACCTTGCATGAACGTTGACCAACTCAAATGTCACAAACATGTACATATTATCCACTAAACGTAATTATAATAACTTGGGCAATGTCTATTTTTTACCCAAACCTTTTTCAGATTCTTTTATTTTAACCAAACCTATAGAAATTCTATTTATTATCCAAACGTATTATAATTTATCAAAGTCTGGGCATTCATTCTGTTACCGTTACTTATTTCGTCCACGTGAGAGGTGGGATTTTGTTTTGTTTTTTGATAATCTTTTTATTAAAAATAGTAAATGATGGTATTCTGACCGCCACGTAGGAAGTCAACTCATTATGGTCATACTTAGTCAGCATTACTAACAGAAAAGTTGACGGAGAGTTAACGTTTGGATAATTTTTAGGAATTCAATAGGTTTGGTTAAAATAAAAGAATCTGAAAAAGGTTTGGGTAAAAAATAGACATTGCCCTAATAACTTCATTAGCATCAGAGTAACAAGAGCAACAAAGTATGATAATGGGTTTTCGGAGTATGATCTATAGAGTTGAACCGGCCTTAATATAGCTCGAATATGATATTGATGTTATCGTAAATGTGGAGATGCTCTCATCTATTCAATTCGGGTAAATGTCACATTTTGTCACTGGTATTACTAAATCGTGTTATGTTTAGTCACTAGAAAAAATCAATATCAATTTTGGTCACTCGAATTAATGTGACATGTTTTAGTAATTCGAATGACCACAATTTATATTATTTTTTTCTAGTGACTAAATATGATATGATTTAGTAACCTCAGTAACCAAATGTGGCATTTACCCATTCAATTCATCATACTTTTACAATAGAACACAAGTCTCCCTATTCATACTATCTCATCAAACTCGAGTTCTGGAATGTGTGGTACAAGGGTCTGCTTATTTTATTGCTTGCACCTCAATGATGTGTTTAGCTCTCTAGTGTGATTGTTGCCTTCTATGACATGTTTTGCATAATTTCATCACATCTTTCGCTGTTTTAACTTGGATTTGATTGGTATTTACTCAATGATCCATTTAGTAGCTTATAAGTGTATTTTCATACATTTGAAGTCTTTTTAGCAGCATTTGCTATTTTCAGACAGTGAGACCATAGTGGACTACCTTGGACGAGCAGAAGACAGCAAGATCCATGAACTAGAAGTTAGAAATGCAACTGGAAAACCAAACCCAAGTTTGCTATTTCCAGCTGGAAGACCCATTTACCAACATAGTTGTCGTCCAACAGTACTAAAACGTCTTCATATTAGAGAATTCACAATACTACCGTCCGCCTCTGAGAACATGCTCACAAACATGCACAACTATTAGTCGCGTGCTAGACATTATTCGACTGTTGGATGAATGCGGTGACAATTTTGAACTGTAAGCACCATAGTAGACAAATTAAAAGTTACAAATTAATTCAATCTAAAATCAATCCCACAAAAAATGTTTTACTTTACAACTTAACATTATAATAATTTAATTAATAAATTTATACATTTTATAGTCATTTTTCCTTCCAATTTACTATATATTAAAATCACTATCCACCATCTCATTAACAACCTTTCTATTAAAATACACACTTTCCATCAACTTCAATTTTTCTAAACACTTACCAATCATACTTTTCATCAATTAATAAAATGTATTCTCAGGCATGAAAAATACACCCTATCATAGCTCAATCTTTATTTGTGAGAAAGAAAAGCACAGCCCATTTCCAACCACATAGCTAGGGGTGTGCAACGTTTCGGTCCGGACCGGACCAAACTCATGAGAACCGCAGTCCATTAGTGAAAGACATGTTAGGACCAAGGACCGGACCATTCTTGTATTTGGTCTATTTGGTCCGGTCCAAATATGAGCTCGGTCCACCATTTCTTCAGTAATTATAAAAATCAGGAGGACCAAGGACCGGACCGCATTTTACTCGGTCTGGTCCGGTCCGGTGTGGTCCGGTACAGACTGGACCATTGCACACCCCTACACATAGCGAGAGAATCATAGAACCAGAACGCCTGCAACGAGGCTCTTTTATGTACCAATTTATTAATAAGGGTAAATGACACATTTGGTCACTAAGATTATTAAATTGTGTCATGTTTAGTCACTAGAAAAAATTAATATCAATTTTGGTCACTCGAATTACCGAAACTGGTCAAATTTAGTCACTCTCCCGTCAGTTTCCGTCCAACTCCATTAATGTAGTTGGACGGAAACTTTTGGGAGAGTGACTAAATGTGACATGTTTCAGTAATACGAGTGACTAAATGTGACATTTTTCAATAATTCGAGTGACCGGAGTTGGACAGAGGCTACAGAAGAGTGACCAAATGTGACCTGTGTCAGTAATTCGAGTGTCCAAAATTGATATTAAATTTTTCTAGTGACTAAATATGACACGATTTAGTAATCTCAGTGACCAAATGTGTCATTTACCCTTATTAATAAAAAACAATTATAAATACATACCTCACAGAGGTGAGGTGGTCGCTCAATTTCATCGACACTATCACTCACCCCAAGGCTCAGGCTGTGAGAGAGTACACGCCGCTCTCGCTCATTTCCCCCCCAATTCCCAATCTCCGGCCACCAGTTCCCGTTTCCTCCGAAGATGAATTCGATGCTCAGATCCGCCAGAACCCTGGCCACCACGGCCTCCCGATCTTCCGTCCTCCGCCGCGGCTACTCTTCGGAGTCCGTTCCCGACCGCAAGGTCGCCATCCTCGGCGCAGCTGGAGGTATCGGCCAGCCGCTCTCCCTGCTCATGAAGCTCAACCCTCTCGTCTCCAACCTCGCCCTTTACGATATCGCCAATACCCCCGGTGTCGCCGCAGATGTCAGCCACATCAACACCAGATCTGAGGTACTCGATCGCTGTTTCCACTGTTGAATTCCGTATCGATCTCCTAGTTCCTTTTTGTTCCTCGTCATAATTTTGTTTTTTCTGTTTAGCCGTCGATTAGGGTTGGCTTTTATTTCATTATTCGATTCCTTTTCTGGAACTCTGCTGTGAAATTTCCATCTAAAGTCCCGACCTTTGGCAGTGCAATTTACATTTGGGATGAATTTTGATTTCTTGCCTGTGTTATGGTGGCTTTAGCTTACGAGCTCCTGATGAACTTTGTACTCTTATCTCGTAATTTTTTTTGGAGATGAAGTTCAGCAACAGTCTGTTTGATGTTGCTGCCTTACGTGTTGAGAGAAATGCTCCCATGCCATGTTTGAGATTCTTTTTCCCCCCGCTGTAGTGAATTGTGATTAATGATGTATGTCTATCTCTTACGTGTTCAGGTTACAGGATACTTCGGTGATGACCAACTAGGGAAAGCCTTGGAGGGAGCAGATGTTGTGATCATTCCAGCAGGGGTGCCAAGGAAGCCTGGAATGACACGTGACGATCTGTTTAACATTAACGCTGGGATTGTGAAGGGTCTTTGTTTAGCAATTGCTAAGTACTGCCCACATGTGAGTCTTGAATTGCTGATCTGGATTGTTAGCACCCTGGTGATCCTTTGCTCTTTCTTTCTTATGATATGTGTGTTGACTTATGTTTGGAATTAGGCCCTCGTAAATATGATCAGCAACCCAGTGAACTCAACAGTTCCAATCGCTGCTGAGGTTTTCAAGAAAGCAGGAACCTATGACGAGAAAAGGTTGTTTGGGGTTACTACTCTTGATGTGGTCAGGGCCAAGACTTTCTATGCTGGGAAGGCCAAAGTCCCTGTTGCAGGTCTGTTTTCACAACCCTTCCTTACTGGGTGCATGTCTTTTGTAAAGTTTGACTGCTGAAATAAATTCCGGGCTTAGAAAGCAAAGAAGGACGCTTTATCACTATTAAAGTTTTGGAGGCTGAGAAGAAGGGAAATAGAACTGCGCTATTTCACTACTTGATTGTTTAGTTTCTCTCTTGATAACAAGTTCACTGGTACCATCTGTTGATCTTTGTTGCTGAATGGACCCAGTAGAATATAATGATATCACTCAGTGGTGATAACTTGTTTTGTGCATCTTTTTGTTCAGGGGTTAACGTTCCAGTTGTTGGTGGACATGCCGGTGTTACCATTCTCCCATTGTTTTCACAGGTAATTATCCCTTGCTGTGCTTCCTTTTCTCTCTCTTTCTTGTTCTTACTTTGATGTTCCTCTCTACTCCACCCTCTCTTTTGTTATTGACATACTTTGTATAGTCTGGCTAATAGTATTTACTTCTTTCTGACTATCTAGCTTGCTGAGTTTACAATACTGTCTGTTTTCATCATAGGCTACCCCAAACGCCAACGTGTCAGAAGAGGAAATCGTTGCTCTTACCAAGAGAACACAAGATGGTGGCACGGAAGTTGTGGAAGCTAAGGCTGGAAAAGGTTCCGCTACTTTGTCTATGGCGTAAGTTGCACTGTGGATGAATGTCCATGCCCTGCCTGTTTGAATATTGTTATTCCTGTTTCATGTGTGAAGGGGAAATTTACCCATTTTAGGATTGTCATTGTTATTGTTGAAGATATGATAGCATCTGTCACCGATTCGATGCTGGTTGAGCCAAAAGTTTGACTGAAAACAAGAACCAAGCGTAAATGAGCATGTTTCTGAGAATGATGATCGTCAGTATCCTTTACTAATGTGTGATTTTTCTCTCCAGTAAAATATATTATTGAGACAATATGGTTCTTTAAGTTGGCATGTGCCTTTCTGTCCTTTCCGGAGTTTTCTTTTCTCCAACCATGAATTGAGTTGGCAAAGATGCATGAGGATTGCAGTTTGGATTCTATTCAATCCTTGCATATATGTGTTGCAATTGGCATGTGTCTTTGTGTCCTTTCCTGAGTTATCATTTGAATGCTTCTGGTTATGACCACCGGCAATGTTCTTTTTCAGTTATGCTGGTGCCCTTTTCGCTGATGCGTGCTTGAAGGGGCTCAATGGCGTTCCTGATGTGGTTGAATGTACATTTGTTCAATCAAATGTCACGGACCTTCCCTTCTTTGCTTCCAAGGTGACAAAATAACAGTGTTGGCTAGTTAGTCTCTGAATTTATTTCACGGCGATTTTACTGCTAGTTAGTAATTGAACGGATCTTTATGATATATCTTTGCAGGTAAGACTTGGAAAGAACGGTGTTGATGAAGTCCTTGGATTGGGACCTTTGTCCGACTTCGAGAAAGAAGGGTTGGAAAAGCTGAAGCCGGAGCTGCTTTCCTCCATCGAGAAGGGCGTCAACTTTGCCAACAAGTAAAATGGGATTAGCTCAATGCTCGACAGTTTGCACGCAGGCAAGAGAAGTTTGCAGAATCAAGATTTTGTGTCCGTCTTTCAGCATTCGTTGTAGCAGCCAACAGCATTGGCTCGAGATCTCTTTTTGTTCAGAAGAGTTGATGAAACCTTTAAAAGCGAACAGTCTCTGACAAATAATCCCAGTTGTGTAGGGAAACAAATATTGTTGCTGGCTTTTGTTCTACATGCCAAAATTGGAAGTTGATTCTCCCACATTCTGTTGGTGGTTTAAACTGGGAATGGTTCTGCAAACATGCTCGGACTTGCATTTGGAGCCCTGAAAAGCCTGTTACTTTGGACTTTGGAGTATATTTGGATAGAGCTATCATTTTCTTTTGGGTAGGAAGAGCTATCATTTTTAGTATTCAATTATACAATTAAAACTGTTGGTTGGAAACACATATTTGGCTTGGCATAACTCTACTAGTTGGACTCAAGGAAACGAACAAATACACAGTTTTCATTACACCTCTATGACAATGTTACATATGGACTATTATTAAAGTCACATTTCGATGGCAATTGACAAGCATCATCCTAAAACAGGCTGTTGTCAATTGAGTCAGAAACTCTAATACATGTTGATTAGCATCGGATTTCATTTCTTTTGTTTCTGGCAGCTTGGATCTGGTCAGCAAGTGAATCTCTTTTCAGTTCTTCTCGTTCTGTAAGCTCGAAATCTAGCTTCCCCCATATTGGAGTACATGAGATCTGTTGACCTCCATTGTTCACTTTCCTACCTGTTGGTTTCCTTCTTCGAATCTGGAAAACAAGAACGAGTCAACATGCACATGAAAAATCGGAAACCCCAATGAACTAGTTTCTATACCATTCTCATTTCTTGAATTCAGGGTAAGCACAATGCACTTCTTTAAAAGCTGCACTTCTTTAAAAACTCCTTGGCAAAGTATATTCAGACATATTTTTCACAACTGCACATATATAGGAATTAAGTATGCTAGTGAGATTCATTTTCATTTAACGTACCTTCACCAATTTCTGCTTCAGTATGAACTCCTGGGTAACAGGTGACTTCTCTCTATTCTTGGCACTTCTACGCCTCTCTTCGGCCCTGGCCTTTTCCTTCTCTTCCCTCTCCTTTTTCCTTTGAGCAATCTTTTCTGCCTTTTCTTTTGCCACAGTCGCTGATTTTATCTTTGTCAGCTCCTTTGCAAACGCCTTCTCTGTGGCGAACTGCAGCTGTTGGCGAGTTATTTCTTGTTCTATTTCATTATAGCTATTCCAACTCAACCTTTGTTCGTCCAGGCCTCCATCCTTGGCTGCTTTTGCTATGCTTACCTCCCATGAAAGGAAAAATTTAATTCCCAACCTTTTCGACGTCAAACGCTTGTTCCAGAGTCTTTTAAGTGAAGAGCTTATCTTAGCCTTGATTTCAACACTGGGAAAACAACAATTGTGTTAGCCAAAATGCATGTGAACCCAATATTAGTAAGTTTAATCATTCATAAAGTAATGAAATTAAGACAAGGAACTAAAATAGTAATGAATATATGCTTGATGACGAAATCCATGAAGAACACTACATGCTTCGTGAGAAAAGCACACCACTTGTTTTCACACAGACAGCTCTGCAAGATCTCCATTCAGTACAGCAATATACAGAAAATTCTAGCACAAAGCTCAGTTTACTTTAAACTAGAAACAATCTGCTAGCAACCATCAATCAATGAAACCCAACATGTGAGCCGATATGCTTGATGGCAAAAAATACTACTTTACTGTATGTCACATATATCATGTCATAATTGGAGTATGTAAAACAGTCACAGGACTATGCAGGAGTGTGAATATAAAGACTGAAAACACAGCATTCTAAGATTACCTATGAGTTCGCGGCTGTTTTCCCTTCTTCTTTCTAAGCTGAAATAACAGGAAAGAAACATCAGAAAATCAGACGACTGAAAAGAGAAAGGTAAAGCAAATATGATCCTGTGCCACTGTCGATTGACCAACCTTTTGTGATCCAAACACTACAGCATCAATTAATAACAAGGCTTACTGTGCATGATTTTGAAGCCAAATAATTTCTTACATGCCTTCACCTGGGGGTCTCGCAAGGCTTCTATTGTTCTTCGCCTGATCAGTTCCCGAGTCTCTACAGCATATTAAAAATGTCAAACTGTATAATGTAGTTTGTTAGAGACTCAAAATATTAGTTAACGTACAAAGGCAGGTGAGCTATTTCACTTCTAGCCAATAATTAATCAGGTGCACAATCTGGTGGATTCACTAACTTAATGGAAAAAAGACATACCAGCGGAATGTTTTCGCCCTTTGTTCCATGGAACCTTTCCCTTATTCCCATGTTCAATCTTTGTTTCTCCTTCCGTGGCATTGAGGTTGCCATGATCTTCATGAAAGTTGGTATAACCACCACGCTCATAAGGAAGCTGCTCCTCAGCTGTATAGAGGCCAAGTTTTGAGAGGAAATACTGATCGAATTGCAACGTTTGTTGAACATCGAAACCAACATTTGTGGCTCCAGAGTTCTGAAGTCTTCTTGAGGAACTAAGCGAGGAACACATGGCACATAAGCTTGATGTGTAAGGCGTGTGATGATTCAAAGGCATCACAAGGGGAGAATAAGTAGCTTCCATCGCCACGTGAGCAGGACTGCAAGGTAGATTAGGTACTGATGTTTTCCTGCTAGACAACAATAATACGGATCTCATGGTTATGTTTTTCATCTTATTATATCATGTCCTACAAGCAGAGGTTGATGGTAAGGTGGAAGCACAAGAGTCAGTGTAGGACTGGATGAATGAAGGGATTGCAAACAGGGCTACTTCCACTTCCTAATCCCCCTTTGGCAACCCCAAAAAACACAGCAACCGTTCATCTTGTTCTGGCAAGGCAAATTATCTCCACATTGCCAACTTTTCATCATTTAAGTGAAACTGATTCAATCTTCTCGAAATCATATACGACTCAAATCATGGTGAAGAAAAATGGCCCGGGGAAGTCATCCAGATTGTGTTTCTGCTTAAGTTCAGGTACCATTTTGGTGGATACCCGTTCTGTCTGTCATCCTGTACATACACACTCCTTAAATTCATAGAAAGTAGGAAATTCGCTGGCCATTTTCGTTCCTACAGTTACAGCTTCAGGAAATTTCCATAAAATGGGAAAAGGTTGAGCCTTTTTTCATCCAAATTGATTGAAGGTTGCTGCCATATGAAGGCATTTAGTCACTAATCAGTATCAGTAGTTTTACTGTAACTAACAAACAGAACCACAACTACATTGTTGCCTTCATTCAAATTCCCCAACTTAAATCAATAACATTGTGTCCAACAACTCCAAAACTGGATGATGCAACACTGCCATTTCAGAAATGGCAGACAAAAAGGGCAAGGAGGACTGGAGGAGAACACTAGAAATTCGGTCCAGACGATTCAAAGGCAGGAGGGAACGAAAGAAAGCCATTGCAAAACCTCAGGAATTAGAAAAAGGGGATGAAACTGCATTGAGAGAGAAAGCATAATTCACTTACAAATGAAAGAAAGCCATTTCCGGTGGGAGAGCAGTGACGGGTGAGGGCGACGAGCGAAGAAGGTGACTGGGAACTTGGAGAGGGAGGGGAAATGGTCCGGCCAAACGCGGAAAGAGATCATTTTGGGAATCGACAATTCGATATGGGCCACTCACTCGAAGATTGGCTCGCCCTCTTGCCTTTATTTGCAGTTTGGTACTTCAATTTCTTACAAAGGACGATTCTAGTTACAAAAATAAATAAATAAATACCAATTTGATCCCACATCCAACTTCTTATCCAAAACCGACTAACGTCGAAGTGGCATTAGAAATATACTGCATGGATTGAGTCGACGATTAGGGATAATTTTGTTGTTTGAATCGGATCATAATTTCACCCATTTTGCGCCAAGGTAACTTTTAGGTTATTTAAATTGCAAAATTTTAATCTCTTATCAAGTGAACCGTGTTTTCTATATTATCTCAAGTCTTATTTAATCGAGATAGTTATTTTTAATACCATTTTGACTAAGTTAGAAATGAAATATTTGAGAAGACTCTTCCTTTCCATTTGTTCCTTCCCATTTATCATCATTCAAAAAATATAGGGGTCGTTTGATGAGGAATTATAACAGATCAATTTGACACAATTGTCTCGTTTTGAGACAATTGTACCAAATTGCCTCGTTTGCCAACAAAAAATTTGGATGGATCAATCTACCTGACGTCTTTTGAATTGATCCGTTTTGAGTCAATTCAAATTACTTGAGGTGGATGCAGGTAATTCGAATTGACTCATTTTAATTACCTCGTTTATAAAACGTAAAAACGAGACAATTGATCAAATTACCTCATTTCTAGATTGATCCATCCCAACGATAATATATTACTGATAACTTCCTCTCGATCTGTTCAATACTTCAATTTCTTTATTACCAAGATCGATCGGTCCACCAACTGGTGGTTGGCCGGGATGACTTCCACCTCAAGGTATAATTTCATATCCATGATTTCCCTTTTCCTCTCCAACAAATTCTCCCACACCTAACACCACAGCTAGTCTAGTCATCAACAAGTCTCCCGTCTCCCCATCTCCCAAACCACCACCACCACCATGATCCAACCAACACTCCTCCAGCCGGCCGACCGCCGCCTCGCCGCCGCCGCCATCTCCTCCATCCTCATCTTGGGATCCGCCAGGCTCCTCCTCGACATCTTCAAAACCAACCACCAACCCCACCTCTCAACCATCCACAACAAACCCTCGCCACAACCAATATTCCTGTCCCCGGCCGACCGCCGCTCCTTCTCCCCGGCCAAATGCAACCCCTTTGAAGGCCAATGGGTATGGAACGACGACCACAACGTGACGTCATCATCGTCACCTTCCCCGCTGTACACGGAGGACAGCTGTCCCTACCTGGTGAAGCAGACGACCTGCCAGCGCAACGGGCGGCCGGACGGCGCGTACCAGAGGTGGCGGTGGAAGCCCGCGGGGTGCGAGCTGCCGCCGTTCGAGGCGGCGAAGATGCTGGACGTGGTGAGGGGGAAGAGGGTGATGTTCGTCGGCGACTCGGTGATGCGGAGCCAGTTCGAGTCGATGGTGTGCATGGTCCAGGCGGCGGTTCCACGTGGCGCGAGGTCGTTCGACAGGGTGCCTCCGAGGAAGGTATTTAGAGCCGGCGGGGAGTGGGACGTGACGCTGGAGTACTACTGGGCGCCGTTCATCGTGGAGTCCATCTCCGACCACGCCACCAACCACACGGTCCACAAGCGGCTGGTGAGCCTGGACGCCATTGACAAGCATGGCGCCACGTGGAAGGAAGCGGATGTTTTGGTGTTCGAGAGCTACGTTTGGTGGATGCACAAGCCATTCATCAACGCCACGTACGTAACACCTCTCTCTCTCTCTCTGTCTCCGTCTTTCTCTCTCTTGGTGGCCTCCTAAATTGATCGAGGTCCGGTTTGATACCAATAACTCGATAGGTTAGCAACGGTGAGTAACTAGTTATTAACATAGTATCAAAGAGTCTTTTAATACAGTGAGGTTTTTTGTTCGAGTACCGATGGTCTCATATGTTTTGTTACCATACGTATGCAAACTTTAAGCTCTCATATGAGTCTGCTTTTGTTTGAGTGGGGTGGGTGTGTAAGTAAATGATATATGGTCCATAATTGAAACATCGCCCGACAACTCGAGTTACTGAAATCAACCGTTTGTACGTTAACACATATACTACTTATTAATACACCCTCACCCCCTCAAATGAAAGTCAACTCATAAAGGTTTGAGGTTTGTACAGGTATGAGAATATTATGTGCTAACATATGGGATTCGAACGGATTGAAGACCTCTCGGTATCAAAAAAGTTTATTATACCATGCCAAGAATCAGTTAATATCATAATAACTCGAATTATTAGAAAAGAAGATATACCACTTAATACATATTAACAAAATATTCTCTGAAATTATGACAGGTATGGCTCGCCGGAGAACATCAGGGAATATGATGTGGCGACGGCATACAAGGTGGCGATGGAAACATGGGCAAATTGGTTGGAAGCGAACATCAACCCTCGCCGCCAGTCCGTCTTCTTCATGAGCATGTCTCCCACCCATCTTTGGTACTTACTTATCCATCATTTTTTTTTACCTCTGCAAAACTCTCGATAAATTTATAAATCAGTAATTCTCCAGTTTTTATTTGGGCCAATGTAAAATATTATAAAAAATCCATTATTGTCTTATTCGGGCTTAATTTAAAAATAAAATATATGTGGATGGTGCATGCAGGAGCTGGGAATGGAGACCAGGAAGCGACGGGAACTGCTTCAACGAGACGTATCCGGTCGAACCGGCGGGACGGCCGTACTGGGGAACCGGCTCGAATCTCCAAATCATGAACATAATCGGAGACGTCATAGGCCGACTCCGGCGAGTAAAGGTCACGTTTATGAACATCACGCAGTTGTCGGAGTACAGGAAAGACGGCCACACCACGGTGTACGGAGAACGGAAAGGCAAGCTCCTCACCGGAGAACAGAGATCCGACCCCAAGAATTTTGCCGACTGCATCCACTGGTGCTTGCCCGGAGTTCCTGATACCTGGAACCACATTTTGTACGCCTATTTGTTGCACAGTTATCGTAGCTAATTACTGGTAAATTTACAGCGCGACAAAGCGAATTATTTGAACAAATTAGTTTTCCAAAATGGTAAAAAGAGTTTTTGAACGAGAAGTTTCGTGTTAGAATATCCTTATGTCTACCATTTTAATTGTTGATTTATGCATATGAGTAAGAGATGCAGACATGTGCAAACTCTGGAGTTTTACTTATACATTGGCATTATCTTACATATATAATGGAATAATGTAAGATTCATTTTTTTTTTATTATCTCTCCGACAATTCGTGAATTCTAATTGAGATAAAAATATTTCTATTTTATAATTTTGGAGTCATTTTAATAGTGTAGCTGAGGTAAATATGTCAAATAGGAACGTTAATGTTAGTGACTTGTTAGGTTTATTATTCTTTTGATCATCCGAAGGTTATCTTTCGAAACACCTTACTGTTGTGGTATTATTCATTCCATTACGAAAAACAAGGCAAATCTCTCTCTTGTATACCAATTTCCAACCAACTCCATCAATTAGTTTGAAGTAATTCAAAAAAAAAAATGTTTAAAAATACTTCAATCCAAAACTCACAAAGAATTTATAATTGGATAGATTCCTCGCAAGAACTCATTTATTATAAGTCGTCATATCCAGTCAGACAATAAAATTATTAACGTGCTCTATTTTAACGTTAATACTAATTGAATGAACACGATACCAATTGTACCATAACAATCATTAATGGGAAGAAGAAGAAAAAAATTATAATTTATTGCCACCATCGGAAACATATGCATACAGCACACATTCTGTGTGTATGTGACTATGTGTTAAACATCACCATTAATTTATGTAATGCCCCATGTAGGTGGACTTTAAGGTATACTTGATCAAACATTTTGAAGGACAAAGAGCAGCATGCAGCCTATAAGCTGGTAGTAAAAGAAAAACAAACAAACCACAACACATCCAATACAGAGAATCGCGGCGTAGCGAGCATCCAATCCAATCCAATCAGATTAGATCTTATCGGGGATTTTGGTCTGAGCCTCCTCGAGGGTGATGCCCATCTCCTCCATGAGCTTCTCGCACCGAGGGTCAGTGGTGGATGTCATGTACCCGATCGGGTTGGCGTAGCGAGTCGGCTGCACCACGCCCATGTTGTCCGTCAGCAGCACCCTGGCCCGGTCGATGAAGTGGAACTTCTCCTTGCAGTTGTCCATCGGACTTCTCAACAGCTTCACCTGTTGTAAGTCACATTTAATTAGAAAGATAATTAATTAATTACTCCTCCTGTAGAATAATTAATTATTTCATTTATTATATAATAACTAGTTTTCAAAGCTTATTCACACCAACAATTTTACCTGGCAGATGTCCTCCTCGTGGTCGCCGGTCACCGGCAGCCGGTAGGTCCCCGTCTTGTCGGTGTCCCCTTCCACCATGTAGGTCACCGTGTTGTTGTCCCTGCACAGGCACTGCAGGTTCACTCTGGCGCCGGCGATCATGGTGCTGATCTTGGTCGGGAACTCGACGCGGCAAGGGTCGCAGTAGACCTTGCCTTCCACGAACATCTTGTCCTCAGCATCGACGACGACGGCGGAGGAGGAGATGAGGAGGAAGAGAGCGGCGGAGAAGAGGGCCACGGCGGCGGCTGCAGCAGTCTTTGCCATTGTTTGTTGTTTGTTGTTGTTGTTGTTGTTGATCTCGGAGGGATATTGCAAAAGAAATATCTCTCTTTGTATACGTGATGGGGGAATTTTGCACAAGGAAATGGGATTGGTTTTATACGCAGAAAGGGTTGATCAATATTTGGGGTGAAGAAGTAAGTTTTGATCTTTTTCTGTGGTTCGTGTTCAGCTTTCTATTTTGAGGCGGGTGATTTGTCTTCAAATTGTAGGGTCTAGAATCTACCGGCGACTGGTTCAGCAACTCTCAATTTTGTAGTAGTATTTTTGGTAAATTTTTGTTCTGTTCTGTTTTGCGTTGTTTTTGTATTCTTGATTTTCCTAATTCGAATTCCCTTTCTCTAAAATTAGTTCTTATTTTGGCTAGGGTGATACTGATACATCATGATGTATGATATAAGTTGGATTAAATCTTCTCATTTTTATGCAAGATTAGCATGATCGTAAATGTAGTGGAAGATAATCGTACATAGAGAACGCAAGGCAAATTGTTTTTCCCAAATCATATACTATTTCAAGATGAGATTCTTATGTTAAGATATAGTTTGCTAAGCTCGAGGTTTGAAGAATGGTTCATGGCATGTTTGATAATGCGTTCTACAATGTTGCATGAAATGCCACAACTCCGAAAAGTCTATCGAAATTTCCTTTTACTGCCTCTTATTTATTCCACTGTCCCTTGATGTTACTTTGTTTGCTCAAAAGGTAACAAAGATCTCCTCCCATAATTCATAGTGAAACTCTATCGCACATCAATTCAGTTGAGAGCTGTCACATTTCATGTGTGTCATTAGCAATCGAAAAATATCTTCTCTAAAGTAATGACGATGAAAAGAAAATGAATGATTCAGAGATTTGAGGGCCACAGGTACATGAAACTCCACTCGTAAACGTAACTAACTGAGAGAAGTGACGTGGAGAACACTCCATCTACAAAGGTTTCCAAGATATGTAATACTAAGCTAACATCAGCATGCTCTATATGACAACTAAACTAGATTGTGGGAGATGACCTGAAAACTGAAGGATTTAAGAAAGAATGTTAGACCAAACACATCATTGCCTCTCTTGCAAGCAACTCCTAACTGGAGACACCAGGAGGAATACTCTGAGCAGTTAAGCCCGCTGGCGGTAAAGAAACACTAGGGTTAGGGACAAGCTGCACAGGGTTTCCAGCGTTCACCATAATGCTGCTGCTGCTGCTGCTTTCGACAGCTTTTGGTTCCATTGCGATCTTGGTAGCTGCAGTGGTAGTATTAGGCTTTGGCACCGCTTCTGTACTATGGGCAGAGATCCTTTGGATACCGATATTACTAGATTGGTCTCCACTGGCTTTCTGCTGCTCGTGATTTACTGACTCTGTTGCTGCATGGAGTAGTTGCAATCGGTAATCAGTTTCCGGTCTGCGGCAAATTTTTCTGAGAGGCACGATTTCCTGAATGAAAAAGAAAGAGAACAATACAAAACAATCACTGATCCTACTGCTCATTACCATTCCAGAGATTACAATCAAATGGTTATGCCAAGTAATGGAAGTTCGAAAGAATCCTTTCTTCAATGGTTAATAGAGCTCCAGAGATTCAAAAGTTAGTGCCAAGTACGAATGGCTAGGTAAAAGCGGTAATTATCTATACCAGCAGCTAACTAAGAAATTTAAAGACATTATAAGCCAGTCAGCTATTTTGTTTTCCTTCCTTGGGAATAATTCAGGACCTATTCAATGCAGAACTTCCAGGATTTGAATTGCCACCTTTAGAAAAAATGAATGTGAAGATGAAGCTAATGAATGAGCGTGGTTGTTGGTAATCTGGTAGATAAGACTCATCACAGAGCAGTTTGACTACGAAAAAGGTCTAACAGTACCAAAAACCCATTTAGACTGAACTAGCAAGAGTAAAGTGTAGCACACCGAGGTCCTAGACAATGACCACAAATGTTTTACGAGACACAAAGACCACAACTACACAATGTAGAAAACTGGAAAGGGAGAGAAGTATACCTCAGATTGATCGTGATCATAACGCACCAAAAACCTACAACGGCAACCTCTTACATCATGTCGCCTTCTTTGGGCATCAAGAACATGTGCATCGTAGTATAGTGCTTGATCTTTGCCTTCCTGAAAAATTGTAAGGCCAGTCAACAAGAAAGTATGGGAGATCAGAACCAAGAAAACTCATCCTTCTGAAGTTGATCTAAACTATAAGCTACACAAACAGTCACTAGCATAGACATTGGGTAACAGGTTACCTGGAAACATAAAATGAGGTCTCCAGGAAGAACCGCAACACATTCGGATGCTTCACATGGAAGGGAACGCTGCCTTACATTCTTGCGAACATTGAGCCACTCATCCTCATCTGGTCCAAAACCAGAAAACCTAACCAGTACCTCCTGAAATCCCCCAAGTTAAATCAGAAAGCAAGTTGTCAACGGATCAAAAGAAGATGCCCTTGACAGATAAAGAGAGCACTTTCAGCACGTTCTTTGTATTTTTCTTTTTCTAGTTATACGAATATAACCGAGATGAATTGGCGCCAAAATATTATGTAAAATTTAAATTATGAAATATCTTAAGCATATTATCAAGTTTAATTTTCCATAACCAGACATGTCAAAGATAACCCAGAGTAAATGAGTTGCATGTTACCGGATCAACGGTGTCCAGGTATCTACGAGACAGGAATGTTGCAACATCATACCTGAAGAGCCAAAAACTCATTAGGGATTGAAGAAACTTAATCCCAACAAAACAATGAGAGACACAGCAAGAAGCCATAATGTGATTTGCTTCACTTCCTAAATGACTCGAGTTACCCACCATGCACCATCTCTAGCAGATTTGGCTTCAAATTCCATGATCGTAGTTTCTGGCATTGCCCTTCCTGTAATTGGAACTGCGCAAAGAAAAGGCAAAATTACAAAGAAAACTTAGAAAATGCAGCTCAAATCTTCAGTTAACAGCTGACATTCAATGCAATGAAGTTGATGATTAAGCATGATTTTTTTCCCTAGAGGATATTTTTGTTCTTAAGCCATCCTTCTCAGTTCTCATACCACTAAAACATATATCTACAAGCCACATCACAAATGAGCTTAGAATATCGTAACCGTAATTTCAATTATAGAGGGACAGACACATTTTATATCTCATAATCAACAGATAACATGAAATGCAGAAGCATTTTCAAAGAAAGTCAGAAGATCAAGTAAGGGAAGGCAATAGAGAAACAGTCTAGGCACATAAGCCTTATTGGAAACATTGACATACATCTTTCATGCCATAATCTCTATGCAAGGAAGGCATACAGAATGACATGATTACAATACTTTACAAAATCAATTTGGCCTATAACTGTATCAGACAATGTACAACTACTTGCAATTAGTAAGTCGTTCATTTACTTTGGCGTAAACTAACATTCAATGCTAGAATTCAAACCCACCACTTGGACTTACTAAATTAAGTTTTCCAGAAAAAGTATCAGCAATTCATTTACCCTTTCCGTTTGTTAATCAGTTGCAGAATATTTAAGCTCCTACAGTTCAGTACATATATATCTGAATAGCATCTCTAATCTGGCACCCCCATGCAGTATGCATCACTTAAGAGCGAATTATTAAACAACTAAACTAATATTTCCAAAGCTTTAAACATTTAAAATTACCATACCTGAAGGAGCAGCCATGTTAGTAGTTGCATGAATAGATGCAGGAGTAGCTACAGGTTGTGCAGCATTTTTCACTGTATGGAACTCATCCCGATGCACTGGTGTTATATTTAGCTTCGCAGGGGACTTGCCTTGTTTGGCTCTTATAGCATAACGCCTGTTTTGGAACCAGTTCCATACCTGTGATTCAAATCCCACTCAGACAATAAACTGAAACAGTCCGGATTGAAAGAACAGGAACAGGAACAGGGGCTGAATTATCTTACCTGCTTCATTTGCACCGCAATCTTCCCTTTTCGCTCTGGAGATTCACTGTCATCAGGAGAGAAAAAAATGCCAAAAGTTCCATTCTTCAGAGTTTTTCGTTTCAGTATTCATGACTTGTTGTTAGCTTATAGGCACAACCTAGAAGCACTTTTAAATTCTTAAAGAACATACCTGAACCTCTCAGCAATGCCCAGAAGAACCTCACGAGCCGGCATTATTTGATTGTGGTGTTGCAGGATTGCTTCCATCTCAGCAACCTAACAAAGAGAGAGCCATGCAGCATATTATTCCGAGTTTTTACCAGCAGCTAATTCTCGAGTACCATGGCAAGAACTCAAGAATTTAAACCCTTCAAAAGAATAACACAACAAATAGCCTTCCAATTTGCCATCCCATGTTTCTTTTAATAGAACCCAACAACTCAGAAACGCAGAAAACATCAGCGCTAACATTCTGCTACTCCAACATTCAACAAAGGCGTAGCATGTAAAGAAGATTAAAAAAAAAAACCCAACTTCGGGTATAATTCAATGAACTACCACGCAGTAAAACTTGGCTTAATAATAATAATGTTCAGTCCAGCCAAAAACGCCATTAAATTGGGTTTCGGAAGCGAGCAATTAAGACGGCCAGAACCATCCAGGGGATAGAATAAGAAAAACTAACGTTCAAATTGAGGAAACAGGAACAAACCTCAGTGTGGGTGAAGCGAAAGGCAGGGCCGCCATTGCTGGGAGGTCGACCCATGGCTTCACTGCTTTGCCTCTGCAGCTGTTCGAAAAAATATGCGCCGAGTTCAAATACGAACTCTGCAACGGCTGACCGGGATTCGGAAGTCGGCTGCCTAATTGACCTTCTCGCGGAAGGAATTTGGTTTGATGGTGGTTTCAGACTTTCAGTTTCGAACTTCCGACGAAGGAGAATAAGAGAGAAATAAACCTCTTATATTCCCCACAGCAAAAACAAACTTACATATCAATACCCCATATTTTAAGTTATATCATTTCGTCCCCACAACAATAAAAAAAAAAGAGTATACCTTCGACAATGAACTTACAAATACGTACCCATATTTTAAAATAGTATCATTACATTCCAACAATGGAGAAAGGGAGAATATTAGCGATGACAATGTGGCGGGTATCTATATCTCAATATTCATATTCGTAATGTACTAAGCGTGTGTTAAAATCAGGTAATAACATTGCGGATATGGGACCAATCGATTCATTTTTATATGTTATAATTGAAAAAATAATATTGATATTTAATTATTTTATAATAAGTTGATAACACACAAAAAAATACTTTATAAATGAATGATAAATATAGTAGGATAAATAATTGGGTCTAAATAATTGAAAGGTAGAGCCATAATTTTTTTGGAATAAAAATATAATTTTAGAAAAGTTAAAAGAGAAAAAATACATGTAAATATTAATATAAATCATCATAAAACAAGTCAGTAACAAAACGAAACAAGACGAGACAGATCAAAAACAATATTCATACTCCATCCTATATTACTACGAATCAGATAATACGATCTTCAAACAAATCGGATAGATTGGATCATGCTAATGATGCATCACTACTCACACTCCTATAGGGATGAGATAGCATGTCTACCCCTAAAAGGGTTGGAAAAATTACACCCTTATTAATTATAGGTTTTAAGGTAATTAATTTGTGTTGCATTTAATAATCTGTATGAATTAAAAACACATATTAATTACTTTCCTTTTTTCAGTGCACTGGGGTGAAATTGGGGTGGGTGTAGTTACCTGCCCCACATTTTGCTGGTACCCACACCCACAAATTTACAATTATGCTACCCACAACCCGCATCGCAGCGGTTAGTGGGTAACCACTACCCACTGTGGGTTTGTGCGGGTTGGGTGTGGTTACCCGCAAAAATCCATCTTTGCAAGCATAGAGTTCTAGTCGCCACTAACGTATTTGTTGTTCGTAACTAGATTATAGTGATATACACTTGTGTTGTTCGTGGAGATACAATTTTGTACATCGATCTTACTCAACGTGGAGATTGAGTTTGGTATTCAACTTTTGTGTCAAAGAGCTTTGATTTCATATTTCCCCGACTAGGGGTGAAATATGACAATTAAATATGATCTTTTATTTTTTCACACAAAAGCAAAAATATACTGATAAAAGTTACAAAAGGTGTTCACTTTTAATGAATTGATTATTCTCCACTCTATCAATTATAGTGTTTTATAAACTAAAAAAATTCTTACAAAAAACTGATCAGGCGTGTCTTTTTTATTTGGTGGCTACTTTAATTTTATCCTCGCACTTTTCACATACTAATATATTATAAAGTTAATTCACTAAATAAATATAATTAGTGTGGTTATTGTGGATTTTGTGGGTTATCCTCGGTGAGTAGTGGATAACCACTAACCACAAAAATCGTTATTTTACTACCCACATCCAAACCACTACCCACAACTTGTAGATATAGTTACCCACAATAGGTATGATGCTGTTTGCAAATTATCCAGTAACCCAAACTTCCACGCCTAAGCACCACCACTGCGGTTGTTAACAAATAACAACCCACATTTTGTTTTCTTCTCCCGAACTCTGCCAGCTCCTCCCGCTACAGTTCCATCCCGGCACGGCACGCTATTTCCACTCTTTCCCCCTTTCCTTTCTCTCACTCCATCACTTCTCTTCTTTTTCCTTCCATGAAGTCTTCACAATTTTGATTCAATTTGGGGCTTCCACTCTCCCTCTCTCTTGCTACCATGGCAGCGCAAAATGATCAGCTGGACAGCAGCTTCAACGACCTCGATTACCTCTCCGGATTCGGCAACTCCCTGGAGTCCGAGGCGATCGCCGGAGCTCTCCCCCGGGGCCAGAACAGCCCTCTCCTCTGCCCTTACGGCCTCTACGCCGAGCAAATCTCCGGCACCTCCTTCACCGCCCCGCGCAAGCTCAACCACCGGAGCTGGATGTATCGGATTAAGCCGTCGGTCACCCACGAGCCCTTCGCCCCTCGATCCCCTTCTCACGGGAAGCTGGTCAGCGAGTTCAACGATTCCAACAGCGTCACCACCCCGACCCAGCTCCGGTGGAGGCCCGTCGATATCCCTGATGGTCCTACTGACTTCGTTGATGGCTTGTTCACTGTCTGCGGTGCTGGCAGCTCCTTCCTTCGCCATGGATATGCTATTCACATGTGAGTTCTGGGTCCGTGTTCTTGGCTTGTCTGATAAATTGGTGTTCCGCTGAAGATTAGGAAGTTGAGACGTTTTCGTTGTGCTTTGTAGGTACACTGCGAATAAGTCAATGGAGAATTGTGCCCTCTGCAATGCTGATGGCGACTTCTTGATTGTGCCGCAAAAAGGAAGTGAGTTTAGGTTGACTCATTAGCTACTTCGGATGCAATTTTGTGGTATAAGACAACACTCGGGCAAGAAAGTGAACATTTTTTCAGGGTTTCCTCAACATGTCTGCTTTGAATTTGAAGCTTCTTTGGATTTGATGTCCAAGTTAACCATCTTTTGGCCAAAATGAAACCGTTGACCTTCAATCTGTCTGGGGCAAAAGCCTTCTGTCAACAATGGTCAGTTGCATTCGAGATGTGGGAGCGATGTTCAAGTACAGGGATGTTCTTCTTGATTTTATTAGCTGGCTTGATGCTAACTAAGAAAGTAGTGAGCCGTGGAGCTGCAAGTTGAATTGATTTTAGGGCCACTTAGTCTTTCCCTCGCTTAGCATCCCTTGTCAGTGTCATATCTTTGATGGGAGATTAGAAATGAATGAGGAATAATCTCAATCATTTGTTCTTATTAATAGGGTTGTGGATCACCACAGAATGTGGGAAGTTGCATGTCTCACCTGGTGAAATTGCCGTATTACCTCAAGGATTCCGGTTCTCTGTAGAGATGCCTGATGGTCCATCACGTGGTTATGTTGCTGAAATTTTCGGTACCCATTTTCAGCTTCCTGATCTTGGGCCAATAGGTACTTACTTACCCTACGTTTTATTTTAAGTACCATCTACAGATTCTTGCTTGCGGAGAAAGTATTTCAGGTGTGGCTGTGGTTTTCAGGTGCCAACGGTCTTGCTGCTTCAAGGGATTTTCTTGTCCCCAAGGCCTGGTTTGAAGACGGTATGCGTCCAGGGTACACTATTGTGCAGAAGTATGGAGGAGAACTTTTTACTGCTAAACAAGATTTTTCACCCTTCAATGTAGTTGCTTGGCATGGTAACTATGCACCATACAAGGTAGGCCTAAAACTTCTTAGCAATTGACATTACTGAAAGAAGGTAACTTTGCTGGTATTTTGGCCTGAGATGATTTGACACCTTCTCTGCAGTATGATCTCAGTAAGTTTTGCCCTTACAACACAGTTTTGGTTGACCATAGTGACCCTTCAATTAATACAGGCATGTATCGATTTGCTTTTCCGATCTCTTTCAAAGATGCTAGGTCCATATTTCTGGAGATTAACTGATGTCTTTTAGTGTTCCAGTTCTGACTGCACCTACTGACAAACCGGGTGTGGCGTTGCTCGATTTTGTCATTTTCCCTCCAAGATGGTTGGTCGCGGAGCATACCTTTCGACCTCCATATTACCATCGCAACTGTATGAGTGAATTTATGGGTCTGATTTATGGAGGATATGAGGTATGTACTTGTACCTTACTACCTTATGCTAGATCATAATCTGCAGTTCTACTGAATTTTGAAAGGCTATTTCCAATTGGTTGACTTCAGTGGTGATGTCGATTTTAGGCAAAAGCAGATGGTTTTCTCCCTGGTGGTGCAAGCCTCCATAGCTGCATGACTCCTCATGGCCCAGACACCAAGACTTACGAGGTATGCCTATTACTGAAGCATGTACCATGTCTGTGCTTCATTGAGGATCCCCTTTCTTTCAAATATCGACGGAATGAACTTCAGACCTGGATATCAGCTAACGCTGTTTGACAGTCAATTCGACGTCTAAGAGTTCCAATCATGATACAATTGATGAATTTCCTAATAACTTAACGTCCATTAATTTCATTTCTAGGCCACCATTGCCCTTGGGGATGAAGCAAAGCCACATAAAATCATCAATACTATGGCTTTCATGTTCGAGTCTTGCCTCATGCCCAGAATCTGCCTATGGGCTCTCAATTCCCCCTTCAGGGATCATGATTACTACCAATGTTGGATTGGACTAAAATCTCACTTCAAACTCGAGGACGCAGCAGTACAGAATGCACAGATTTGAGCTCGAACGAGACTTACATTGGTGTATCGTTGTAATAAGGCGCTAAGACAGGCAAACAGAAAGTCTCTGTAATTGCTCTTTGTAAAGATATCCATGTTTGCGTGCGTGTATATATTGTTTGGTAAGTAACCCACATGTTGTAAATTAATGCATACTCAGAAGATGATTGATTGTATTTAGAATTAAGGACCATTTGGGGCGATGAAAGTGGCAAGAACCATATGAAGACAAGATACCATTCTTTAAAACATGAAAGGGGGTACGCTTTTTCCCCCAAAGACTCTAAACACTGTTTCATTTCTTGGCATCTAGCGCCCAAGAAGTGGAGAAGCTCCTCGCACGCCACTTTCTTCTCCCGCTTCGTTTTGTGTCGTTTAGTGACCATCGGTGAAAGGGCAGTAAAATATCATTGCCCACAAAGAGCTTCCAAACAACTCTTTCTTTCCCTCACTCCAGCCAAGCGGTCGTGCCTCGCCTTACCGTCCGTCGGAGCTGGCCCAGCCCCCTGCCATCCTTTGACCGATTTCCTTACCTTTCCGGAAATTCAGGTCGCGTTTCTCGCTGGCACACGGCGCCGCTGCCGAATCCATCCAAACACGCCAGCCATGATTCGTAGGAGAGATCGGCAGACCATGCTTCCCGTACGCTGCTCCTCTCCGCGACCACACCACAAAAATTGGAATCGCACGCCACTGGTCGATTCATGTCCTTCGTTTCGCCATTCGGGTCTGCTTTCTTGAAAATCGGAGCTATGCTGTTGGTCAGACTCGCCATCGGTTTTCCATGTTCAGTCGTTGATTGCTTCACCACGCCACCTTCTTTCTAATTCTGTTGTTCTGCAGTGCTGACCTCTCTCCACCAGTTGCCTTCCATCGTACTTGGTGGGAGACAAGTGCTTTCTTCTCTTACCCCTCAATAATCCCTCCTTCTCTCTTGCAAGGCAAATCCTGAAATTTTCTCCCGCTGCGGCTGCCGTAGAACCCAAAAGAGGAGGAAGACCAGATCGAATTTGGACCAGCATGAACACGTTGAGAATGAAGGCGATGAGAAGGAAAGGGGCTTGGTAGACTTATCATCTCCATCAAAACATCTCCGTTGCCTTTCGTCTTCAGAAGGCCACCGAGTCAGGGGAGTCGATGGACTTATCATCTCCATCAGCCAGCCAGAAGAATCATTCGCCAGGCAGGGTGCCATCACGGAGTATTTTTCCCTTGGAAGCGATTCCGCAGATGAAGAAGAAAAAGAAGAACACGGAGGAGTAGAAGGAAAAAAAGACACTCCGACCACATCCCTGTGGGGTCACGCTTCAGTGAGTGAGTTTTCATTCTCCCGTCTCCTTTGACTTCTACAACTGCGGAAACCTTTTTTACTTTTGCTCGAGATCGTTTCTACATGTAATTCAAGCTGTTCTTCTTTGATTATGTACTTATGTTTGACCAGTTCATTGCTACGTGTTGGTCGTTGAGATGTTTGAATATGCAATTTGGAATCGTGGTTAGGTTGTAATCTGCAATTCTGGTGTTGCTCGGTTGAAATTAGATAACTGGTAACAGGGTAATTGTAGGCGAGAAGTGTTCAGCTTAGTTCTATGGCACCGGGAACAAGAATGGCTTGAAAGGTGTTAATCTTCTTTTCTTCACACATGGGTAGAAAGGAGCTTTCTTCTCTATTGATTTTCTTGATATGCTCAGTGATTCATTTACCATTCACATTGTATGAGACTTAGTATGCTTGCATTATGTATTGTTTGTTTCATTAAAGAAAATCACCTCATTGCTGCTCAGTATTGGGTCCGAGAGGAGTTGCAGGGCTTGCAGGATCTCTCTTCAGTTTAGAGTTTCAGAACCTTTTCCAAATTGATCGGGGTTGTCTCATCTTTGGACCTTTCAGCTTACATATAAACTAATTATATTTACCATCTTTTGCTTTTAAAGGTCGGGAACTGTAGTATAACCATGCTTTTGTTGCTGCTATAATGTTATAGCAAAGACCAACCAGTTGAATTTTTCACTTAATCTGTAGAATGTGAACTGAAAGTTTTGCCTACAGGTTCAATTGGAAGGTAAAGACAATGTCAGTAGCTGATGGGATAGCTTTATCTTGCTGTTCTTGAGTTTCTCCATAGCATTGAGACGTGAAAGAACTGGAATCTAGATTCAAAGAACAGTAACCCTTACCAGATGCAAACTCCACTCATTGAATGTAAGTTTGTGAACTCTTTTCGTGCATTTGTTGCTCAAATTATGTGTTTGTGAATCCATATTTAAATGCTCAATTAAATGAATTCGTGTTTGAATGTAAACCCTTTTCGTGAATCCATGTTGTTCCTTTCCCTAGATCAGATTTGTATTGTTTCTTAGTCTAACTTTTTGAATATAAGCTCTAACTACAACTTCTCTTTGTTCCCACATTAGGCAAGAATACACCACCACCAATGAGGCTTTGAATGAATCCTACCAGAAAGATGGTCAGGTATAAGATTCTTCACTTTCCAGAACCCATATTAAGTTTTATTTATATGATTTGCTGTGAGAAGTCGCGATCTGATATGTGCTCAATTTCTATTCCTCTTTTGCTTGCTGATTATGTGTAGAAATTTCCAGGATAATGCCCTTCAAAAACTCTTCTGATAGCATGATAGGTTAGTTCAGTTCATGAGTATGGATCAAGAGCTTCTCCACCAGTAAGGAACATTAAGTACCAGCTATTGTTTCTCATCATCAATGGACATCGAGATTGTGTAACCGATTGACAAGTTGCTGAACAAATCGATTAGTAAGCTTACCTCCAGTAAACTGAGTTTTTTCCCCCCATTTCCCCTTCCCAAGACCCTGCTTATCACTTTTCTTAAATAACATTTTAAGTTACTTTGTCATTTATAGGTTCATTTGTTCTCAACAGTAGATTTTTGCAGCATAATGTGTATGGATGTGCTATTTGTTGACTCGAAAAAGAAAAACCAACAGCTCCAAGTCTGCTTTAATCCTGTCAAACCACCTAATAGTTGGTAAATTCAGCACTCTCTTTTATTTTGTAACAGTTGACAGGAAACAATCTGCAGCAACAGTAAATTGCCAGCTAACAAACCAATACCAACAGCTTCAAGAATAGCTTGCAGTCACCCCTAATCAACAAACAAAGACAAGTCTTAAATGGAAACAAATGTAGCAAAGACAAGTGTTAAATGGATACAAATGTAGCGGGTGTTATCTTGCATCACCAATGACAGGTTCCCAGGTCACAGCAGCAAGCATGTTCGATCAGTCCCACTAATCTAAGCCTACTATCCACAACCACTTTCCAAATTAAGTCTTGCTTTAATCTGCCAGCTTGCCAGAGTAATAAGAGATTGTTTAATCCTCCCTGTAGATTCATGACGTCTTTACTTCATAAAACTGCTCAAAGAGATAAAATACATCAATAACCTGTGACTCATGAAGATGAAGTTGCCAAAGGCCTACTTATATGCAGCAGTGGCCCATGAGAGTGCAACAAGAGCAAAAGACTCACAAGACCATACTCTCAAGCTCTCATGAGTCACAGATCAATATCATTGTCCACATTCAGGTTGTTATTCCACTTCTTTTTTTTTTCTTTCTACAACACACAAGAGGGTATTTATTTGGCCCAACACGACTAAATCTCCTGCGACGTAGTCGCGGGTATTGATACTAGTGTGCTTAACAAATGGGGGTCACCGAAAATCGAACACAAGACCTCTCGGTCACAGAAGGATCTGATACCATGTCAAGAACCAGTTGATCCCAATAACTCGAGTTGTTATGAAAGGTTCAATCGTGAATCATATACACAACACTAACAAAAAATAACTTTGCACCAGCTAACATCGGATTGTATATTCTTGCATAATAGCATTTACATTAATTTCAGCCTCAAATATAACCATGGGAGCTTCAAGTGCTCATTTTGTTAAGAAATGAGTAAATTGAATGTCCACATTGTTACAGTTAAAGTTAAGGGATCATTTTGTTATGTTCTACATAATTGAGTGACCATTTAGCTGTTTTTTGGGAAGATTATATAGCTGTTTATTACTTTTACTTACTTGATTGTCAAAAAAGGAGAGAACATACTCGGAAAAAAAGGAGAGAACATAAATCGGTGTTAGTTGCTTACGCCGCTCCGAAGCCACTTCTGGAAGCCGCCGATTTCTTGCACCGGCAGCAGCGCGCGAAATCTGGAGAGGAAAAGATGGTGTTCGAGGCGACCGAAGAAGCTCTACAAGTGTTGAATTCTTCTCTTTCTCACCTCAAATGGCGTCTTAAATCTCCAGCTAAGCGCCGTCTCGAGATAGGTACTCTCGCCATTCAAACTCTCCCGCAACCTGCAAACTGAAAGCCGGCGGCTTAATCTCTTGGCTTTGAGAGGGTGTTATGTGCTTTAATCGAATTACTCTTATTTTTCTTCGTCCAGATGTTCTTGCATTACTGACAGGAATGAGGCCAGTGATAATGGTCGATTATGGCGGGAAGATGCCTGAATTACAGCAACACCTTTGTTCCCTCATCAAACATTGCCACCAGGTTTAACTGTTTCTGTAATGGAGTTGCTTATTTCCCCGACGAATTAGCTTGAGTTTGCGTGATCATGGGTCAGTAAAATGTTCTTCTGGAATTAGAGTTTAGAACAAAATGTATGACCCTTTCAGAGCCTGTTGAAAGCGTACTAGTCATTTCAGTTTAGGGTTTCCAGGATAATGCATGGTCCGGTTGAAGTTGTGACCCTTACTTCTTCCTTTCCTGATCAGGAGTCGGCGGTTTTCGAGTGCCTAAGAGTGATGGTTGTGGATGATATGATCTATCTGATACACATTAAAGGACTTGCAGAGTATGCCAGGACAAGCTTGAACTCAGAAGCAGAATTTTATTTTGTCAACCTAGAGCAGGAACCACTGAAGGTTGGTTGCTATATCGACTTTATCCACTATTTGTGCTTTCTGGTTAATGTGTTGAGGTTTCATGTACGTTCTCCAGATGGTTTCACAAAAGCAAGACTGCCCCTTGGGAGCTGATTTCTTGAGACTGCAGAGATTGTTCTCCCAATTCTTTCCCCTTGATGAAGCGAAAGATGATGCCTTGTTGCCTGATGTGAAAGACACTGTGGCCAATGTCGAACCTAGCACTTCGTTATCTGCTGGACATATTGATCTCAGCAGTTGCATGCAAGAAACTCAGATCACTGTCCCGACTCTAAACGGGTCAGTAATGTACACTACACATTCTCTTATCTAATCCTTGATTTAAGATGATTCTTCTCCTTCCTGGGAGAATGTTTTAGTTCTACTCCATGCGGATTGGGAAGTTGGGTGACATTTCGTTTCAATCACTGATTTCAATCATCTACACTGCATTTCCAGATGGCTTCTTGGCTACCCTGTAGTGTATTTGTTTGGCAAGGAGTTCATATCAGAAGCAATATGTAATCTGTCAACGAAGAATCTGCATCTCTTCAGAATATTAGTCCGCAGGTTTGTTGTTCCTCCTGGCTCAGTTTCTGTAGGTTTGTGTGGCTAAGTGTGTATTAAACGCTGGAAAGAATGAAGATGGGGGTTGATATGGAATCATGGTTTGTTCCTGGTTCCTGCAGAGGTAATGGTGCATCCAGTAAGGGATCCCAGCCTGAAGAACTAATGAGGTAAATAATATCCTTATTCTTCTGGCTATGGAAAGCAAGCTAGCTGGGTTGGTTTGTAGCCTCTCGATGAATAACATCGTTGAGTCAGTATCGATGCATTGACGTAATTCTTGCTTAGCCGAAGTTTATTAGGTGTGATGCCAGTTTCTTTGTGTACTAAGCAAAAATTGCCGCAACAGCTTCTCAGTGCCATACGAGCTGAGCATGAGGGGAAGGAAGGAGCCATGGGCAGAGGCATTTCTGGAGCGCTTGCAGTTCAAGTGGCAGAACTGCAAGCAGACTTGGGTGTTTTTGGAAATGGAGGTCGAAGAGTGCTACCCACAAGCAATAGTGCTGTAACACTACTCCGGATGGAAACACAACCCGATTTCACCTTGTCGTCGACTATCGCACAATGAAGTCGCGATACATGCTCAAAGTAATCATTAGTCAAAATCAGCAGATAATTTAGCAGTGATGTAACTCATTTTCTCTCCAATTAAAGCGATTGGTGTTGTATGCTCATTGTATCAACTATAGCAATTGAAGTTCCTTGGTGTTCATTGAGTGCTTGACTCTAAACTAATACGATCATCAAAAAATTTAAACGTAGTTAGTATAAATGCGATTACTATGCAGATATTAGACGAATTTTTGTTAAGCATGTACAAGTTACATACTGATAGTCTGATTCTGATACTATGGTTGAGTATTTATTTTCAAAAAAAAAAATAATGTGGAAAATAGGCCCAAAATGGATTTTCTGCTATTGGGCCGTGAGGTCTTCTTACGTTTGCGTATTTATACAGCACTCGGCGAGCGAAAGTGCGAGATAGAAAATTGTCGAGCTAGAGGAGAAGATAATCACAAACCACGATCGAAGAGAAGAATAAACAGTGAGAGCAGGAAAAATGTCAGGAGGAATCTCTCAGGACTGGGAACCCATCGTTATCCGCAAGAAGGCTCCGACCTCTGCCGCCAAGAAGGACGAGAAGGTTGTGAACGCTGCTCGCCGCGCCGGTGCTGAGATTGAAAGCATCAAGAAATGTTAGCTCTCTTCGTCTTCGTTCTTTATCGTTTGCTTTTTGGTTCTCTCTAATCATTTCCGTTTCATCTGTTGTTTCTTCCCTTCCTTTTACTGGTAAAGATCGGTAAAACCGTTTGTTGTGTTATTTGCTTTTTGGAGAAGCAGTGGAATTTTGGTGAGGTAATCGGTGTACAGAGTTAGGGTTTCACACTAATCGATTGTTAGCTAATAGCTATCGCTTGAGAGTTAGGGTTTGCTTGCTGTATTTTATGTTCGGTCATATCTTTCTTTTTCCGCGATTTTTGATGGAGATTAGTGCTTCCTATGACGTGGTGAATGAACCCCATGCTAGTAAAGCTGTTTCCGTGTTCGTGATGTATAAAACCTTTGGATAGTTAGTCTATTTGCTGATCGATGTGTTAGAAGGCGAAAGCTGTTTTCCCGGGCCAAATTCTGGAAATAACTGCGCTAATATTTATGTTTATGTGATTTATGCAGCAAATGCTGGCTCGAACAAGGCTGCCTCTAGCAGTACTTCCTTGAACACCAGGAAGCTCGATGAAGAGACTGAGATTGTTGCTCGTGAGTATTTTCCTCTTCATGTTCATTGTTTTCTTATTTCATGTTTTGTTTTCCCCTCGTGGTCTTGGTTTGTTTAGTTTGAGCTATATGGTCTACAATCCGAGATCAGGAAAGTTTGTAGTCCTTCATGGTTAGAAATAACTGAAATTGCTATAGTTGTGCCTTCTATTTTGGACTTGGGGTGTCTTGATTATACTGGTTTCCCACTCGTTGGAATATGAAAATAGTTCAATCTGGTTCCTTTGGTCTTAAACTTGGGTTTCCTTTTTGTTTTACACATGCGAATATCATGGATGAGGAAGTATCGAGATATGTTGGTCAAGCTATAACTCTTTTGCGGATTGTTCTGTAGGATTTCTGGTTTAAAATTCTTGATTATATCTTTTTTGTTTCTGATGAGTAATCAAAGAATCTTATTCCATCAAAAGTAGGAAAGGGACAACCCACCAGATGGCGAGCAGGAGTGGTTACTGTAAGGTGGACATAAGAATATGTTCAATTCACAACATTGAGAAAGAATCTGTTTCTTTCACAAATAAGAAACGTACTTCTATTTTGCTAGCTTTGTGAAAGTGACTTGGGGTTGTTATTTCTTTCCTTTTCACTTTTGTGGTTGGAAATATTCGGGAAAGAAGGTCTATTTCCGTATCTGTTCATGTATTGTCATTTGAAATTCGTAGTTATCCGTGTTTGCAATCACTGGATTGCAAATGAATTTTAGTTGAGTCTTTTACTTGATGCCAATAGTTGTACGTCTACTTTCAGTTTTTAGATCAACTTGGCGTGCTTCCCTTTTGTTTTTTCCTGAGTTGCCTCTAATTTATCTGATGATGCAATTAAATCGATACTTCCTTGAATTAAGGATTTGTGGGATCAGAACATTGCAAGTGTTGGATTAATCATTTGGAACTTATTGGCTTGTGTGTGCTATGTTCATGACTAATGCATTGTTAGCACCATTTGTGACAAACTGACATTGGGTTATTGTGACGTGAACAGATGAGCGAGTGCCAAGTGAACTGAAGAAGGCCATCATGCAAGGTCGAATGGATAAGAAGCTTACTCAGTCTCAACTTGCACAGGTCTCTCCCTCTCCCTCTCTCTCAACACAATCAAGCTTTGCATAAAAGCAGATATTTAGTTCTTAACGACCTCTAATTAACAATGAAATGGGTGGGATGCAGTTGATCAACGAGAAGCCTCAGATAATCCAGGAGTATGAATCTGGGAAAGCCATTCCTAACCAACAGATCATTGGCAAGTTGGAACGAGCTCTTGGAGTGAAGTTAAGAGGCAAGAAGTGAAGCGCTCTGCTTATGATCGTTATCTGATATAACGCTGGTTCTGAAGTCTCAAGGCTGCTGATGTACATTGGAAACTTCTCCGTCTTTCCGAATTTCTCTACCCTTTGCAGTGGCTTGTACCTCTGAGAAACTGTGTTTTTGGTTGGACTAACAATGTTGTGCATGGCAGTGTTTCCTTGTCTGTTTGCCCTCTAACTAGCTCTCGTACCACCATATTTCCAAGTGGGGAATACAATTTGCAAGCGTTTCTTACGTAGCCGGCTTTATAACCATGTTGCTGCACTAATGCTTGAATCATTGCTGAACGGTGCCAAGGTGATGGGGATTTCTTTGTGTTGGTTGAGGGATAATCCTCCGCAGCTACTTTGTAGGAGTTGTTGGTTCTTATTTGCTTGTTTAAATCAATTAGGAAGATGTTATTGGCAGCGAAGATGATTCTAGGATTGTGTTTGTTAATTGGAGGTCGGATTTGCCTCCACTTTCACTCTTCTTCTAATCTTCTCCATGTCCCCTTGCTTGGAATTTGTGCTGGATTCCTTGAACCAAACATCCCTGAGCTCTGAGATATAACTCCCATAGTCAATCTGCATTCATCGAGATATCTCCCACTTCTTTTTTCTCATGATTGGCTTGTAACCATCACCGGTTCAACAAACCTTCGCTATTGTTGTAATATATCAGAAAACAAATCTGGATGTGCCCTTCAATCCTTTGAATAAGGACCATAAAAAAAAGTGGTCAACGTAATGAAGTGAAATGCGGGATGGGATTTGATGATTGCGCCCATTGCAGGAAGACTTGTAATGATGATGATGATGATGATGATGGAAATGGTACACAAAATGACTTTCATTTTCTAAATTCTAAAAGCATATTTAAAGTGTTCTTACAGATCCACTGTAGCATGTGTTGAGGATGTGAAGATTTAAAGTTGTTCCTTTTTCTCGAGTGTTCATATATTCGTATTTTAAGTGATTATTTTATAACATATTATCGATGTGAGGCTAATCAGTCATTATAAAATTTCGATTCATTAATTTTCATTGTGAAATGAATTGAACAATGTCCATCGCAGTAGACAACAATGTCAACAACCATTAACCAATATATGTGTCATACTCATATTTTTTAGGAATATGTGATAAAGTTTTCATTAAGAAATCAGTCAAGAAGCAGCTCAGAGGAAATTGCATAAAAATTTGGGGGAACATGATCAATCTAAGTGACTTCATTGAGATGAGCCACTCTCTACCGACCACAAGTATATCAATTAGTTTTTATAATTAGATGTGTCCTGTTGATAATGCAACAAACCTATACGATCATGAAAGCTAAAATGTACCTTTTCCCTGTAATGTTAGTACTACCTTTGGATGACCACGAATAAGCAATGAAAGAGCCAATAAATTGCTATTTATAGGATAATATTGCGTGGGTTTGATACTTTATAGGTTAGTAAACCCTGTTGAAATTCCGTTTAACTTCTTTCTAGATATATATTCTAAAATGAAAATAATATCATTTTAACTTCTTATATCGATATAATATTTGAAAAAACGTATTCTTCAGGGTTATCAAAGTTGTCGAACAAGCTACTAATGACTGACGAGACCTAGTAAGCATAGTGAGGTGACTACGACATTCAACAGGTTCAGTCAATTGGACAAAACCACTAGCAACCTAGTTTCAATGTTAATTAACCATTAGATTATTATAAGAAAATCAATAGATTAATTTTTTTGACATCATCCCCTGCCCACACCAACCAAATCAATGGCCCATGGGCCAATGACCATAAGAAAATCATAATTAATAAATCAATGACCGCCCTGTCCACACCAACCAAATCAATGACTCATGGCCCATGGGCCATGCCCATAAAATCATAATAATAAATCAACGACCATGAAATGAAGTCGGCACCCATAGCCATAAACTATAACCGAACCGAATTTATTTAATTTAATAATGATATATAGGTGGACTTGGCATCAGCAGATCAGCACCCTGTCCATTTCCATCTCTCCCTCTCCGCGGCCGCGTCCCCAACTCGGAAGAGCCACGGCTATGTCTGACTCAGTCGCTCTGTGAACTGCCTCGGTGTCTCGCCTTCTTCCAATCGAGTTTCTTTATATTTCGCTTTCCGTTGAAATCCATCCATTCACTTCCCCAATCCCCAAAAAACCCATATACCCTTTCCTTCTTCCTCCCTCCACTCACTCATAAATATCCCTCTCCGCTCTTATCCCAATCTTCCCTCCTTCATTCCCAGATCCCCCGCTCCCTTTGTCTCCCCATGTCAGCTCCTTCTACTACCGCTCCCCACTAGCTTACAAACCCATAAACCTCCCATGGCGGTTCCAGCTGTCAGACCCCAATTCCTCTGCCTCCTCCTCTTCCTCGCCATCACCGCCGTTCACTCCCGATTCCTCTCCTCCTCCATTTCCAACCCGTCTTCCGATCTGGTCTCTGATGGCATTCACGACGGCATCCAGAACCGTACGAACTCTTACTATCATCTCCTCCTCAACTCGTCGGAGGAGCCGGAGACCGAGTCGTGCGAGCAATCCTATGGCTTCATGCCCTGCACGACCACAGCCCTAGGAAACATGTTCTTGATTATCGTCTATGGCTACCTCATGTTCCTCGCCGCAACTTACTTGTCCAGCGGCAGTGAGCTCTTGCTCGAGATTCTGGGGCCTGGGATCGTCGGGGGTCTCTTCCTCCCTGCTCTCGGCGCGCTCCCTGATGCTATGCTCATCATGGGTAAGTCGGATTGAAATCTATAGGGCCGAGAAATCCTCCATTTCTGATAAATTGAACTCTTTTTTTTCCTCATTTCAATTTGGTTGTGCTTTGGTGGCGGTGATTTCTAGTGTCCGGGCTTTCGGGGAGTGTTGAGACTGCTCAGAGTCAAGTCTCCGTTGGGATGGGGTTGCTGGCTGGGTCGACTGTCATGCTGCTTACTTTGATCTGGGGGACTTGCATTCTTGTTGGCAAATGTGATATCAGGGAGACGGATTCTATCGCTATTGATGGCCAGGACACCAAAGGGATGCACTTAACTAGTAAGGTTTCAAATGATTATCTTGTTCAATTTTGCTGGTTGCATCATCAGTTTTTAGCCATCGGTAGAGGTTCTTCTGTCTCTATGCCTTAGGACGTTCATTTCTTGTGCTTATTGATTGATTAACTTTTGAAAGGCGAGATCTTGTTTCGTGCCGCTGTGTATATCCGGTTCCATTTAGGGTTGGGGCTTGATGCCTGCTGGCAGTTGAATTGTTTGTAGGAAGAGTTCAGTAGGGATTAGTTGGTGCTATAGTTTGGATAATCTTACATATCATATCAAAATCTGATGCAAGGACGGTGGCTTATGTTTGCAGGTAGTGGTGTCAGTACTGATATCTGGACTTGCTATGCTGCCAGGATAATGGCTATATCTGTTATTCCATTCGTTATCGTTCAGTTCCCGCAAATGATTCATTCAACTGCTGGAAGGCAGGTGGCTGTCTTGATTGGACTTGCTGTATCTGTTTCGATGTTCATTTCGTATTGTCTCTACCAGGTAATGCTTCTCTTCCCTGTTATTAAGCTTTAGACATAGTATTTTGTCATGCGGTCTCATCAGGAAGACTGTTGTTGAATAACTCTTCAAAAGAACTGAAGAGAATGTGTATCTTGTTGCTTATTCTTCTATATAGTTATAGCTTCATTGTCCTGAATTGGCTACAACCTTTACAGGGCCCATATAAAATGAGGGAACTTATATTCTTCGGTTTTAAGCAGCCATGATTTGATGCCTTCTTTGAAATCGTAGGATTTGGGCATGATAGAGAGACCGTGTAGCAGTAGATGTCATGTTGTGCTTAACCGTTGCTTAGCTTCAATGGCTTCTGATTTTGGTTTCTGGGATCTTGCAATGTCACACAGGTCTTTCAACCTTGGGTTCAGAGAAGAAGGCTGGCTTTTGCAAAGCACAAACATGTGATATCTGGGATTTTGAAGCATTTGAAACAACGCTCCCTGGGAAGGCTTTTGGACGATGATGGTGAACCTGACAGAGAAGTCATAAGAAAGTTAGTCCTTCACATATCAGCCGATGCTTAGTTTAGCACCAGATCGCTTAACTAACTTTTTTGGCAATGCTTCTTGATGCAGGTTGTTCGGAACAGTTGATGTAGATAAAGATAATTATGTCTCGGCATCCGAACTGAAAGCATTGATCATAGGAATTACTTTCGACGAGATCAATTTCGATAGGGATGATGCTGTGGCTAAAGTAATGAGCGACTTTGATTCATCACTTGATGCGAGGATCGACGAGAATGAGTTTGTTCATGGGGTAACCAAGTGGCTTAATGAGGCAAAACGAGGAGCTGGATCTATTACTGCTCCTGATGCTGGTCCTAGGACAATGAAGTTCATAAACGATTATCACTTGGTAAGCATTACTGCAAGTAGAGTGTGCATGGTCCGGTCAACCCCAGAATCAGTCGGAATTGATCAAGGGAACGGAACAAAACTGCATTCAATTTTAGTCTGATCACGTCTCAATTCAGCCCTTTTTCTTTGTTCTTAGCTGGATCCATGGAATCAAAAGTTGATTCAGTCTGATTCGGTTTGGGTGTGATCCTGACCTTTTAATATGATCATATATATACAGCAAACAAAGAAAGAGCATACATTGCTGGGAGCAGGGGAAGAAACCGAGCAGAGTGATGAGGTCATTGAAGAAGTGGAGAATCCAAGGTGGATCTCTTTTAAGGCGGTGTTGATGTTGATGTTGGGGACAGCTATTGCAGCTGCCTTTGCTGATCCGCTGGTGGATGCTGTTGACAATTTTTCTGCCGCAACGAGTATCCCCACCTTCTTCATCTCATTCATTGCTCTGCCTCTGGCCACCAATTCCAGCGAAGCAGTTTCAGCTATCATATTTGCCACCCGTAAGAAGTTCAGAACTGCCTCTTTGACATTCTCCGAGGTATGTATCTCTGCAACCCCACGTTTCTTTTCTATGTTACCATCCTCATAATATACTCATACGCGTCCCGGGTCAAAATGTGTTAACTACATTTACATTATCTGCATTATAATGTTTCTAAGCTTCATGCGTGCTGGTTTTCTTCTGCAGTTATATGGCGCGGTGACCATGAATAACGTCCTCTGCCTGTCGGTGTTCTTGGCAATTGTTTACATCAGAGGATTGGTTTGGGACTTCTCATCCGAGGTGTTGGTCATTCTCATCGTGTGTCTTGTGATGGGCGCCTTCGCTAGCTTCCGCACCACATTCCCTCTTTGGACAGCTTCGATTGCCTTCCTGCTCTACCCATTCTCACTGGCACTGGTCTATGTTCTTGATTATGTCTTCGGTTGGTCGTAGAGTCCGCTGGAGGCGAAATGGATCACTGACTGAAAGCTACTTATGGATAGTTTGGTTCTGCCTCTTTGAGTTGGATGTTATTATGTAAACTTGAAAAGACAGACGTTTATGGGTCTTTGAGGTACATTATGTTGTGTCGGAGATGTGATATATATGAGACGCTTGTAGTCGCATTACTCGCTGTGATTTTGGGGCAGATTAAGCTACATATGTATGGACTTTTAGTGTATGAACTTATGTGTTTACCTAAAGACTATTGATTATCTGGAGAATAATGTATGTTCATGTATAGAGAAGATCCACATTGCGACCGAGCGCCCTAAAAATTTAGCGAAATGATTACGAATTGCGAGTTGCAAACAAGTGATGAACCATAACATGTTGCGTCTTTTTGCATCGCATGACATGAGTAATGTCGCAACTAGTTAGTGATGAACAATTACAAATTGGTCTGTTCATATCGAGAAGAACACCCAAAGTAAAGGTGGCTGGGCGAGGTTCCGCGCCAAGGTGGCCTTGCCTTGTTCACAGAATGCCAACACAGAAGAAGCGCCCGTTATCCGTTTTTTTCTCTGAACCGAGGAAGTCAGGAACGAACAGTTCTCTTCATATATCCGCGCCAAAAAGAAAAAAAGTCAATCTTCTTCCTATCCGCCCCAAAATCCAAATGATCTGTCATACTTCTTCTTCGATTCACATCAAACCATACTACTGCTCATCTCCCACTCCCCAATTCCGGCCGCGTCGAGCTTCAAGTTTCGCTATCAAAACCCCACCCAACTCACTACGTTTCTCTACCCACCATCAATCGAATGGTCGCGGGAACATCGCCGAAAACGGTACGGGGTTCCTTCTGCGGGCCGTCGGTGATTGTGTGTCTTCTTCTGCTTCTCATGACGAGGGCGGGCTTGATGCGGAGCTGGACCGCCTTCTAGCGCTGTTGACTGAACAGATGAGAGCGCGAGTTGTCGAGCACCCTGAGTTCCACGGCTTAGTTGAGGTGGTGTTGGATTTGGGTCGGCCGCCGATCGCTAGGTTTCCATCTGGGGACTTCGTTTTGTCTGATTCTCCGATCACGCTTCAGGATCTCGAGTATGCTGCATCGCAGGTGACTGTGCCCTTTGCTATAGCCCGCCACTTGTTTGATGAATTGCGCTTTGTTTTGGATTGTTCTTTCTTTTGGTAGCATCTTGAAAGTTGAAACAACTGAACTTATCTTTTTGTTGCATCTTTCGTGATCATTGTATGGGATAAAGAAAGGGACTTTGAACTTCATGTGTTGCAGGTTGGTGACTTCGCCATTGACAATCGAGCAGGCATCAGCAGAACATTGCACCGGATTAGTGCCATAAGAAATCGCAAGGGTGAAATTATTGGATTGACTTGTCGTGTTGGTCGAGCGATTCCTGGAAGTGCTAGTTTGCTGGGAGATTTGGTTCAGGCTGGTGCCTCCATACTTCTAATTGGGCCTCCTGGAGTGGGGAAAACTACAATTATCAGGTTCTCCCTCCTTCATTCTTGTTAGTGAAGCATTGGCTGCTTGTTTTCTTTAAAACGATCTTCTCGTTCTCATCCAAATACGAGGCTCTGAAACTTCCAACGATGCAGGGAAATAGCTCGAATGCTTGCAAATGATTATAAGAAAAGAGTTATGATCGTCGACACTTCAAATGAGATAGGTGGGGATGGTGATATACCTCATTCGGGGATTGGAAATGCTCGGCGAATGCAGGTCGGGAATTCTGAAATGCAACATAAGGTATGCTTTGGGTTAATCAAGCATTGAAGGGAGCAAAAACATATCAGCATCATATGCTGAGTAATTATGGTATTCCATATAAGGTTTCACCTTGCTAAATGGAGTAACTTAAGACAATTTATCCATCTTTTCTTCCACTCTGTACTTCATGCGTTAGTTCATCATTTTTTTTATTGATTAATACTCGGGTTGCTATCTAAGTTAATGATTTGTATAAAATTCAGGTGCTAATAGAAGCTGTCGAGAATCATATGCCCCAAGTGATTGTCATAGATGAGATTGGGACCAAACTAGAAGCAATGGCTGCAAGTACAATTGCTCAACGAGGCATTCAGCTCGTTGGAACTGCTCATGGAGTTACAATAGAGAATTTGATAATGAACCCTTCTCTTGACATGCTTATAGGTGGTATACAGGTGAAGCTTCTTAACCAATTTACAACTGGGTAATTGTCTTAACTCCTAATACAGAAAGCAAACCTCATACTTCATATAATAAGCAGAAGTTGGAGAGTTTATGGGCCATGTACTGAAATCGGTTATAATTCTGAGAAGATAGAAAGCCTTTACATCACCTTTTTGAAGTTGCTAGACTGGGAACCCATTTTAGGGAACATAATATCTTGTTTGCTTGTTTGTTTGGATTACTGAGGAACATTTTTCAGAGTGTAACACTAGGAGATGAAGAAGCAAGCCGGCGAGGTGTGCAAAAGACGGTGCTAGAGAGGAAAGGACCATCAACCTTCGCTTGTGGCGTTGAGATAATTTCTAAAACTGAGCTGCGAGTTCATCGCTATCTGGAATCAACAGTAGATGCAATCCTAGCAGGTGGGCTTCTTCCTTTCGTTGGAACACGATACTCAGAACTTGGTCCCAACTGATAGTGGTGAACTTTCTGTTGATTATTTTAAGTTTTAACCAACTTTTACCACCTTCCCACTGCCATTCTTTTCATGGAAAGGCCGATCCCCTGTCGTTGAAGTACGCAAGATGAGGTTGGAGGATTCAGAGGGAACTACAGAAATGGAACCATATACAGAGGCGTCTGTTGAAAATAAGCCTGATATCTCTCATGAAGGTCTCGGGTTGATGGATGATTATCTCAGTGGGCGTGAATTCACAATTGAGTCTCCGCTAAGCATTTCAGCCCACTCTTCAGAAGGCAATGCACCCTTTCACCTATATGTCTACGGGGTAAGACCATCATGTCATTCTCAGTGTCTTTGTTGAAGTTCTTGCAGTGGCCAAATGGCAAGAGTAGATTAAAGAAAAAGTATTAGTCTAACGATCGAATTTAACAATATAGAAGCTGTAGTATTCACAGAGCTGCATTTTAGTTGGGGTATTGTTCTTTGCTTTGGTATGATATTATTTGTCTTCTTTAGTACTATTATTCTCAGTCAGGTCTAAACTAGGGGCTTCTAACTAAGATCAGTTTTGCACATGTTATGAAACAGGATGCTCAGGATCTTGTTGTGTGCTTTTCAGAATTTATCACAATAGTAGCTGCCAAGTTGTTTGAAATAATACATACTGTAGTTGTCACGTATTCATGAAATAGAATCCATTATTTTGATCAATGAGATCTTGTCTTCAAAAAGAATCTGTAAATTTTTCTTTGTAACTTTACTTCATTGCATTTCCATGACTGTCTTCACTTATAAGATGCATGTGTACAAGTTAATTTACAAAATTTACAGAATGAGCAGTTACTTCTAGATCTTGGAGGCAAGCGTAATACAAGTGATTAATCAGCTGGAGGCTGCAGTTCAGTTAACTGATAACATCAGCGAAGCTAATGCACTTCTTGCTTTGCAATCGAAAATCAAGAAGAATCCCAGAATTCAAGCAGCAGCTAAATCACACAACATACCTATATATGTGACAAAGGTAATTTGAATGAACCATTTTTGGCCATTTGCGTTGTGATTGACCACCCAAATGCTATTTGCGACTGATATCGTATTTTCTTGTGGCTGCTGCTATAGACAAGTTCATCAGTCCAGATAACAAAAGCCATGAGGGCATTGGTCAATGATCGTGAAGGTGGATTCAAGGATTTTGGATTCGACAATGACGCAAAATCTTCGGAGAAGATGGATGCTTTAGAGGTATTTTATTGTGCCCTCTATTGTTAACATCTATGCTTTAAAATCAAAGAATAAATAAGTGCCTGCTGAATCGACTCCCGAAGTTCAAGAAACGGGGGAAATGATAGTAAGGTTGCTGTGAACGTCGAACTTTGCCTACACTCCAATGACTTTCTTGAGCAGTCTCATTGATACCTTGTGGTATCAATCGGCTGCCTGGTTAACCATGTCCCGCTGACCAATCGGTCATGGATTTATTACGGTTTTCTTCGCAAATTTGCCATTATATACGATTTCACAAACATTCTTTGCTTGTTCTGCAGGAGGCAAGGATAGCAATCGAACAAGTGGTGATCCCGACAGCACAGCCTGTGGAACTACTGCCCAGACCATCCCACATTATCAATCTCCAGATGGAGTTCATCCAGAAGAATTACCAATTACAGTCTGAGAAAATCGGCAGAGGACCAGAGGAGTGCGTACGAGTCGTACCATATCAGGTTCGTAATGGGAAACCCAGTCGCGTCTCAAACGAGACTGAACATCATGATGATGAGTTCTCGAGCAATGGATCGCTCTATTCAGTGGAGAAGCTACCTTTGTTGCCAGATTCTTCTTGACTGAGAACTAATACTTGCTGATCAGCAAGCAAAGTGTATTTTATTAGATAAGAAGCAACTTGAAAGGGTTTCCAAATTTCAGTTTAGGAGTCATACTCAACAGATAGTCATATTGATTGATACAATCGTACAATAGAAAAGCCCAGCCCACGCGATGTAATTGACGGAAACTGACCCAAGTTATACGGCCCAAAAAGGCCCATTCTAGCAGCGAAGTAGCTGGCAGGCCCATGCAATGTGACTGCCTGAGCCACCATTTGAACGGCAAACATGCATGCAAGGAACAGTGTCGTGGCATTAAGTGACATCGGTGCTCGAATGTACGACCATTTGATCACTGATCATGAATCATGATTACATTCTTTTTTTTTCCCGATATGACTATTATTCTAACACCAGAAGCTATTAGTCTGCAAATGCTGACATCACTTGAATGTTAATGCATCATCCAATTAACACAACAATTCGAAAACTCGTATGGAACTATGAGAACTGTCCAACAACGTACACATACATTCTCGTTAATCGTCCTTAGATAAACATATACAATAGCCCGACTCCACGATACGTTGCCGACACATGAAAACTATCAAAGAAAGCCAAATCTAGTCTAGAAGTACTAACAACCAAAGCTGGGAATAGCCTCTTACCCTCCCCCAAGATTGAGCCAAAATCAAATCTAGGTTTCTCTAATTTCCATATTTTCCAAAACTTTCAACACACACGTCACTCACTCCCTCACTTCATCGCAGACATGACGAAAAATAGAGACACAAAGATAGAGAGATCCGTGGAAAGAGTCTATCTGAAAAAAGTTGAGCGAAGATTTTGCCTCAAATTTCTGTCTCCCGAAATTCGGTTCCCCCCCTATTTTCTCTCGACATTTGAATCCCTTTTTATGCCTTTAGATTTGCCTTTTGTTTCTCCAACATTTCTTCACCCAAACTCCCCTCTCTCTTCTTTTTTTCTTCTGTTTTCCACTCACTAATCACCATTTCAAGAGAAGAAACAATAAATACAAGAGTCATACAAAAGAGAGAAATTAACAACTCATAACGTAAATCAAACAGATTATCCATCCTCGACAAAAGAGACACTTTTTTTTCTTCTTCTTTTTACCTCGCCAAAATGGGTCCGGACGATGAAATCCTGAGCCAGAACTACACGTACAGTAACAACAACAGTGCCACGGGAAGCGCCAGCGGCGCCACAACAAGCCACGGCGGTTTCGACGGCGGCGGAAACGGCCGGTCGTCGAAGAAACAGAAACAGAAGCAGAAAGTCCCCCAGCGAGGACTCGGAGTGGCGCAATTGGAGAGAATCAGGCTGGAAGAGCAGCAACAACAACAACAACAACAACATACAAAATCCGACCACCACCACCACCACCCTTACCTCCACCACCACAGCGGCGGCAGCTCTTCCTCCGCCACCACCTTCATGGCGCCGACACCTGTCCCTCCTTCAATGACATCACCACCGCCCCCGTCATCCTCTTGCAACGGACACAATCACCTACCGCTCCTCCACCACAACCAATCTGTGGACCCGTTGTTTCAAAACCCGATGCTCATCAACAACAACAACAGACACCGTCAGAGCTTCGACGCTATTAACAATTACGGCTCCACGACAACCGTTACAATCCCGCCGTCGTCGAGCCTCCACGAGTGGGACCCGCAGCAATCAATCTCTGTTCCCTCTGTTGTTACGCCAGCGGGAGGAGGAAGTACCAGCAGCCGCGGCGGCGGGGGGAACTCTAACGTGGCGATGCCGACGTGGAACTTCTCATCGTCGACTCACGACTACAGCGGGAGTGGATTTTCGTCGTCGGGAAGCTCAAACGTTCCGTATAACAACAACAACAACAATGATTCAAACCCTAACTCGCTTTGGTTTCTCCCCTGCCAGCTGGTTCATAAAGCTGTACCGCCTCCTCATCAGAAGTACCAGCAGCCCGCACCATCTTCCACCACTTGTTCCTACAATTCCTCCATGGTAATAATCAAACGACAATCCACATCATATATTATATCTTACATGATCGAGCAATTCCCTAATGTTACGACGTCCTAAATGAATACCTGATTAGGATGGTAATGGATTGAGTTGGAATTTACGATTAACAGACGGGACAAATGATTTTACGAATATAATTATTTATTATTTTTACGAACACATCGTAATGTTATTGGAATGTTTTTTTTAACAAATATAAGTTGAGCTTAGCAAAAATATTTTTTAAACTATCCATTATTCGTGTTAAATACAAAAATGACATATTGTTGCTTTTTAGATGCGTGTCAGTGAAAATAGGTTGAGCTTATAGCAAAAATCAAATCCAATCTAACCTTTCAATTTCAAAAGAGATAAAATTCGCACTCAACTCAGAACCTGTCAACATAGAATTTTTACCCACTTTTAATCCGCACTCAACTCAGCGAATTGTATATTTTTGTGTAGATGAACGGTCCAATACCGGCGACTACTTCGTTGTCGTCATCCTCGGTCATAAACTTCCACATAGAGCCACCCTCCTCGGCGACGAACCAAGGCTTCTACAGCAACTTTTCGAGCTTTGGCTGGCCGGCGATGGAGGAGGAGAAGGTCGGGATGAAGAGAGCGCATCCCTTGTCGTCGACCAAGCAGGAGAGCAGCAACGAGAGTGTGGACGTCCCACATCCTAACTTCATGTACCACAACAAGCCGCAGCAGCCGCCGCCGCCGCCATTCCCGTCGGTGGTTCACCACCACCACCACCACGAGTCTCCTTCCTCCTTCAACTTCGGCTCCGGCCCAGTTTTCAACTTCTCTTCCCCTACCCACTATTTTAGGTTTTGCTCCTTTCTCCATCCACTTTCCATTTCGCTTAATACGCAAATATATGAAAGGCATGTATTTTATACGTTTAAAAAAGTTACGTTTCAAAATATCATTAACCGTATCGTTAATTTAAAGATATGTAAAATACATGTACCGTGTATTTTATAAGTAACTTACTGTACCGTACCGTATTTTACTGATTATGATGCCGAGCAGAGATGGGTGTTCGGGTTGGAACGTGACGTGGCAAGCCGATCCTAGGAGATCGATGAGAGAGAGTGGATCGGTGACGACGTTCCCGGGAGATTTTCTAACTCTAGCTCCCCCCACATCTCCTCCTCCTAGCTCAACAGCAGCAGCCGAAGCTGCCGCCGGTGGAGTCGTCGGCGGCGGTGGAGGAGGGTGTAACTCGAGTAATTTTAGGCTCAACGATCCACACTTTCATCGTACAACCAAGAAGTTCGAACTCGATTCATCCTCACTCCACAGCCACTACCATCACCACCACCATCACCGAGTAAGACAACATTATTTTCTCATTCCTTATCTATCTAAAACAAACCAAATTTTTCGCTCAAAGTAACGATCTTTTTTTTTTTTTTTTTGGTGTTGTTAAAGGGTGGAATGGAAGATCAAATGGCGGGTGACTCAAGAGCAAGATATCAACAACAAAACCAACAGATGATGCAGCAGCTGGAACCGCAGCCGCAGCAGCAAGGGATTTGCCACAACGGCTGCAGCTTCCCCCACAAAGTGATTAATGTAGAAGATGAACGGCGAAGTTCCCTCATCAATTCTAACGGTGGTGGTGATCATCATCATCATAAACTTGAAAACGTTGACCTCAACTTGAAGCTATAAAACTATTAACATACAAAATGAAATAAAAGAAAAGGGGGAAAGTCAATTTGTAACATGCTTCATATACCTATAAGAATAAGCTTCAATGATTTCATGTATTTGATTGCTTATATTCACTCATCATGTTTGTAATTGTATACAAAACTTAATTAAGCTTGTTTTTATACTTGATTTTATTACAAAGAAAAATAATGGTGTATTAACTCATTCCACTATCAATTATGGGAAATTGAGTAATAAGCATATGTGCATACTCTTTCATTTTTATTTATGTCACATGTAGCATCTACTGGTTTCATACTTCGATTTGTATTCATTCATAATGTACTGATTTAGACGAAAAATACCACACGCCTCGATTGGTTGCTCTCGTACTCATCTGTCTTTTACCAACAAATTGCTGTGTCTTTCTTTCAGAAGTGAAACTTAACTCAAGCTCACTGAACAATAGAACTCTCCATCTCTCAATGTACCTTACATGACTTAGCTTGATCTACATTTCATGATGTTATAACTCGATTTCGTCACAATCCAGAATTGAAATATCTCGACGAACGATATCTATACATATATATGATGATCATTAGTACGTGCGTACAAGAGATCTCATTGGTGAACTGCTGCTACTCAGTATCATAAAATTGGTAGAGGGAATGTTGTAAAGCCAAATAAATCTCATCCCAGCCGTTCTGGGTTGGATGGTTACAGTCCCAGAAGAAGGCCAGCTCTGGGTGCTTGCAAACCCTAACCTGCGAGTTTTGGTTGTGGCTTACACCACACGGGTACTTCCCGTGCTCCTGGGTTAGGCATGGCTTCAGTGGATTCTTGTACTTCAAGCTACCTGTATCCATGCAGCAACGTACATCAAATTGTTCCACCACAGAAAAGGATTCTGTGTATTTCAATTTAATTTACAGCGCGCAAATGGTTATTGATAAAAAAATTCGTCGCGAAAAAGCTACAATTGCATCGGGACAAATGTATTCGCCGCTAAAAGTAGTCAGTAGCGACGAAAGAAGTCGTCGCCAAAAGGTATAGCTTAGCGTAAAGTCTTTTTTGTGACGAAACACTTCGTCGCGGAAAGTCTAAACTTTAGAGATGTGATTCGGCGCATAAAGGTGTGTACTCGCGACGACTCCACCCAGAAGTTTCGGCGATGAACCTTTGTCGCAAGATCCTGCACCTATTGTCGCAGAAGGATTACATTTTTGCGACGGATTTTTGCGACTATATATACAACAACAATTTCCGTCACGAAAACCTAGGGCAGCGTGGCATGTGACGCATTATTGATATTTTGGCGACGAATATCTTTGTCGCAAAAGGTCCAGTTTTTTGTAGTGCGGCATCTATATGACAACTGAAAGCAGCCGACACATTTTGGCATAGGTATAATAAATTGCGTACCTGTGTGGTATTTGTGCTCCTCGAGTGCGATGGAGAAGGCCTGGAAGAGATCCAAAACGATGAAGGTACCATTCTTCTTGTTGTTAGTTGATTCCTTGATCAGGTCTCGAACGGCTTGCTTCAACAACTGGTTGTGGTTACTGACAATGGCGTTGTAGGCGTCGTTGCATTTGGAACTGTACATGGCGGAAGGGCCGGCGCTGTTTGGCAAGCATCCGGCCGGCTCCATTAGCAACACGCCCACTTTAGGGATCCCAATCTCGTCACGGATTCGCCCAAGGTCTGTCTTCAGCTGCTTTATCACCCTTCTCGTCAACGCCGTTGCGTTCTGCACGTGAATTCATCAATCATTACCGAAATTTTCTACGTAACGCTTCTTATTTAATTATATTACGTCAGGAAGATCATGTTTTCTGTTATCTTTATCGCTATATAGGTAATTAACGGTCTAAATTAATTTCAATATATTTCATCAATCTAGATTAGATTTGTACGAGTTACCAAATTTGAAATTATAATTATGAGTAGAAAGACCTGGAGGGTGGCGTATAAGTAATCGTTGCCGGAGGCAGCAACGATTGCTATGGAATTGTTGAGGTCGGTTTGATTGTAGAAACGGTGTCGGATCATCTGGCCCAATTGACCGATCTGGTCGCCGAGGATCGGGCCCTTGCTGATCGCGCTGACGATGCCGGTGCCGCCGCATGCGAAATTCACACCGGATTTCAGCTGCTCGCTGATGTTGCCTACTCTGATCTGTTGATAAGCGATCGGCGTCCTTATTCCCAGAAAATCAGCTATACAACGAGTACAACTCGAGTTATTAGAACTAATTGATTTATAGCAATATGTATTTGATGAAAATAGAGTAATGGGAGAGAGGACCAATGTAGTCGGTGAGGACGCGGCCGTCGGAGAATCGGCCGCTGGGGACGCCGGGGAAAGTGCGGCCAAACGGCGGCAGCCAGGAACCATTGTTGGGCTCGAAGTTCCCCGTGTCCACGTAGGAGTCCCCGAAAACGAACAGCTTCACGTGCCCGTTGTGGCGGTGGTGCTCACGCGCGTCCCGCCTTGCCCTCGCCGTCGTTCGATGATCGTCGGCTGCTCCGATCTGTGGACAAGCAAACCAAACGGCGAGAGTAATGAAGAAGAAGAAGAGGAAGGAAACGGGCAGAAATCTTTGCCGTTTCTCCATTAGAGCAATAATTACGAAGTTTTAAGTTGGCTTAGCATAGCTCCTGATTCGTACTTATAGAGAAAAGTTATTGACGTACGTGTTAGCTTTCTTTTTGTAACAGTTCCATGTTCTCTCTCAATGGAGCAACTATTTTGCACATAATATATTGCATTCAATTTGCTTACTAAATCGGATCTCTTCTTTTAACGTCAAACGTTTCAACATGTTAATCTGATGAGCTGTTTCTTTATTACGGCACCAATCTAGATTCAAATATATCAAGGTTAATTGACGAAAATGGTCACATAATCGTAAAATTTTAAAAGATGAAAAATTGGTAGCGTAAATAATCACGAAATAACAAAATTGTCATTCGGTTCACGTCCATTCTTTTTTTTTTTTTTGTAAAGATTAGTGTTATAATCTCCTAATGTTAAGTGAAAGTCGTCTTCGATGATTTCTCTGCTCCGATCCCTCATAGTTGCAGATGGTAGTAATGTAGTTTAAAATGCGATGAACCAGAAAATGAAAAAAATTGTTCGGAATTTTATTGTCTTTGCACTTCATTAGTGACGAAGTCAGTAATTAGAGTGTGGAGCGGATGAAGATAACAAATTACCACAATTTTCTACCATTGAACATAAATCTTGGAAGAGACGACTAATAGCTCCTTTTATGGTTTCTCACGATATGAATACATAAATTATAACATTAGATGAAAGTTGAGAGAAGACTTTAGCCCTCATGCAATACACTAAGTTCCACCACTGCACTCCATTGTTGCACTTGTACACTGCTTGCTACTGTGAACAACAGGTCAAACTGTAAACTGATAATGGAGTAACACATGCATGGATGATGGAACCGAGTTGGAGAACTCCCATCTCCTGTTTTATTAATTTCTCATCCCTCCATAAGAATAAGAATTCACACCTCATGGTTACACATAGTAACTCCACTGCCTGTAAATTCAACAAGAAGAGAACTCTGAAAACCACACCAAAAGGGATCTTACTACCACTACTAGCTCAGTTCTACAATCAACACTAAGGAAGAGCGCGAGCCACCCTCAGCTTGCACACTTCCTTTCCCGATCGAAACAACGATCAGATCATGATCGTTCCCGGGGGATTATGTGATATGCTCGTATGTATGTCAAAGGCCAAGTTAGTGAAAAACAAATCGCACAGTAAGGTAAACGTGAACACAAGCACAAGTTTCTTTTCACAAGCATATGCTGCTGCTGCTGCTGTCACTTTCTGAACTAGAAAGGCCAAACACCGTTTCCTCAATCAGGCGTTCGAAAATGTCTTCACAAATGTCGACAAGGGCAGTTTCTGAATCACGTCGAAGGTCCATCCAAGAACCATTTTTGGCCATGTCTCTCTTCACAACCTGATCCAGAGTACGAGGTGATGGCAAGAGACGAAGGTGCCAATGCAATCTTTCACACACCTCGTCAATGGTGTGGTTCATGTCGGGGATAGGGCGGGTGGATGCAGGGTTTCCCAAAGACAATCCGGGCGATGAACCGAAATAGAAATCGTATACCTCCATTAGAACCTCGTCGATACAATTGAAGAGAAGCTGCTTGTCATTGCAAAACTGGTCAGGGTAGAACTCGAGCTCGTGACAACTAGATGGGTTGAGAATCTGGTCGGAAGAATCGGACATCAAGTAGAACTCATCCCAGTTCAAGCCAGAGTCTAGCAGTACATCCTTTATGTACTTGAGCATGGAGTCCTCGTGATCCGTGGTTTTTGAAGGGGCAACGTGATCCCCAGATGAAGATCCTTGTTCCTCAAATTCGATTCTTAGTGGTTGCAATGACAGTTCAACTGAACAGACATGTAGCAAAAAGAGACTTTAGTTTGGAAGCCAATACATAACGTAATAAGCAGGTTTGTTTGCACGCCTACAATTTCAGATACTACCTATAAGTTACGATCCTGCTTTCCCTAACAAATCGATGGACATTAAAATCCAGATCATGATAACATTGCGCACTATCAGTACTTACCGTGTTGGGTCCGGGTAGCCGCCGGGCTACCATCCTCCTCTGAAAAATATGGCTCAAGGACAGACACCGGACTTGGACGGTCTGGCACATCAGTAGCTTCCAAATCATCATGCTTCCGTTTTGATGGAGAATCCAATGGAGAACTTTCCTGTAAAAAGAACAATGACATAAGAATACAACATAGTAGCAGAGAAAGCCAGGAGAGCAGTTTGATGGATCAAGCCCAAATTGCATTACATGCTCCAAGGGCTCAACATCAGCTTTCTCATCTCTAACTTCAGATGAGTTAACGCCATTTTGGTCATTAATGATGACGGAACAGCTACTTGTTTCAGAAAGATTATTGATGACGTTGCCCTCTTCTGGGGTAATAATAATCTCAGAGGCATCTTCAATCTCCACATATCCTGCAGAGATTTTTCCCACATTAGTATCTCAGAGGCACAGCCCGATGAGTATTACATATATAAGAGTAAGACAACAAAATACCCTGAGTCATCATCTCATCTTGCATGGAACCAACAGATTTCTCCACTTCAGCAACATGAACAAGTTCATTGGAGGAACTTGAAGTTTGGTCCGTAGGAGCCTGTGCTTCAATATCAGATGAAGGTGCATCTGAGCTCAGTGATTTTTTACCTAGATGGCTGATATTGCCTTCCCGTCTACCTAATGAGTCAATGTTGGGCAATCGCATTCGTGCTGTAACGAAACTATGTTCCGAATCTCTTCCAGGACTGCCAAAAGGAGAAGAGTTGTACTCTGGAAATGACAAGATCCTCCCCAGCGGTTTGGAGAATTGTCTGCTTGGGAAGTCTACATCCCCAGTCCCAGTTATCAGCATCTCTGAAAGATGTTTCTTAGCCTCTAAATATATATCAGATACACTCTGTTTAATAGGTTTGCCATCCTCATCTTGCATACTTTGTTCAGGTTCTTTCGACTTCTTGGGACTAGTGGGAGGGAGTCTCGCGACCTTTTCTATAAAGAAGTGCTCTTTACCTGGAGAACTTTTTCCAGTGTTCTCTTTGAACCTTCTTCTGTCACCATCTCCTGCGGCCCACGCCTCATTGGTGTATCTCTTAACAGTTGAGACATTCCTTGACTCTTTCGCCATAGCATTTCTCAAGCGCCTTTTTATTTCAGTAAGGGAAAAATGGGAACTTCCCCTTTCATTTGGCAACGTGTCTTCGGCAGTCATTTGAGACTGCCTCAAGGAGCCAGTAGCATCTTTGGTAGGCCCAGGCTTCAATATGACAATCCTATTTGAAGCATGAAATGTATCAATTTCCTCAGAAGAGAAGTTTGCAAGGGACTTGCTTCGTCTGAAGAATCTCCTATGCTTTCTGAGTACAGGTTCATGCTCTTCTTTCATGGTACTACTTCCTACCAATGACTTTGAGTCATCATTTTCTACTTGGGAAATCAATGCTTTCTCCAATTGCTTCATTATCATTGACTTTTGACCCAGTAAGAGTCTTGAAGCCAATTCCTCATCTGAACACAATATGTGAAGAGCATCTGTGAGTTCTTTGGAGCTGGGGATATTCTCCTCTTCAATTGGATGCTTCTGTCTGACAAAAATATTAAGGGCCTCGCTCAATCTCTCTTCAAAATTTATGTTACTCTGTTTCGGATGATGGAATTCACAATCCTCGCCATGCTTTATGCAATTACTACCTTTCTGATGGAGCTGATGGCAGAACTCCTCTATTATTTCACCTACATAAAGACTGTCACTAGATTGCTTCGCTAACTTCTGAGCACAAGGCTGTTCATGTTCCCTAATGTCTGCAGCATTCAGATCTTCAACATGTATTTCACAACTTTTTGAACGACCCCTCTTTGTTCTCTTGCTGCTCCTCTTTCGCTGTCGCTCCTCCTGTTCTAATTTGGGCTGTATCTGATTGTCATTTATCTCACTCTTCAAAGTTTGCTCATTTAGCAAATCTTCTTCTATGAGTTTCTTGACACTTGGCTTGCGGAACTCAGTATTCAAAACAAGATTGCCTTTACCATCCTGTAGTAACGAACGAACTTAAATATCGAGTAACGTAAAAAAAGGAAAATAGCTTCGTTTAAGTAGAAGACCCACACTTACAGATGTCTTTTCATCAGAATTCGGTGACAAGTCATGCTTAATAGTATCATATCCATGCCCTATAACAAAAAAAGAAGGAAAGGGGATATTTTGAGAACCACAGATAAGTATGATATTGATGATGACAAGCATATGGAAAACAACCATAATTATAGAAATACATTGAAACCGCTAAACCATTACGTGCTATGATTCATGTAATGTGGATCTAGCGTGAGATAGTACATACCAGGAACATGCCTGCTCTCGAGTCTCTTATCTGGGAGCAGCTTCTGAGTAACTCGCCCATGGCGGAAATCCAACATGTTAATTAGTCCCCACATGCAGCCTGGCTTTGCATTTCCAGCTGGACGTCTTTGAGATTTCTTTGCCATAATGGTTATCTTATTTGTAATCACTATGTTATACTTAATCAACTTGGGACATTCACCACATGTTTACACTCCAAACCTAATACAGGATGAAAATTCGATCGTCAATCTAAAAATTGCTACACAAACTGCAAAGAAAGTACACATAGCACATCTACATTAAGCTAAACAGGAACGATCATAATCTGTATGTTCTACTGGCGGGAACAAGGTAAACAATGCAGGTGCTTGAACCAGCAAGCTTTACTTGAGTACAGTAGTGAGAACCGCCAGGTGGTGACGTGGTGCAATCAATCAAAAAGCCAGATAAACTACCTTAGTGGAGAGTAGAGATCATGTCGTTCAATGGCCTACTCTTCCACAATGCAGATACAGCCTCACAGTTCACCAAAGAGTAAAAGATCACATAACGAAACATCTGAACCCTCTCTCAACATGCATCATTTCCCCAAAATCCACGGCCATTTCATAACCATGATAAATGCATCTACCCAAACTTCTTACTGATTTCCAACAACAAGATCTG